GTGTTCGTAGTTCTGCAAAGAGACTATAACGTTACGAACGGAGGAGACAAACTATGGGGAACATCATCATAACCCCCTAGACGATTCGAGTTGATAGCTGACTGTACATGTGACTAGTAGCACCGAGCCACACATCCCCGCGCACTCCCGGGGGGAGGGGGGTCGCAGAGAGCTTCATCAGAACGCCAAAAAAAGCAGCAGAAAAACGTTTATGAACAATGCTTACCTAACTTCGTCGTCTGACGAAGGTATTTTGATAATATTTCTGTCACCTAGCAGTTTGCCCTCGTTAGCTTACCCGCTTAACAGGGTCCGCATGTTATACTAAGTATAAGGTTGAGGTACAGAACTGACTCGGGGGCGTAGGGGAGGCGCGAGCAGAGCTTAGCTGATAGTCGCTACCGCTGCTGCTATAGTATTTCATAGCCTTCTACTTCTATGTAGTTATACTGCAAGTGGTGGTGTGACGCTGACAATAGCTGCCTGTTGAGGCTGCTATTTTTCCAGTCAGTATGCATTGTTAGTCGAAGGCGTGGTAGGGCCGATGGCGGAGATTATCTTCGTGGGCAGACCGGCTAAACCTAACCTAGTCTGGCCAGCCTGGCAGCTTCTAGGGGCTGCCAGAGGCCTCGATGAGCTGATACCAACAAGGTAACCGACGCTCTATGAAACAGGGACCATCGGCCAGAGGGACGAACAGTGTCGGAAAGGGCTTCCCCGTTTCCTCGCCCCAGTAGACGACCGTAGATAGCCTGCATTGGATCAACGAGAGGGAAAGGGCCGACTTAGTGATAGATTATGGATGAATGAATAGATGAATGAATGAGTGAATTGGATGGATGGACATAGCCATGCCTTTAGTTCGCCCTCTTGTTGCACTCGTTGGCTTTACTATTCTGGCGTTGCTGATGATGTTACGGCACGACGATGCCGCTCATGGCGACTTCTATGGACTAGGGTCGCCGTCGATACTGTAAAGATTGTTGATGCCCACGCTGACCCGCGGTTGTAAGCTCAGCGGCGGCAACCACTGAGAAGGGAGAGGTATCTTCCTAGAGGCAGGGGCTAGGGTTAAGAAGGGGAGCAAAAAGAGGCTAGCCAACTGAAGAGGAAAGAGGCAGTCGGGGCGGCAAAAAAGAACCTCGTCGGCAAGAAAGGGCATCGAGATATTATATCAGGCAAGGTAGCATAGGTAAGAGAAAAAAAAAGAGGACAAAACGCGATGTGCGCTGGAGGACTGGCTGGCGTCATCTCGCAATCCAGCAGGGTCGATTGCATGATGCAGACGAGCAGTGCCTCTCCATGTGCAGTTTTACATGCGTACATGTAGGCAAGGTATACCTTCGGTGTGTAGCTACATAACTTGAATGTACATAGAGTATGCACATATACAGTATAAGAACAAATATAAACTAATTAGATAGACTGACTGGGCCTAAGCACGGTCTTTTCGACCGGCCCCTTCGCACTACACCAGCAACATAATACATAGACCAGCTGGCTCGGATCCTAGTGACAGCGATTGTAGCATCTATATATAATATCTATAATATAATGCCAATACCGCTCCCGAAAGCCGCGTTGGGTGTTGGACAGTATAGCATAGCTGCTTGGCAACTCACAGTGGACGGATACGAGGTGGTGAGCAAAAAAGTACTATGGACGAGAAATAGAATGGAATTCTCTGTGTAGGGACACATCTCCAGGACATCGATGGAAGACCCGACAGGACGATGGTTGCAGGCATGAGGAAAAGGCGAGAGACCGAAAGAAAAATATGAAGCTTGTCCACTCGACGATGATGTATCGTCACTCAGCGTCATTCATTGGCAGATTCGCCTCTTGCTAGTATGGGGAATGCGGCATTCGCTCTGGGAGACGACGCAGGAGTCAGTACTGGCGGCTGACGCAGCCATGATTTCCCTGATTTCACCCCACTCCGTCAGCCGTGATAATGAATCTGCCGAAGTCGCCCAGGGGAAAAAGAAGGCTACGCGATTATTTCACTCCTAGCTACAACGACGACGGTCACGAGGATGATTCGGGTGATGCTGGCGATGATGAAGCTTGTATGCTTCGTGTTAACACGATTTGTTATCCTTCACGTTCATTTGTATGCTGTGAGATTCATGTATAGAATACTCGATTTTATTGGTAAACTACAGCTTTGTCCAGTGACACATATATATATACTCGCATGGGTACATACACCATCAGCTACAATTTGTTGTGGATGTATTCTGTTGTCGTTTCTGTAACTATTGACGGCATAAACGTACAGATAAAATCAACGTTTCGACTGTTACGTCTGGCGCCGCTATTATGAATTGCTTTAGACAATGCGGCCTAAGCGTCCTGCAACAGTTCATCGCATGCGTCTTCGCTATAAAGGCAACTAGCACGTTACCATGCATTACGTTGCTACATAATGTACGACGGCAACAATCAATAACACCCTCTCTCGACGATGCGTGCGTTTGCCTATTGGCTGGATCGCTCTTTCTTGTCCACTTCGGTCCTGTTCGTCACCGCCTTCCGTAAAGCCAGCCTTCCAGCCGGCAACGTAACGTTTCAGACGCCGCCTGATGATTCGCGTGAGCGCCGTGCCGTGCGCCACAGTTCCAGGCGCCAAGGCGAGCTAGCCAATCAGACTTCGGCGAATGGACCAGTAACGCGGTTCCAGGCGGTCGCTCAGACGGTCATGGCTTCATTTTTTTTAATAGCAGTTACGGCAGCCTCAACAGCTGCTCCAGAGCAGCAGCGCCTGGACCACAATAGATAATGTTTCTGCGGTGATATAGTGTTTGTATTGCCCCTCTTTCAATCTGCGGCTGAGCTCCCCAGCTTCATAATGTACCTTGCAATAAATATTAGCTCTTCACAACGACGACTTCATGTTGCATCGAGTGGGCCCACCCAAATAACAACCAGCACAGCAGCAAGCATAAGCACTCACTCTCTCACCTCGAATAAACATTAAACACGCTAGCTAGAGCCGTTCGCTCTTGTAACCCTTTCCTGGAGTCATGCCGTTACACTGCTGTGTGGCTGAGTCCCCTAGTAATACAGCCGCCTAAACAGTCATCATGGTAACTATCTAGCTCTGTCCGACTATAATAGCTGAGTACTCGCGTACTCCAACAACAATGCACACCTCGTATCACGATTGCATCTCACATAAAAGCTGTTCCGCGGCCGCGTTCAACAGGATCAACATCAAGCGGCTCTCGTCCCTCCTCTGAAATGTGGGCCGGCCCACTGCCAAAGCACCGTTAAGCTGATGACGCTGCTACTTGTTAGTATGGCGATGTGTGGACGCCAGCGTATTTTGTTGTCGATGCGTTGATATATGTGTGTGTGTGTCGGTGTGCGTCCGCCCTCAAGCACACTGTGTGCCCCTCTCCTTTCGGTGCAGCACTAGAGACAAACAAGGGCGGATGGCCAGCGAATGCCGACGTCGATCGCTGCTGACTCTGATGTCCCTAGCCATAGCGGTGTATGAGGAGTAAAAGGTTAACCGCTCCGGGCCAAATGAGCGATAATTTTTTTGTTCGACAGCTCTAGTAGCCATTGTACTGCAACTAGTAAGAGACTCTACATGGGGGATATAGACTAGACAGGCCCCATGGCTATGGCGACCTCACCATACGCCTTCGTAGAGCAATAAACGGCTGTTCCATTACGTGCGAGTAGATGGCAACCGTTTTACGCTTCGGATATTTTACATTACAAAATGCAATTTCGAAACGCGAACAGGCGCACGGTGTCGTTTATAAGGTTTATTCCGCTACATCTTCAGCTTTAGAAATGCTTTTTTTCTCTACTTTTTGTTTACTTGACCACCGAGCTAGCTAAAGCGAATCGCAGAAGCATAGCAAAAGCTACGTATCATTCGTTGTTGACTATACGAACAACTTAGGCAAACTATCGTGTAGATAAAGATCGTTTTTTCCCCCTCGTGCTACAGCGCGCTAGTTAGTATAAGCAGCGCGGCTACTGGGCCTGTGATGGCTAAAGCAAAGGGCAGCTCTTACTCTTTGGCCGTCGTTCCTACTGCCAGAATTACCGCGGCAGTCGCAGTGAGATTGGCGCTCAGCGCTTTACAAAATTTAATTTACGTTACAAAAGCCCCTATGCCGTTCCCTTCAGGTTAGTGGTGCAGTTGTTTTGATCAAGTCGTCGATGCGACCCTCGTGCTGGTCGCGGTGCCTAGTAACCTCCTGCGATGCTGATCCTGTGTTGCCCTGCGCTCACGTCCAACGCGGGTTCAACAACCCGCGTGACGGTGGCCCCGGCATCATCAGCGATTGTAGCAGTCATTGAAATCTTAATGTCAACATTGCAGCCGGCCACGATTACGGCGACAATGATGACAGCGTTTGCGCTGCTCGTGACGATTCTGATGATGATGCTGCTGCTTCAGGCCCGAACTGGACTAATGTCACACGTACAAATTGAAAACAGTTGTAAGTACTAAGACAGTTGCTAGCGACCATCAGCTCTCGCAGATTAATACTTAATACAGGTAGAAAGTAGAAAAGCTGCTGTTGTTTTCTGATGGAAAATCGCCATATCGAATACAGTTACTTGTAATATCGCTGACAAGTTACAACGCCGACTCAACCGCGTAACAGTTCAGACCAGCACATAGAAAGATAGATGGAGGGCGTCCCATAATCGTATTGCTGGTAGGACTTCTATCCGTGTGGTAGCCATATCATACATACTCATGTGGTTGTGTAAGTGCCACTGGCGGCAAAGGCCGTAGCTATTTTGAGCCGATAGAATTATTCGAACCCTAAATAGGACCAGCGCACTCACCGTGTAGTTAAAGCACGTTTAAGCTTACACTAGTAAATTCACCTGACAATTTAATACGAAATAGCATTTACTATACTAGGTTAAGGACAATACAAATATTGCAATCGTAACTAGTTCTTGGTGTTAGGGGCAGTAACCGCTCTGATTGGGCTGCTTGTTTGTCGATACCGTATGGTACGTTGTTTATGAAAATATTATAGGTTGTGTAAAGAAGCGACATGACAAGCCCCGACGCAGGGGCCCGATCTCAATTGGGTATTAATCGTTAGCGATAGGCGCAATTAATCTTGGTGTAGCTGAGTGCAGTGTCTTGAGTGCGTTGAGTTGGGGCAAGCAAGTTTCAGATATAGGGGTGCGCCTTATTGGCCAGCAGGAATCACGTCAGAAGTTCTGTTTCGCCAATAAAGCTCTCCACAGGCCATGCACCCTGCCGCCAAGCACCAGTGACGTTCGTCATCCGAAATGTGCCCAACAGTGATCTTATTTCTGTTTTACGCCTGCTACCAGGATGATTACGATCGGCCCTGAAGGTCGGAGTAAGGGGCGAAAATTGCCTTTATTCAGTTTTTTGTTTCAGTACCTGCACTGAACAATCCAGAGACGTACTGCGTAGCAATACAGGAAGTAATCCCTTAGGTGAAGATGTTATTCCTCCTCTATCATAAAATTACCTGTATGCGCATATATTGGTCAGTTAGTAAATGACTAGTACAAATTATATGTTTCCGGAGCTTCTGACCACCTATGACGTGTGCGTATGCAGTATGTTTGCAACAGCATCTCTTATTACCAATAGTATAGGACGGTAATGTAGGCCTGTTTGCGTCAGGGCACATCTCATTTCGGTTGATGCTGTAGCGGCTGTATGCTCGAATGTAACGCTACAGATGCTGCGAATTTTCTTTCTGTCCTGAAAATGTAACAGTAAAATCATTAAATGAAAAACAAGCGCAGAGATGGAATACTATCAAACACATTGTAACGCTTCATTATCCGCAGCGCGTCCGATGTCGTCGTGACGCATAGTTCCATCAGACGGCTCGCTCCCACTGCAAAACGAATTCTGTCTATCGTTCCACGTTCAAACCTAGACCGTGTCGCCAAGATCAGCAAGACCCACCAAGCTACTCCGAAAACAGTCCCCTGATACCTGTTAGCTATTAACGGGTTGTTTGTTTCTGACACAAAATTACTTCATGCTGTAGTTCCGATCAATCAGCCCGTGCTCATTAAGAGTCAAATTTTAATTCCATATATTTGCATTTCTCTCTGTAAGCTGTCAGCTAGTTTATTCTTACCACTTAACAATCGCCTGTGCTCTCTTCTGATATAGAAATCAGTTTGAATGAGTGATTCTAGTGATTCGAGAAAGCTGAAAGCACTTGCTCCATTCTTGTACGCCTGCAACGGGTGCACATTTTGCTAGATTGTTCCTTTCAATTTTTCTCTTTGGTTAACACTCACACAGGTTCGGACATAGGAAACTCGTTCAGAGTTATCCTCTTAAGCGGCCAGCGTCGATTCGACACGATGGGTGGGAAAGGAGCATGGACAAACAGTGGTAAAACGACTACAAGGATACCACTCCTTAGTTCGCTTTTTTCTTATACCTTCATTATCTGCTTTATGGTAGCAAGCCGGCCAGGTCTGTTGGTCGGCTATTCAGTAAAAAAGAGCGAGTCCTTCTCGTAGCGCTGAGCATTGCGGCAATTTCCTTCCCACCAGCTCGAAACCTCAATGGAGTAGCAGTCAGTATTCCCATATTGTCCTTATTTATCCATTCTTGTATAGTAGTGATAGGAGGACTTCTCTCTGGCCTACATATAAGCGTCCTCGTCCCCTCAAACTTCTCTAAATCGCAGCGCACTACTAATGTCTGGGCTTTACCCCATCATCCCGCTGACTAGTGAAATGGACCTGTGTTGACCAACACACCACCGTCAAGCTGACCACTGGGCCTAGTGATACCATCGGCGCCGGAAACGACTCCCAAATACGTTTTTACTATAAGAGCTTGAGTCTGAAACACAACTGAAGGAGAAAGGTGTATTGCGAGTTTGCACCCCCAGGCCCTTGAACCCCTTTCATGGAAGGGGGAACCTGGTCGGTTGGAATCAGTATAGCCCGGTGACTGTCAAACTACCTTCTCAAGTGCACCACGCTATTTAAACCTGTAACCCCAACGTATGCTGCTGGCTAAAAAATAATGTGTCCCACTGACAGTAACTTGTTGTAGAAAATTGTCCATGAAGCTAGATAATTATGTCGCGCGTGCGTGTTTGCAATAACATAACTAGTTGATAGTCTTTTCGGGGTGTTTAATGGCTCTCCCATTGCTATTAATATGAGTATAGTTGAAACTGTGTTACCTGATATCGTGGTTGACCGGTCGACTTCACGCTAATCTTCACGCTAACTTAGGGTAACATTTGAAGAAAAATATCTACAAATTAGAAATGTAATATTTAGTAATTTTTTCTTGTTTTTTTTTTACTAGGAAAGGTGTCTTAAAGAGCATTCGCTCCCGAAAGTCATATTCGAATCCATGTAGTTGATACTAGCATTTCTCCATTCCGTTCCATTTTCTTAAATTAGTCACCATGACGATTTTACAATTTTCACTATATGTCACTCGTCATATGTGTAGGCAGCCATAGCACTGAGTAAGAGAATTAACTGTTTTCCTTCTAACGTTGTACTTCTCTAGCTGTAACAGTTGAACGGTGATGTATCTGCACCCCATCTAATTGGGCTACCTAGCCTAAGAAAAAATCTAGACCATAACCAGCCGGTACCTGTCTTACTGGCTCTGCATCAGTTCAAGCCAAGCCTAACTCGCGAATCCCCGTCGTAGGAGCGGCCACCCCACTTATCGAGTCCTCTGAACAATCCCAGACTCCATGCGAAGAACGGTTACCACGACAACTGGCTATACACTTTCCTTATTTATAACCGAACAGTTCACCGGCATAACTAAGGTGCCAGCATCGTTGCTGACTACTAACCAGTCAGCTAGCTGGCCAGCCGCTCATTTTGGTCTTACCCTATCCAACTATTCTAAACCGCTGTCTCCACTAGATAGACCTGATAGTGCGATTTGCGCGCCGCGGTTGGTGGTGGTAGGTTTGTAGCTAGACCACGATTAGTCGATTCGGACCATCCGCGTCGGCTACTCAATGAGCAACTTGCCCAGTTTCAGCCCACCCTGTATGCTCTTGCTAGGCACCTCTTTCGAGCTGAACCAAGCTCAGAGATTGGCGGCACCGGTTAGCGGGTGTACCTTCACGATGGAGGAGCGCCACTGTCTCCCACAGTCAATAGTTAGCTCGGCAGCCCCGAAAACAACGCGGCAACAAACCACGACAATGATTGGGCTTGTGCTTTCGCGGGTCCTGGCTCACTTCCTGGTCTCGGAGAATGCCCAGTGGCTGTTCCCATCGCAGTTGGTGGCCTGGCATGAGATTTGGACATGGCAGGAGATCGGCTTCGGTGGAAGGTCCTAAAAGAAACTGTCCACCTAAACAAAACTCGGGATGTGCGGTATCTTTCACTGTTTGTATTCTACCAGAGGAACAACTGATGGGCACGAGGCCACCGATGTTGGACAGTTGGGATAATGTCAAATACGGCTCCCAGAGGGTTACCAACCAAAACACGACTCTTGCCTCCGCATGGTCTCCGGTTTCCGCTTTCACACACCTACTCGCGCGATGGAGCTATGAAAAAAGGTAGCGAGCGTGGGCCATACGATTTGCTCAGGACTGTACTAGCAGTAGTAACAGACGCACTATAGAGCGGGCTGCATGGGCTAGTCCTTTCGAGCTACATAGTAGTGGCCAGCCAGCGAAACCTTTCGATCCGAACCGAGTCATTTAGTAGCAGCAGTAGAGAAATGGCGTTACGTTAGATAGGGTAAAATTGCAATGAAATGCTGATGTGGGCGATCTATTTACCTGAGGAGATAACCGCTATTAGTTATTTTAGTGGTAGTAAATCGCTGAGCAAAGTACCACGCTGCGTTGATAGCGATGAACGATTAAGGGGCATACTCTTGCCACGTGTGCCATACGTAGAAAACAACATATTTAAACGATCTTCAATACCGACCCGGTATACTCAAACGAACATCTACCAGTGTAAGTACATGTGTACACTTTGCCACTCTATATAACTGAACGTTAAAATTATAATTGCCGACCGCAAAAGAAAGTTCATCGGTGAACGTATTGGATCTCTTTTCCTCTCCACCCGTATGCATTGGCAGAACATTTCTTTGGAAGAACAAAGCTCTCTCCAATATTAATTTTCGGCCATTTTTGCAGCCGAGGAAGAAGCTAGCGCCTTCAATTTGTTCAGAAGCGAGGCCCAATTGAGAGCAAGACTTTCCCTCATTAAGGCAGGATTCGAGGGTAGTTTGAGTTTTCGCCGGTTAGGTCAAAACAGGAAGGTCAATTGATCCCCGAGCGAGTTACGTAAAGAACTCAGATTACTCGGTGGTGCCGCATTCATTTCGTAGAAGACTCCAAAGCATTACGATAACGGGCAGACGATCAATCCGACGAGAGTTTTTTCTTCAGAGAATTTCTCATAAAAATCCAATCGTGTCCCAATCAACTTCAATACAATTAACCAATTCAGCTTACATTCGATGGCAATGAGCACCAGTATTTAGTGTCATAAAAGCGACGCTTCGCACTGGATGGCCTCCTCGAGCTGATGGAAACGTTCCGAAGGCATCATTCTGTATTGAATCAATGTCCGCGGACGGCAAACTTTGGCCTGTTGTGTGCATGAACGCGAGTCATATGCACGGTTTTCGTTCGTATCTACTACGTCAGTATTCATATGCGTCGCCAACCGGTCGATCGCGCAGTTGTACGGCTATACAGTATGTTTGATCCGCACCTGAAGACAACCTAACTAGGTTTAGGGAAGCCAACAATAAACAAACCTTCCGAACCTTCTTAGATCTATCCGAAGCGATCTTGTTCATTCGCTTTTACTCTGCGTTGCTTTTTTACTCATGCCTCTGTCACATCAACCAATCCGTTTTCACCGCAATCGTTCATCAGATCTTGTAGGCAACAAGCCGAGAATCTTCCCAAGGCGGCATTTTCCTTTAGAAATGTTTTCGACGACCGGGGACGAACCCTACTCAAGGTTCAGCCGTTCGTTTGCACAGAATCAGTGGGATCGTAGACGGTTCAGGCCAATCAATGAGACTGGCCACCGTTGTCTCAGGCTAGTTACATAAAAGCGAAGCACTGCAATAAAATCCCTGCGCTCTTAACAAGTCAGCTCAATATGCTTCATTGCGACCGAATAAATTGAGCGGGGAGGAAACGAGGTTATCCACCTGTACATCGGAAGGCAGCAAAGAGCGTGCATAACACAGCAGATTTCCAGCACCTTTCGGATAGCTCCCAATATGAAATTGTGTGAGCCGCAGTGATTCCGTCTCGGTCTAGGAACGTCCTAGGTTATTCTGAATGCTAACGCAGTGCAATTGCATGCGCGACAGCTTTGCTTGAAGTAGAGGCATCCGTCGTTTGGATGGTTCGAAGCAGAAATCTATATAGGGTATCATCTGAAAATGTAATGCGAACTCGGAGTAGCGAAAGCTTATCAGTCGCACGACGTCTCCGGACTTACGGTCTGCTTTCTTGAGTAAAGAACAGGTGAAACAGATACGTTAATGACGGATATATATTTGATGATATAGGTTAGCGCCGATGCCGAAAGGGGCTATTTAAAATTTCATCTAAATGATTAGATGTATATGTATATATACCGGATAGTGAGCTCCAACGATCCAGAACTGCAGTCGATCCCAGCATGTTTTATTGGCTCAAGTACATAATGTCTTCAAATAATAATCTCAGCTGGATTTTTTTCCAGCTCGCTATTCGTTTTCTATGTCTACCTTCGTAATTCACGAAAAAATAAATAAAAACCAATAGCGAACCGTCAGCGTTAGCCAAAAGATGTTGCATGGCTCGAAGATCCTTATAGCTATGCATGACTTCGATAAAGCGTTGATCAGCCGATAACCACGTGGAAAATCGCTTCCTTAACTTTTCGCTGCTCGTAGAGTCTCGCTGTGGCCGCAAAATCATCAAGAAGACCACTGAAGTCGCTTTCGTTATGTTATGAACGGAAAATGATTTTTCTATCAGGTTGCAATGGTAATTATGGAGTTGAGGTTATCTTCGCGATTGCCGATAGGCCAATATGGCTTCGTAGTTCAATAATATAGAACGTTCTTAAAAAATGCAAAAGGTACTGGGCGATAAAAATTGAGAACGACTCACTGTTTAAAACCGGATTCACCGTAGAGTTACTGCCGGTGTATTCCTGTCGCTAACTCCGAATAATCATGGGTATTTCTAGAAGAGCAAAATCGGCCGTTCTGCTATTAATAAAATCAACCTTCATTCCACCTACCGCCCGGGATATCTCATCGAAGTACGCGCATTGAAGCTGATATTAGGGATAGATGTTTGCCACCATCAAACGGACCACATATCTTGCAAATGATAATTTTTTCTTATAATCCGTTAAAGCACTTATGGGTTAAAGACACCGAAGTCATTTGGCACAAATCCAACAAAACCTAACCACTGCTTCAACGTATCGCTAATGTTACAATTAGGATAAATCTATGTACACATAGAGAAGGGTGCGTCTGTGCCCGCATGTAGGTCCCATACTACAGAGTAAACTTTTTCGTGATGGCTTACTTATTAGGCTTATAAGAAAAAAGCCATTGTATTAATACGCGTAAAAGGCACTACGCCCCCTCACAAGTGGTTAAATCTTCTAGACATTCTAGCGACTAGAATGAATTTTTCAAAGGTAGTTGAGTGCTTCCGTTCCATGTAAGTTGAAAAATTAGTTAAAAGCGTCGTCCTCCAACCGAAATTATAGCGGTATTTGTAATGCATATATGTATTATGTCAGTGTGACGTAATGAGGTAAACCATTGGCTCGGGTTCACCTTACATTACGGCACATAGTGCACACATGAAGACTGCCTCCATGCGAATGGCTTCACTCAAGGCCTGTTGTATTAGGGATAAGAAGAATTCATTCGATTGATGAGTTGTTTAGGTCACTCTTTCGTTACCTCGCCTACTGCACCATCGTCTTCGGCGTCCTTCTCTGTATCCTGTTATATAATCCAGACTATACATGCAGGCGTTACATTATGGACCCCGACATAGAACAGGAGTTTCTAGTGCATATAGTGCACATAACAGAAAGGCTATTTTTTAGATAGCTCTCTGCATCTCGATGTACACAGATGCTGGCGCTGTCGGCCTATGTCTGCCGTAATGAGGTACGTAACTAGCTCACCCAACTTGAAGATTCATACATCTGTCGGTGGTTTCGACCCTTTCTTCAACCACCCAGCCGTGGACCTGCGCGCAGTCGAGCAGATCCACCCACTCAAAAGTCGATCCTCGACTGTGTATGTTTCTGGCAAACTTTCGTGCACTGAGAAACCAGTTAATGTTGCCAAAGTGTTTTTTTTTTCTTTAATGGCATAGTTATGGCGGCCAATACACCATGACCGACGCCGTGTTTTTGACGGGTCGCCGGCAATGCGAGTATAGGCTGTGCTAACCGCAAGAATATGCTGATCGTCAAAGACTTTTCACGACGAGACAACAATTATAAACGAAGGGGGGGCCGAAAAAAAAGCTGAAAAGTATTTCCGGAGGACTCTAATTAATTATGAATATGTTCCGCAGTGTAGAAATGCACGTTACTTTCGGCATTTGTTACACATCGCTCATGGCCAGTTCCTATCTGGAACAGCATCGAAATGGTTCGGTTCGATGGCGGTCTGGGCATTAGATTTCAAAGAAACCGACATAACATTGCTTGATCTCCAGATGCAGGTTTTATACGAAACAAAATGAAATGTTTACTTCTCGTAAAACAGGACCTTCCTTTCAGGTTCATAGCGTAGTTCTCTTTGACAGCTCACCAAATTGTCTCTTCAAGTCTTTTCAAGTAGGTCGGCCGGATACGTTCGTAAATGTCTGAAACAAATCGAGGGTTTGCAGACACAAAATGCCCCAATGTAACATAACGATTCCCGTCCATGCACAGCAACTCGAATAATCCTAAATTTTATTCCTTGATTTTCGACAAACACTTAAACGTAAACATTCGTTGTCGTTGCCAAGCGATAAAAACAACCACGTACATGCATGTCGTGCAGAAGGTGTACAAGCGACATTTCAACATGGCCGAATAGTACCCCCAATTCTGCGATAAATCACTATATATATATATATATATTGTAGAATTATTGGATGCGTCTCTTCATTGCTTTCTGTGAGTAGCTATATTATGCGCCCATTTCGCCTACCTTTTCTATAGTTGTGTTTATCACTCAGTTCACCCCGACCGCAAACGCGCCTTTGAAAGAGAAAAGTCCGATAGTACTGCTGACAATAACAACAATTGCAGACCCGAGTCGGAGGCCGTACGAAAAAGCAGTACATCGAATCGAAGCTCAATTCGTGGAGTTTGTAGAAGAGCGCTATGCCGCGCTGTATACGTGTGCATTACAGCGGTTGAGGTCCACTGCTTGAACTGAAGCTTCCGACAGTTGAATTATTGGCATCACAGGCTGTTTGTGTGGGTGGTGTTATTTGGGGGTCTGGCTAAAAAACCGACTAGTGGCGGTAGAGTTAGAAATGTAGATATTAGAAACATGGGGCGGGGGGTTGCTGATTGTATAACTTTGTGTAACTCTTTGCGGTACCGCCAGCTTGAAGGAGGAGCTATACCTGATCGGTGGATAGGTAAATAGGTTTCTAGGTGGGTTTGATCTGAATAAAAACAGGTCCCACGTTGCGAGGCTTGCGCCTGCAAAATTTTCGTGGCGTATTTTACTCGACAAGGATACAGAAGACGAAAATTAGAGAGTACAAGTGGAGAATCGGAAGACGTGAAAGAATATTAGTTCAGGTTGGGCTGGATTGAGAGGTGGATACCGAGCTTTGATGCCGACTAAAACAACTCGTCAAGATAATCGCTGTTAAATACTAGCAACAAAATATAATTTGTACTTACGCTATCCCGGTCAGGACATTGAATACTCTGACGTTTACTTTTTTTGGCCAAACTCATTGATTTGACAAACTGCATTATGCGTGGCGTACGTTTGAAGGGAAGTACCACCTTTGCTTGCGCACAATAGCGAGTTTTACCAAAGGACAGCTAATTTAAGGAGTAACTCCTGAAATATCGTCTTCCAAATGCATTAGACCTTTTCCTTGAGTAAGCTATCTCATTACATTCGCTACCAAGTCACAACACACTCCACTATTGTCCTAAGGCTTAGGAAATTTCCATTCATATTGCATATTTATTAAACACCATTTATGTTGCACGAACACGACATTTATCATTATAAGACCAAATACGTATGAGTCATTCAGCTTGCTCATGTTTTCAAGATATCCCTTCGTTTTCCGCCGATTCCCGCGCATATTCTTCATAGTCTCTAAATTGCGTCGCCCATTCATAGGTGCGTCCAACGACAACGAGAACTTGTCGCTGTTGGACTCTTCCCATCAAAAACAAGTAGTGTCTCTATATTTTTGCGCTTTTGCTGCAGTCGTCGTCACTGCCGTCAAACTGACGAGACGGGTTTCCAGACAGATTCCCTTGGCATTTGCCATCCAACGCAGCTCCGCTGGTCTCCCATTGGCCACTTCCTACTCGCCGGCTGCCCCCTGATTTTCGCCATGTTTTACACAGTACGTTGTTTTAGAATAACACGAAGACTACCGGGCGAGCTTTTGTCCGCTTCTGCGCTCGATAAATGCAAATTGTGCTTCTCCCTTTGCTTCCCCTTTGCATGCTTGGTCGCTAACGTTGCTTCCTGTTCTACCAAGCAAGATGGACGCAGATTCGCCAGGGCGAGCCTTGCCAATCGTCCGTCTACTCATCATATACCCCTCTACCCCTCGAAGTTCGTTCGCTCAAATGACGCATTTTTTCCACTCATTCTCCAGGATAGGCTATGAATCGCCGCTGTCCCCCGCAGGCAGCTATGTCACTACTATAACCATGCTGAAATCTTCCTTCTTGGCCAGTCTGCACTTCACCCGTGCCTGCTATTCGTTCGTTGTCCTTTATGGCCTTAGCGTAGAGAGCGCCAGCGGCAGCAGTCGCATACAGATAGTTCGCCACATACAAGCAAACGGCGAGACAAAGAGTGTCACCATCGCTTTACGCGGTGGTCTTCCAAGTGCGAGGTCCGCGCGGGTCTGCTTGGTCAACAGCAATAGAATGGTAGCAGGGATGCGAGCGATGTATGAGGAAACCACTTTCGGGAAAGAAGGGGAGAAGAGTCTAGAGGGCCTAAGCATATGAGCGATAATGGGAGTGGCCTACAGGCGACTTAGGTTAACTTATGAATAATTTGTTTTTTTTTTTTTAATTGAATTAATTAAGCAACGGGTAACGACGTTGTAGTTAGATGTGTAGGGTCCGTTCTGGACAGTGAACAGAATTTATGCCGTTATAAGTTCGTCGCTATGGCGGTAACGGTAATACAGTGTGCCCAGCAATGGAGGGAGAGAAAGAAAAAGAGAGCAAGTTCGATTGATTGCTTAAGTTCTTTGTTTAAGGCCCCAGTGGTCGAACTTTAGGGGCAATCCTACCGCTTCCGTTGCCACTGTGGTATCTGAGACACCCTCAATCTGTTCTGTCCTAGCAACAATCTCATATCTCCCGCTTTGCCTCGTTAACCGCGGGGTGATAGATACATTCATATCCGCTTGAGCAACAACGCGGTCTGCAAACACATTAATTTAAGCACTTGAGGACGCTAGATAAAACTGAAACGTTTTTACGATTCTTTTTTCAGCCGTCCTGTCTTGCCCTAGGAAAAGTGTAAATATAATTTTAGGTCTGAAAAATAACAAAAGCTATTCTCTGGTTTGTACTTTCATATAATTATGTTACTCACTAAATATGAAGCGTGCGATATGCCCCAACGGGCATCTATTTGTCTTATACAGACAATTTACCCTCGCTGTATTTGGTTAAACATTGCGATACTCAATATATAGCAATAGATGGAAAACACTCAGCAGAATGCAATAGCATTTCCTCTTTCCCTTAACATTTTAAATGTTTGCCTATTAAAAATGTAACCGATCATTTCGTCTTTTTTTTTTCTCCCAGGCAGCTGCCACACGAAGCATCGCTCCGTCCATCAAAAGACGCTCAACATATTTCACCCATGTGTACTTGATCATCACTGAGCCTGATTTGAGGTTTAAGTGTGTTTAGTGTTATTTCTTAGCGTTATTGCTATTTTTAATAATGGTTATAGCGGCGTTATTAGCTAAACCCGTAGTGGTCATAGTATGAGAAATTGTTTATGTGAGCACGTTTATCTACGACTGGTGTGTTATGCACACACACGGCCTAGTGTAGTGTCCATATGTTGCTGTGGAGAGTCACGTCCAAGGCGCGGTCGCGAAGACTAAAAAACTTCGAAGCTTGAATGAACCTGAAGCTTTCAGTCTTAACCGACGCCACCGCCGCGCTAGCACAACCGTCACCGATTCGATATCACAGCCTTTATTTAGCCTTGGCCTAGACCTTCTGCCAGTGACCACATCCTTCGCCGATAGTCACCTGCGTTAGGTGTACCCCATTCCGCGCCTTAAGATTGTTATGTGAGTCGTCTCCTATTACGACGGACGAGATCGCGCAGTGCACATGCTTAAGATATTCTTTATAGTCTCTTTTTTTCGGAACCATCACAAGTTTCCCCTCTTCTTCGCCACCTTTTACCGCTGTGCACCCTTTTTTCGGAATGAACTGCAGAACTTGCTACAGTATGTGTGTCTATGTATGCACTTTGTCGTTCTGATCGTAGTTCCCAATGCTTCGAAATGACGAAATTTCGGGCCTGCAAGTCCTTCTGTTTCTTGACTGTCCCTTCCCGTCTAGATTCGCCAACTTATTCTCGCTCGCTTTCGTACGCACATGCATGTAGACTATGATGACGATCTCTGTATAGATATATAGACCCATATACATATATATGTGTATGTGTGTGTCTTAGACGGCCAGTGATCGGCCAGCCGACAGCGGTTCGTAATGCATCGGCAGTGTCCGGTACTTCGACGGCGTTCAACTGGTCAGAAGAAAATGAAACAAGAAGGAGCGGGCAGAAGTGTCCAGCTGTTCAAGGCATCGCCACTACTCTTATTGCTGTCGATCCTTCCGCTGATGCTAATGTTTCTCTGTACTGTTACAGCCGTCACTACCATGGACGCAAAACCTACTCCGGTTAGTATCGCAAAGAAGTCCAAGGTCGCAGATCCCCCTTTCTAGGTCACCTAAACACACACAGACACACATCATCATCACCGTCGTCGTAATGGTCAGAATCTCCACTTGCTAGGCCTTGAGTAGTTGAAACTGAACCATACTCAGTCAGTACTAATAGCGCGGTCGACGACGCAGCGTTAATACGAGAAGCGGCAAAGACTGTCGTTTATATAAAGTCGAAAAAGAGTTTGACATGGCCTGCGCCGCAGGTCCGGCAACGGCCACAGCGGCTGACTTGATTTCTAGTTGGCGGTAGACATCCTAAACGCCGGCCTATGCGAGCTGGTTAGCCGGCGCGAATCCATCGATTGGTTCGCTGGATCGTCACTGATCCGGTGAGCATCAGGGTCTTGGCGTTCCCAGGACATAGTGAATGGGCTAGCCTGCTTGGATAAGCTAGGCCGCTGGACTGTTTGTTGCTTGATGTTCTTGCAGGACTGAAGTATGGCCTTTGGGCGATCAGGGATAGAGTCTGTGCTAGTCGAGGGGATCCAGGCCACCTTGGTCCGGTGAAAGTTTAGGTTTGTCTTCATGAGTTTTTCTCTGGATAGAAAGAGGATCTCTGCGTCAAAATTGGCTTAGAGGGGCCAGGTCGTTTGAGTCAGCAAGAGCCAGCCGCCTATTCGTAGTAGGCGTCGCTAGCATTCGCTGTGCAGTCTTTTTATAAATAATATAGGAATAAACGGGATCAATATGGTCTGCACTTTATACCCACGACATACGTCCTGTTAAAAGTTTTAATTGTTTATTGGAAATTAAATTATATTTAAGCCAGAAAGAAGTTTAGGGTTTTACTTAATGTGTCGTATTGCCAGGTAACGTGTAAATTATCTTTTTTTTAACTATTTTCTATGTAGCGAGGAGCTTTATACTAACAGCCGCGAAAACTGAGCTTGTGTTATTAGGTAAAGATTGTAGCCAGCGATAGTTAGTCAGCCTGTTGACCTATTCGATATATGTACAACTGCTTTATAAATAGCAATCAATGAAACTAGAGTCCTTTTTCAAGTCTAAGTGTCGAGATCAATACCATATATCTATATAAGTTTCATGATGGACACGGCCGCCTTTGGTGAAGAGAATCTGTTTTACGGTTAGCAAGGGTTACCCCAACTGTGTTTGGCACATATAGCACGTATCCATTGCACAATAGATTTCTGTTCACCTTGCCGACATTGACACTGTCCTTAGTTGTACCGCGTATCCTTACGCCTCGTGCGACCACAAAGTCAGTCACTCGCCAGTGGCCTCTTGAGCTAAACAGGCGACCCCCGTTGCCGTCTCGTGGCGATCATTCAAACAGGTATAGACAATAGTAGAGCTGCAGATAAGTGTGATGCGCGGCTCCTTAAACTAAATTTCGGTTTAACTCACTCTCTCTTGCGCTGCCTTTTGCCGTCTGTCTTGTCCCGTGCACAGTCCTCCTCATCGCCAAATGCATCAGTATGCTCTTCGTTGTCGTTTGCGTCTTCGTCTTCGTCGTCGTCGTCGTCGTCGTCGCCCATGAATCAGCCATAGCGACAAACGCTAGTGACGTCTATAGCAACCATAACGATGTATAGCAACATCAGTAGATCGTTGGCGTTTGGTTGTTCGTTATTCGCTCGGACTTTTTTCTCATCACCCTCTCACTGGGTAGGCTGACGTCTGCCCCATAGATCGGCCGCAGCAGCATCGAGGCACAGGTCTCAGATCTGTCGCATTCTTCGCTGTCTGGGCCGCGTCTGGGCCTTTGCCGCGAAAACTATAGATTGAGAAGGCAGAGAAAGATGGAGAAAATGACTCAGAGGGAACGAGTGAACCAGTAGAAACGAGAGAGCCAAGGAGACCCAGAAAAGAAATCTTAGGACGGAGGCGCTACTCAAGGACTGTTCAAGGAAGATCAGCGTAGTGGCCCTTGGGTTTAGCCCTCCTCTCTTTATCTATGTTGGATAGATCAGCGGACTAACAACAAAAAAGAAAAAAGGGTTTCGAACTTCGCTGCAGTCACGGTCGCTGCAACTGCTATTGAAATCCGTGCATCACGATCAGAAGCGGTAGAGCTATGGCGAGGAACCTTAAGAAGCGATATAACCAATGTTGGACTATGACCTCGTCTTCGTTTGTTCGAAGATACCTACTTAAGATAGAAGGGTAACGAAGGTGCAGATCAGAAGATGGTTCTGGTTCTGCTATCGATGATAATGCGTACTGCCCACTGGATCATTGGACTGATCTCGCGAATTACGCAAACACGCCGCAACCTATTCGAGTGCGTTGAAAAAAACGTTCTGATTCTTGCCGTGTTGGTGGATTATGTTTAGAAATTGTTCCCGCATCTAAAAACTAAGAACAGAATCGAGGGGTGGTTCCGATCATACAGCAAGGTTAGCTAAGGTGGATGGATACCCCGTCTAGGACGTCGAAGCTGGTTCTTCAGCTGTTAGTGCTGCTGCTACTGTCAACAAACGATGCGGCCCTGATGGGCCGTGATTGCAGGGCTAGTGCTACGCTCAAGTTTAAGGGAAAGTTACAGCATTTTCTGTAAGACTGCTTTCGATTAGACCGCGGTAACAGCAATTCAGCGAAGAACCTACTCTTTGATAGACAGAAAAGTAAGATGAGAATTTGAGATAAGTTGACATGGAATGGACCGAATTCAATAAAGCAGCAAACAACAATTGTGATGACTTTTATCAACTGTTGCTCAGTTTTAGGCTAGGGCCTGCCTCTACTGGCAATGTTGCCTCATTGAGGCTGCAAGCCTTTGACAAGCGTCATCTCGCAAAGCCTATTGGTAAAATGCTACGAGTAGACTGCCTTTAACCTTGTCTTTGTTCCCAATAAATTATCTCTATTAGAGTTTGTAGAGCGGAGTTTTCCAAGCATAATGACCATTAACAGCGGCTGTCAACAGTGATATGCTCTGTGGCTTGCCAAAAAAGACAGTCAACGGATTAGGCTTCCTCTTTGCTTAGGCGCGCGTGCAGCTACCGAATCATATTTTATTCCAGCCTTGACCTCAGCAAGCGCACCTTAAGTTCCGTTCCTGAAAATTCAAGGTGATGTTTCTGTGGCGCCAAACGCCTCATAAGCGACCATAATCCAGCCCGGCAAGTTCGTGACACTTGACGAACTCGCAGATATCATGGTCTGCATTTATTATTATAGACCAAACCAACGTCTCATTTGCAGATCGCCTCCACATGTATTACAACTGATATACGCTCAACTGACACTTCTTCAGATTTATCAGCTTGATTGAGTGAAACGTATGAAAACTGAAACCGTTTTCCGACAGCGGATCTTCCGAAGGTTGACATATACTTTTCAGCGCGTTTTTTCTTCTACTTGTTACTTCGTTTATGTTGTTTTGTCCGGTAAAAATTGCCGAACCAGTGGACTATATACAATGCCAGACATTCACCGTACTCACTCTATTTGATGCGAGTTTTTTCTGTTTTTAATTTCTGCAACGTTGTCTAATCAGTTTATGACTGATCCAAGTCGTTCCTTGTGTGATGGGTGTACATTCGTGCCTGTGCATGTGTGTGCGAAGTTGATCGGATCTGTCTGTTTTTCTCTGTCGGTACCGTATCGTAAGAACTGCAAACCTTCGATTTGTTGGGCGGGCGGGGGGGGGGGGGTGTAGGACCGTTTTTGTTCTGCTGAACGAATTCGAAACGATTTAGCCCCTGTTCCCCCAATTATATATATGTGAAGCTATGCTAAGGCAATGGCGCTCCTACAGCTGGCGCGTCGAATCGCTAAGAAATAGCGCTTTCCTGGATTGATCTGCAACTTGCAGGTGATATCTCTACAGAACAGCTGCACATTGTCATAACTGCACATTTATGTATTGGAATCATATGTGATTTATGCTAAGTGCGATACTAGATTTTTAGTAGAACATGAGTAGAATCTCATCTGACTACGGACCTGACAATCTGACTCATTGTCCAAGTGTACAACGGCCTTATACCCTTATATACAGACGAATGTACAGATCATATTACTTCCTCTCCATGCGTATATGCATATAGTTACCTTTCCCTAATCGTTTTTTACTTAGCAGCATCTTTTCTCAGCGTGATCTGGTACGTTTGACTTTACAGCTCTAGATCCGCGCGGCAGCTCGGTTGAGCATCGTAGTGAACCTGCACACATTTAATGTGTATATGTGTACTATATAGAGGTCGACAAACATAGATTGGGCTTCGGGTTCGATCTTTCTGGCGGTAGTCCTCTCCAGAGCCTGCAGCAAAGCTGCTACTCCGGACTGCTACAGATCTCAAGCAGTTCTGGATCGCTGCTGCCTGCCGCCTATCAGCCTTCCCACCACGAACTCCCAAATAAAGGGATGGGGTAGAATAGGGGGTTCAAACGGGCGAGGAGGATGCACTAAATGAGAGAGGGTGCGACCAGATCGGCTCGATAGACTCGGTTATGTAAGACGGGATTGATCCTGTGCACTTAACCAGTGATGGTTAGACCACGACACGATAAGAACGTGTGGTTGCTGTTCCTGTTAAGCACGTTTTCATTACTGTTATTCGTTTAGCCACTGTTGAGTCGTTGTCTTCGTTGTTGTGGTCAGTGCAGTATTGTTGACATTCAAACGAAATTAAGACTTCCCTTGTTTCACTATAAATTTCAAGGATATTAGCCGCGCGACCCAGGGATAGAACTTGGTCGTGATGCGTACGACGTCAACGAAGTGACAGCATCACTGTCAGAACAAAACATTGTATTGTTTAACTGTTACTTTTGTCACTTCGAGCGGATGAGTTAGTCGTGATGAGCTTCGACAGCAGTCGTCTTTTACTGTGTCACGTTCGAAACGAGAGTGAGAAAGACTCGAATAAAGGGTGTTCGTTTGCGTGAACGGCAATTTATGCCCTATTTATGTCATCTGTGTGGATTCTCCTGCGCGACATTTATATGCAAGTGGTAACCAAGTGTGCGTATCGTAATGGGATACTCCAAAAAGTGATTTAAGAAGCCACGACAAACGCAACAAACAAAATAAACATGACTGTCTTTGTCAGCTTCTACTACTTTGGATACTTTTAAATACGCTTGCGTCGTGTCGAAGTTCTGACGAAGGACGGGCACACGGAAAAAGGTTAGCCTATAGCTATGACTGGTTAGAGGCGTTGCTTACGGTGGCAAAGGGCTAAAAAGTAGAAGGCCATCGTAATGACAGACGTTGTGCCGGATCGATCCACATACGTTTAAAGAGGTGGAGTCAGCGTCGACGAAATCGACGTGCGTATGTATATACGACGTAGCGGTTGCTCCCAGTTTCTCTTTTAATGTGTTTGAGGGGCGCTCTAAAACGGCGGCTGAAGAGGACGTTTTCTCACTAAAGAAACAGTTTAGTACCTCTATACGTGTTAGAGAAAAAAACGCTTACGAAATCTAAAAATCTCTGCTCATTTGTGGACACGTATACGCTATAGGTAACTCTAATTAATAAAGATAACACTGTTGAGATCGAAATTTTGCAGCCCAGGCAGAAGGATGAAATTATTACACCAAGCTAGTCTCACTTAGATTAATTTCCTATAAATGTTTGCAAAATTTAAGTAAAATTTTCATCGTAATCTTGTAAATAATATTCTGTGAAAGTTAAATAAACTTTCGTCTAAGTCGTATCACGATGAACGGACGCAACGCACGAGTAACGATATGGAAAAACATTGATTTCACGTGACGGTCAGTGATTGAGTGAATATAATTACACAGCAGTATAAGTTAAAAATCGTCTGTAAGCCCTTAGAAACCACACAACGCAGAAGTTAAAATTTAGCAGTCTCATTCCACACTGGTTGGACATAGGCGCTTTATTCTAACGTTCTTCCGAGGCTAGCGGCACGGTAAATAATTGGTAATCGTAAATTACTGAGCTTCTAGCTGCTTTTGATTTGTCCACGAGTCTTACCATAAAAAATACTTTTTTTTATTATTTCTAAATAAGCGGTGACTGTCTAGCGACAGGCACAATGAATGGCGGGAGGGGGAGAGGATGACCACTAGCTTAATTAACTAATTAGAAAACAGGTGACCCTATGTTTTCCTTGCCTTACAAGGCTTAATATGCTACGCGATGAAATTCAGAGCTGAAACAATTTGAACATAGTCGTCAATAGCTAGCAATATAAGGAGCACGGTTGTGGTCAGGGTATTACATACTGCTTAAAGGAATCACACGAAGTTCAATAGAATTTTAATTCTCTAAATGTTATCTAATTGTCACTAACAGGTACATCTGCTTCGTTGTTGTCACTATTTCAATTTACAGAAGATAGCAGTAGCAGTTGCCAGGATGAAGGAGAGTACGGACGCTGGTGGCAACGGTGGCGGGGGCGGCCTTGGGGGCCCAACAATGCTACCTTACCGGTTGGGACTGGCGCAGTTCTTCAACTTGTCGTTTCCGACGTCCACGCTTGCCGATACCCAGCCACCGACAGCGTCGTCTACGACTGGCGATGATTTGATTTTACCCCTTCCTTCAGGCACCAAAACAGGTACGAGCAGCGTCGACACAGTCGTACGATATCTCTTCGAGCTCCAAAGTGTGTTTATTGAGGCTAAGTGGTTCACCGCGGGCCGTTGTTACCAAATACAATCGACTAATACAATATCAATACCGTATACAACGATAATTACGTCGCATGACTTCGAACCCAAACTGTTCATACTCATCATGATTGTCAACATTTCAAATGACTTCACAGTTTCCAAGTAATTTTCAACCAGACGTACGCATCATGAATAATAATTATGGTCGGCCACAGCCGCAAAGGCGTTTGTTCAAGTTTCTGTCTCAATGCTATTGGGAACTGACAGCTGACTCTCGTTGGAAAACGATCAAATGGCCAGTAGTGAGATGACAAGGTTCCTATGTGCTTACAGCAGTATTTTCCTCTGTCTCCCCTTAGATGTTTTCCTTGTCGTCGCAATGTGTTCATATTCTGCCCGGCATTTTAAGGCAAACATCGCGCTGCACCAGATGTCGCTCCCGAATAATCGACTGTTGTTCAATTTTCATTAGCTAGAACAGACTTTATGGCAATTTATAGCTTGTATACACATAAGAATGAGCAGTATACATAAGCATCTTTGAGCTTTTCTAGCTAGTTGACCTGCTTTTTTCACCTTTTTTTTTGCTCTGTCCTGTACGGTTTGGTGCAATAACTCCCTTTAATTCGGCGACCGCTCACACGTACACACATACACATACACACACTGTTGGCGTCTAAATTCTAAAGCCTTTCTTTCGAAATACGAATATCTGTGTGTGCGCATGTCTGTGGAAAGAGAACCCCCACGCGCTGAAGAGATTGGTGGCATTGTTTTTCGCTCGTCGCTCGTGTACCGTTTGTCCCTTTTTGATGCTTTCGGCCTATTCTCCGCTATCTTTCGGCATCGATCGTCTCGCGCAGCGGATTTCATGATTCAGTTCTACTTCTCTTTCTGTATCTTTCGTGTATTTTGGCCGTGGTGAGTACACGCTGTTGATGCCGTGAATCGCGTGCATCGACCTCCTGGCCACCACTAGCAAAGTCGGCCTACAATCCTTGCACAGGAAAAGCAGTTTCCTACGCGTGGTGATCGTCGCCGCGCAATGATAGCTGCAGCGCTAGTGAAGCTCTTTCTCGGTAGTGGTTGCGGCGGCAGCGGTAATCATACTCCTTTTTTTTTTTCGGGTTTTTTAGTGAGGAAGTGAGTTCTGGTGACCCAGATCCGCTACCACCCTCTCTGGGTGTGGTTCGCACCGCTGCTGGTGCGGCTATAGCGGATATATATGCGACCGAGAAACGCACCTATATCTCCTTCATCCCCCTCTGCCCCCCTTTTCTCTCTCGCTCTCTTTCTCTCTCTTTCTTCAATTCTATCATGCTTCGAATTTCTCTCTCTTCTCTGGGTCGCAAGGATTAGAGCATCGTAGAACATATGTACTCTGTTCGGTATACTGCACTGTGTGAGAGCCCGATAATTCGGTAGCGTTCAAATTAACAGTGAGACCTTTTTGCGAGCTTTGTTCACAATCCGGTATAGCGCCTGCTCTTAACAATTTTACCGTTATCTTAGAATTTCGAAGAATAAACATTTTTACGTGACAAGTACGTCAATGCTTCAAGCAATATCTTCCAGTACCGTTGCAAACTGACTACAGTGTAGAAACGATGTCATGCTTAACGAACGTGTCACGACAACCGTTCTTTGTCCCCGTAACTGTTTTCAGTTTATACACTAATGAACAATTGATTGCGTTGCGTATTTACCCGTAGGTGTGGTAGAATAGTAAGAATTTTCTAGACTTTTCCAGTCGACAGCAGTGAGCCGCTGAAGTTGACGGAATCTGGAGTTCGATAGCAGCAGCACCATCCGAGCTGTTGGGTTTAGATTCTCGTACTCTCACGCCGTTGCGCAACTGGACGGTGATGTGTCGCGCGTACAGAGAAACGCGTTCTCTTTGGCACTGAGTCTACTGAATATTGTCTGCTGACTATGCCTGTATATCGGAATCGGACTTAATCGCTGCGCATCGGGTGCCCATCGAAGAAAAAAAGGCTTCAAAAGTAGGCCAGCGGATAGCGTGTAACGAGTAAGGGCTCTGACAAAAACTGAGAGGGTGGCCGACGTAGTAGCCTGGATGCTCTCGTGTGACTCGGGTGCTCGTAGCCTGTTGTTTACTGCAAGTTGCGTAGGTGTAGGGCTGATTTTTGGATGGTGACTACCTTCTATCTGTCGATACGCGCGGCATCTATCTATGGTTTTGTTGCTGTAGCAGGGAGTGAGCATGACGGTTTACTGAACGAACGAATGGATGATCGCGATGAGTACCGATGAGCAGTGCAGAGAATGAGTGTTACGCGTTGCGGCTCGACGAGTGTGCTAGGCGCTCATCGTATGTCGTATAAAGAGCGAATATATGCAACGGATTGTACCCAAACATGTGCGGAGGCGGGTCAAACATGGGGAAGCCATGTCACTAAATAGGGACCGAATGGACGGATGAGTCGACGTGGTGCATTAAGGCAGCGAGGGACTTATTTGTACACAGCAGCAACGACAGTAATAATAAAGCAACTCGAAAGGGGGCGTTTGTGCCTAGTCTTGCACTACGAGGGATGAGGAATAATGAAGGGCTGTAGACGCCGCCTTACACCCAGTCACTGGTACATTACGCAGACACTCACATAGTTAGACACACTAACAACTACTTAGCAAAAGGAGGTTCGGTTAAAAAATAACAGCAGCAATAATTATAATTATTTGTATTATTATAGTCACCGAGAGGTGCACTAAACGCATTAAGGATAAGAGAATGATTGCTGATAATTTGTTTCTATAATTACGCGACATTAATTATATCCATTGGTGCATATCGTTGTTCCGGTAGAACCTCGTAGTAAGGGGTTATTAAGAATGGCGATGCCCAGCGCGAGCGGATACTTGACAGCGCTTGATCGATGCAATGTTTCAACAAATTGCTTACTATTTGTAGGCAATGGCACGAGTGGTAGATCAGCGAATTCGCCGACAAACGGCTCTTCGAGTGCGGCAAACGCTGCCGCTAACGGACAGAATCGAGACAAGTTGTTCCAATGTGGCGTGTGCAGTCGCTCATTTGGCTACAAGCACGTGTTGCAGAACCACGAACGGACCCATACGGGTGAGAAGCCCTTCGAGTGTAAGGAGTGCAAGAAACGATTTACCAGGGACCATCATCTCAAGACACATATGAGGTAAGATTAGGATATTTTGACATGAATCTGTTGCTATCATCATTAGCATCATATACAGTATAGTGTTCTTGCTGGATCAGAAATATGAGGCTTCATTCCAAGTAGTAAAATGTCGAGTCCACAAACGCCTCAGTGACATTCTTCTTCCTGCTTTTGACGCGTGCTACAGGTTGCATACCGGCGAAAAGCCATACCACTGTACGCACTGCGAGCGACAGTTTGTGCAGGTGGCTAATCTGCGTCGCCACCTGCGAGTGCATACAGGCGAAAAACCATACGCCTGTGAACTCTGCTCTTCGAAGTTCAGCGACTCCAATCAGCTCAAATCACACAATTTAATTCATAAAGGTACGTTGCCTCTTATAATTCATGCAGTTCAAATATTATGGCTACTAGCATTAGACTCAACTCAGTGAAAACCTTTTGTATGAATAGGGCTACCTTCAAGTAAGTACTAATATTAATTCTTCAAGTAATAAATCTTCTTTCCATAGAACACGTGCGCGACGCGAATCCAGCCAATCACTCCCCTGACCTCATATACTGAAGCAATTAGAGTAGTAGCTAAACTTGCATGATCTGTCTTTCGTTTTGTTTTCTTCACAGGAGAAAAGCCGTTTACGTGTAATCTATGTATGGGTAGATTTCGTAGGCGACATCATCTTATGCACCACAAATGCCCCAAGGACCCGAACGGTCAGGCGGTGGTATCGAGCAACGATCTCGGCTCGTCATCCCCCCCATCGCCGGACTCTCCCGTGTTGTCCTCCCTATCCCTTGTGTCGGTCGGGTCGCTCGGGGCCAAAAGTCCGCCCCCTCCGCTCACCTCCTTTGACTCAACCCACACATCGCCCACCGCCGCCCAGGTTACCAGTATGCCTCCGTTTACGCAGCTCTTGCGTGGCTCCGACATCTCGACAACCGAACTACTCCGTAAGTATCATACATATCGCCTTATAGATGGAAAAAGACCTATGAGGCTGAAATGAAAAGTCATATTGCTAGCTTTACTCCACTTTCTAAGTGAGATTATTGGATAAATAGTTTATAGTGTACCCATAGGCACGTCAGAAAAGATCTGTCACGTTGTGCTAATCAATGCACTCTGGTTTGTTTTGCTCCTTCTGTCACGCAATTTTAGGACAATTCCAGTCACCTCTTCCGCTAACGAGTTTGACACCGCCGACGCCCAGCTCGCCAACGCTTCCCGCCCTCTTGCCAATTCCGCCCGCACACCTTCAGCTGCTCCAGGCGCAGGCTGCTCAGGCGTCCCAGGCTCGGACGCAACAGCCGCCTTCGCAACTGATGGCCAGCCTGGTCACACTTGGTACGGGCGCACTGGCTAATATTAAACTGCCAACTTCCGCCGAGAAGGTGAGCCGTCGAAAACCTAAACACACGGTGCGCATCCTATCGGCGGAACAACAACGCGAGCTGTTCGTCGCACATCGTCCACCCGACTCCGTGCAAACGGAACCCCTTGATATGAGCGCAAAGAAAGGCGGCTTCGTCCTAGGGGACGTGCTGCGGAACAACGGCGCCGACAAGTTGGGTCGCGACAACGACAAACTGCCAACGTCGACCGGTATCGACGGCGTGCTTGACCTATCCAGCTCGCGTTCGTCAAGTCTGCGCAGCGACAGTGAGCTGGATGCGGCCAGCAGCACGGCGGGGCACCCGTTCCCTGACGATGATCAGAGCTCGTTGACGCCGGACCCGCACGACAGCCATGAAGTTGAGGCCGACACTGCCGGAGATCGGGACATCGGCACGATGTACGATCGCATGCACCATCGCATCAGTCGCCACCAACACGATCCCCATCACAACGATCATGAGCATGATACAATGGTTGATGATGATGATGATGAGGACGGCGACGAGGCCATGATGGAGTCAGAAGGCTCCGAAGGCGATTTGTCGCTGCGAAAGTCGCTCACTCCTATCAATCCACTTGGTGGGGGCCGACACTCGAATCAGCCGCAGGCCGGCAAACAAGTCGAAGTTAGCTAGACGAACTGCCAGGAGTGGCAGTGCTCAATCGAGAAGCGCGCGAGCGCGTGTATGTGTGGTGTGTGGAAAAAAATGAGAAATAGAAAAATATGAATCGATCGACTTATTGTCGAATGGTGGTTGATGCATAACGAAGGAATGATAACACGATGAATACGAAAAGAAAATGGCAAATGTCGAATGAAGAGCGTACTACGTAAGGAAAGGTGGAGCGCTACATACGGCGGGCGGAGTGTGACCCACCAGCCTCCCTCGAACACCAAAAGGCTGTGCAATCAACACCCCCTTGGGGGGAACCACATTCCCATCAATGAATTAATAATAACAATAGTAATTAGTGTTATACAACAATATATTAGTTGTGAGTAGTCGCTATATATATATATATATATAAAGACGGAAAGGCAAAAACTTTAAGGAAGTGCACGTCTGCCCAGCCCGCCCTTCCGAATTTTATCTATTCTGTTTTTATTTTTTCCTCTATTTCCATCAGCACTTTCTCATCCTCATAACAACTCAGCCTTTCTTTCGCACCTTGTAGTTTCCCATAATGGTCACTGTTATTGCCATGAAACTCCTATTTCTACCTAGTTATATACCACCCCATTCTCTGCGTAGTTGACCCCATTCTCTTGGATTGACGCAAGTGCCCTTTGATGGCATCGTGCGCGCTATTGCCGCCAGCGTGAACCCACGAAAGGCGGCCTTCGATGTGCTCACTGCTTTATCGTTGCTTTGACACGATAATAATATTAATGATAACGTGTACAGACGAATGACTATACAATTCTGGAAGGTAAGAAAAATTGATAGTAGACGATAATGATTATAACACTGAAGGTAACATTGCTAATAAAAAGTATATTAATAAATGCACCCGAGAATGCGCATACAGCGAGCGTTAACATGAAGAGCGTATATATATACATATATATATATATATATATATATATATATATATAGATTTTTATTTATATATATATATATATATATATAGAATAGAATATTAAAAATATGAAAAATGGAGCCATGCGGAAATGGAGGAAGAATAATCGAAGTAAAAGAGCGACAGACAAAAAATGGTATTAATTAAAAGGGAAAGGGGCATATGAATACTAGAAATAGTAATTATAATGAAAGATGATGACCACTGTGTTGCTAGATATTGTCTATGTAGAAGTAATCAGAGAGAAGATTATTATGTTTGTATGTAGAGAGAACGAGAAAGAAAGTCTATATTAACGCGTAGCGCCGCCATCGTTTGCATTACAACCGTTTGTCTACACTTGTCGCAAATCGTCAAGCGACGGTGGACGTGCGCGCACAACCTCTACGTTGACGTGGAGTCTACGGGTATATTTTCAATGTATCTAATGAAATAACGACGAAAGACATCTACACTAACGATAACAATAGAAATACTAACCAAATATATTAACGAGATACATTACTCATAAACAAAATTTATAAACACAACAGACAAACCAATCAAAACTTATCGAAGTAGAAAGGGGAAGCAAGAGCTAATATTAAAAAAGTAAAGCTGATATAAAATAATTAATGTGAAAGACTTGTCCTATTGCCGTTTCTATGTGAATTCGTGCGTTTTTTGTTAGCGTTTGTGAAAAAATAATAAACCGTTATTATTTTGTAGTTGAGAATATTTGTCATAGCAATACCTGTAAAGCATATACATGGGAACTGGCACTTACCCACTATAAAATTGTGGTTGACCTTATTGTGCTCCTGAACTGAGTTGAATCTGAATGAGGTTAATTAGGACATAGATACGTTCGTACGAACGAACAACCAAAACCAATAAAAAGATAGAGCAGAAAATAAAAACGTCTACAGAGTTCATGAAACCAACAATTAATCAAAAGCTGTTCTATTGCTACAATTGATGGAATCGACATCAACGACAGTCCATATTGTTTATTCAAGTCTTGCTATTATTGACAGTACCTTGTCTTTTCAACAGCACCTTTCAACACCATCACAATACATGTACACGCCCACACACTCACATTCACATGCATTGATAAATCAATCAATCAATCAATCAATAAAATCAAATATTGAATCTGACACATCAAAACATGAGGCGAAAAAGAGAGAAAGAGTTATGGAGATATGGGAAGCACTGTTTTTTTAAACTAAACGCGCCCCTAAACCCTGCCTGTCGTCTCGTGCGAGTCCATAATCTTAACGTTGTTGAATGTCCAGCATAAGCCTCATTATCCAATCCGCTGTCTCCTACACATGACCAGCTCACGTAACTAGTTGATGAGCTCACCAAGCTATCATGCTGAAAATAAAATTTGTGGAACTTCTATGTTTATTGTACTGAATTGACGCTAGTTAATCGAAATTAACTAAAACAAAAGCTTACGTCTCATATGGTCGATTACAAGTATCTATTAGGGTCCTTATTTGGATGAAGTTCAAACATATCGGCATTGATGACGACGGCTATATAGCGCGACAGGTAATTCAACCAAATTAATTTTTTACTATTAAGATAAGTAAGAAAAAACGACGAAAAATAAGATGCGACAACTTACTGAAAGCTCGCGTAAAATGCCCGCATGATATCTGGACTTGTTACCACCCACCCTCTGATCTATTAGAGTTTCCTGTTAGGAGCAATCGTTTTCAAGTGTAGCGAGACGGTGGATGTCACCAGCTGCGGCCTGCGGCATCATGTCTGAGCTTTTCTGCTGCGGTGCTCCGCGGTATGTGTCCTCCCGGAGCACTGAAGGAAAAAAAGGAGTGTCGGAGGCATTTCTACTAGCACGGGCAATGCTCGTCATGTTAAGCAATGGACGCACTCTCTAGTCACCGCTTACCACTCCGTGCCCGATTAATACAACACTTGTGTCGTTATCGCTAACTGCTGGCTATATACACGTACTGCTATTATTATAACACCCTGAGCATAGATATATATACATATATATATATATATATATATATATAATGATGATAACAGCTACGGCTTGTAATATTATAAACCAATTATAATCGATTAATATTATGGTAACGATGATGGTGATTATGATAATTGCGACGGCTATTATTCTTATAAACTATTGTCGACAGAGAACGAAAGGGAACTAACAGAGGAAACTTGAATTAGACAATGGCCAACAACAAATAAGAACTCCTTGAATAAAAAAACGTGTGCTGTCAACATTTATTATGTTTATTACTACTTCTACTGCAACATCATAATGTGAGCATCACGACAACAGAAGCGGATCGATTAGCAAATCAATTCATTGGCCTAGTAACAGCTATCGATGAAGAAATTCAGGAAAGATAAGGCTGGTAACGGGAACTGCTAAATTTCTATTTACTTGATAATGTAGTATCAAGGCCGTTAACGGCGACAATGGAAAATTGTAATGGAGGCTGGCTTGGTTGCTTCATAACAGACGCAAATAATATGTAGAGAAAGGAACATTGAGAAGGACGGCATTAAGCAGTAGTATGATAAGGTATCGTATGATGACGGCTCGACTTCATGCTATGAGCGCCCATCGAATTACCACGCCAAATTAGCAAACATTATAAATATATATTCGCGATTTCCGTATATAGGAATGTGAAGATTTTCACAAGCGGATTGTTTGATACGATTGGCCGTCAATGAAAGCATAGTATAAAACGAATGGATACATGTTACTTAAACCGGGGGAGATTCGAGATTAACAAAGTTATCATTGAATAGCAACTTAAGAATAAACTAATCGAGCTCACCGTTTATATGTGAGTGACACTCTCCCACACCTTTAAAGACGATCGATACAGCTACACAGTCAATCAAACGCATTGTAGAGAAATTCTAAAGGGACAAACCCACGACTTCACAATCAGCAAATAAAAGGCGCGGGCAAAAAAGAAAGAGATTAGCTTGACGTTATCACAAGGTGAACAGCGACGTTTATTTACATATACCTGCTCGATTCAGTGAATCTAAACTGAATAAAGTTTAGTAAAGCGATATGCGGCATTGTAACTCGACGGTGACCTTCGCACCTCATTCTGTGTTTCTTTACTACGATCTGTCAATTTTCATGCGTACGAGCGGATAATAACAGGAATTAACGATAATGATATTAATAAATAATTACAATTACTAAAACCCCAAAAAATGGAAAATAAAAACAAAAAACTGTGTGTCCGCTACCCGGCGCTCTTTAACTGTCTGCCTACCGCCTGGTAGGACTTTTATGTAACAATGAGCATTATTATTACTATTATTATTATGATCTCTGTACTTTATACAACATGTTGTAAATAAAGTTATATTTTCAAAAATATACTCTATCGGGATGCTTATTTGATGTATATGATAGTTCACGGAATTTTCTGGAAATTTAGGGCTATAAAAAATTGAAGGTTCATCTGATGACCATAACAACAAGGGTCTGTGCCACCCACACAAAGCAAACAGGTTTTAACAACGAAAGGCATCAAACCCTCTGCGAACGTGAATGCGGAAGCAGAAATGTACCGTATAGCTAAAATAACTTTTAAAAAAATTACGTTCTCTAGATTGAAATAACGTCGCTTGTTAGCCGTTCAAAAATAGATATAAGCCTCCGTAACTGGTTGAGCTAAAAACCCTGAATGATTTTTCAGTGCCCATCAAAGTTGCACTAGCACGTAGCGGGTCTTATATTGAGATGTATGGGTCAGATCCATTAAGAGGTTAATACTAAATTTATTATAAATATCGAAATTTAGCAATTTACTTTATTGACGAATTCGCGGGTCAAGATTATATAGATCTGCACGTGCTTAATCAAGTTACAACTGGAGACATTAAGCCTCGAATTCGCCGGCGCTACTGTCTATTCCGGACCGCAAAATGTTATAAACGAATCCGGTGGACATCGAAATTAAGTAACTTTTTAACTAGTTGGGCCAGAGTGATTGTTGTTATACATGTTCGAGATAGTCTCATATATTTTTTAGAGCGCTCTGAACAGCCATATAGCTACTATCCGCGTTCCTGGATGTGCTTTCTCTACCGATAGCTTCTTAAGTTAAATCGATAGTGGAATACACTTGACCATCAGTTGCCCTTTTTAGGACATAAAAAACCTCGTAGGCTGATGCATTTAAAACGAGAGAATAACCAGATTGAAATCAATGTTCAGTATTATTTTGCTTAATGCAAGAAGAAGTTAGGGCATGGCAACGAGGTTTGGTGTTGTTATTAAGCGACCACATTGCGTACGCTTGATTGTCGTACCGAAGGTCTATGAACCTCCGAGACAACTCGAAATAGCATTCATTGTCTGATTCTCCGCATTGCCTTATTGCTATACAAGCAGATGCATCTCATGTCCATGAACCTACTCAACATTGCCATCGAACTCAATTTCTATTCAGGACAAAGCCAAGCTCTTATCTGGTTTCTATTTCACTAACGGTAGAGATTAAAGCATGTCTCATCTATAGCGGCCGTATGCTCTACATAGGCTTTTTGTTGATTAAAGTTCTGCAAATAGCACGTGGAATACACCACGCGCATTTCCAACTGGCCTCGAGTCAATTTAGAATAAACAATTTTTTGTTCGGGATTTTCAGTATTCGGGTTCTGTAGCACGTTTTATGTGAAATGCCAGCTTCGGCTGACTCGAAGCCTTGCTTTCACAAAAAGCTTCCTCGATTGCAGCAATGCGTTCCCGTCCTTCGGGTCTTGTCACCTGGTCGCCTTTTTACCAACCTTCAACAGTTCACAGAACGTTTGCGCCATTCACGTACTGTGTCTTCGTCTAAAGGTCCCTTGCCTAATGGGTTTACCAATCTTCAATGGATTTCTGCAACGCGGTTACCTGCTAGTAAAAGTGTAATCACTAAGTGGTGGTTTTCAACACCAAAATATGTTTTACCTACTGAACTCATTTGTTTTAAAGTAAACCGGTTTTTACCAGTATATTTCTAAAAATACGGAACCTATACCTGCAAAACTTCGCCCGCTATGACCACACAGTTGAAAATTACTTCATTTCAAAAATAACCAGATTCGTTTATAACAGCTTAGTACATAGCTTATCTTAGTGTTCCATTATTGTACAATTGCCAATCCAGTTCCGAACTAAAGCTACTCTCGGCATACTGCGAGTGGGTTAAACAAAATCAGGCATAAACGAAAAATATCCGCCTGAAGCGCCTTACACTGATCAGGATGAGAGAGGGCCATTTGGGTTGACAGACGTCATCAACAAGAATCGGTCGAGGACTAATTATAACAATAGATGACAGAGCTCTCAAATAGGAAGTTCGTTCTCGTAAGTCAGAACATAATTATTCGACTGACGGAGCGTCTTTGAGCCTCTCCATTAGAGCCGAGCTTGTTTAGAGGAACGTGTGCCGAGTAAATATCAATGGGCCACTAGTCAGAAAGTGGGCTGTGGCCAGTGCGCGAGGCTTGCCTGTTTCGCCGTTGATGTAAAACAGTGGTCGCCTTTTTATAATCACAAAAAGCTCACATACGATTGTGCTTAGAAGTGACGAAGCTACGACTCAAGCATCGTTTCCATTGTGCCTACGATCCATTCAAGGCCCACTGTGCTGAGCGGCGAAACAGCAAGCGAAGTCCAACTAACGCGACTTCGAACAAGCAGCACGCGAATCGTAGAGTCGCTGATGGAACTAATTAATGATTTAATATCGGTAGCGGTTTTTCAAAGAAGACGCATTACCGATAGTTTTCGTTCTCTTGTTAACGTCGAAGCAATGGCCGTTATAGGTGATTATCTGGATACAACCTAAGTGTGTAGCGAGAAAACGCCGGAGGACAAGAGGATTTGCTGTAATAACATCGAATATATCGAAATTTTCAGTACCAGATGAGTTGAGTTTGTGCTCGCGCAAGCGAACAACGCAGTGTAGTTCAAGGCATCTACTGCACAAGTCCGAGAGTAGAACTTAATGGTGCGCGTTCCACCATCCTGTTTGAGACTGACGAACGGTTCCAGCGAAGTATTTTCCATGACCCAACCGGCTGCAATAACAATGCAGATCGAATCCAGGAACTGCCGAAACAATGCAGAGTGAACTGCTTACGAAGCTCAAGTTCCCTGGCCTATAATTACATAGTTCAACTTTAGAACGAGCCTTTTCAGGCAAGCCAAGCCACAAAGTACCAAATTACTATTCAACAAGTCGGGGCGACTAACATAACGTGCGTACCGTGATGACGAGCGAACCAGAAAGAAGTAACCATTCGTTGATTAGACGTTGATATCTAGTTGATTTCCTTGCCTTGGTTGTAGATCAACGTCCCCTTCTGCCAGCAGGAACAAATAGTTAAGTCTGTTCATAACGCGACATACATGATGTTTGTCTGTGAAAAAATATACAAGAAAACTTTGGTGGCGGGAAAGGTGGCATCAGGTCCAAGCGTACTGTGGATAGATTATTACGGAAAGCCATTTCTCGCGCAGTGTGCCCAGCGGGATGAAACATCAAAGTCACGATCCTCAACACCACTCTGCGATACGTCCGTCATTACTGATATTGTTACTGAGAACTCGCACCAGCTTGAAAAGAAAGTCGGCCTTGGTAGGCCACCACGAAAGACAAGCTCCTTGAGAAGGGTCTCACTAGAAAGACGTCCTGACACTTTTCTGTTGTAACTGGTTCATTGTGATGCAGGCGTTGGACTTCCGCTTGGCCAAGCTTGAGCTCGCGAGCCACGCCCAGGAATGAAATTAAATGGCTTCGTCGTCAAAACACTGCAGAAACTTGTCATGGTAGAGAAATTCGTCAGAGCCATGAACAGCATTTGAATACATCTTGAAGGGCTGCTGCAAGCAAAAAGTTATTGGGTACTGCTGTTCGCATTACCCTCTTTAGTTAAAAATAGTAGTGTTCAATATCTTTGGATCCTTGCAAGAAATGCGAATACAAGACAGTCATCTTTGGCGAGCTACAAGCCAAGTATTTCTCTTCAACCAAATAATAATCTTCCGCGCTACACATCCTTCGCCTGCTTTGAGTAATACAGCGGAGTAATAACACGACACGCCATAGTGCAATTTCAGTCGATAGGAAAGACGCCGACATCAGTCCGTTTACAACCCGGTCTATTATTATTGATTGAAGCCAATCAGCATTGCCAAACAGAATCCGAGAACGCCTTTCTGAGAGCGCAATCAATGAATGCATGCTGTACCACAAATTATTTTTATAGTCCAAGAGATATTGAGAATAGCCAACAACTAACCTAACAGAAAACCCGTGCAAATAAGTGACAACGTCTATCACGTCATCACAACAAGTCTCTGTAGGTTCTTTCAATTCGAATTACGTGTCGCTCTACAGTGATGGTATCGATAGCGCCAAAAGCTTGAATGCTTAAGTCAGTTTTTCACAGTGGCCGAATACTAGGTATCTAAGTGACAAGTTGAGGAGCTACGAGCGTAAGCATTTTCTAAAAGATAAGAAATGTACAAACGCGCAGTTGCGAATCAGCGTGCACGAAATACATTGATATCCTTAATGGCGGAGTTTTCTACAAAAGTGATAGGCAAAACTGCCCAGTTGGTGACGACTGCAGTTCGTGAGTCTCGCCTAGCTGAATAGGCCTGAATTGGCTGGGTGCGGAAACATGCAAAACAACCCTTTTTTCACTAACCAGTCTAGCAGTGATTTTGGTTTTACAGGCTGTTCGAGTAGGGAGAAAACGCAGATTCTTGTAAAATACACACGATCGAAATTTTTCGGCCTGAGCCACTGCCGCGACGCTACCCAGATGCTCTTTGTGCCATAGAGGCCTGCTAACGATTCTCCAAGATGCTGGATAAACTAATGAACTTTACCTATTTCCGTTGTTCCTTTGCTATTGTGACGCACTTGACTTGCGATGGATCGTAGTGGCAACTCGCAGTCCATTTATACGTCGAAATTCCCTTTTACCAGTCATTTACTTGCTGGTCGGGACATTTACTGCGACTATCGCTATGGTTAAGGCTTCGTGAGAAAATGCAATTGCAACTAGTAATCGCTTCGTACGTTAAGGCGCACTGCTTTTTAGGAAGTATACAGTGAAAATCGATTATTGACAGATAACCGAAGATCTTCGATTTTTCATCATGATTTATTAAATTTTACTAGCAGTGATCATTCTGATCCGATAAGTACTAGCAGCATCATAACAATGATGACCCCTCACCTCCACGTGCCTAAATTAGGTTTACTATAATTATACAATTTCTAGTAGTATCATATCTTTCCCCACTTCAAGATGAGTTAAACAGGTGGACTGCTGAGGATACGACTGGTTACTTAGCAAAAACAGCAACTTGAATATAAGCCATTAAATCTCAAAGCTAAGCGACATCTCGATTAGTTTAAAGACACCCAGAAAAGAATCACTGTGATATCCATAATAATAATAGTACCCAAAAAAATCAGTGGTTCAATTATTAGCTGTTTGTATAATGTACCCATTTTTGTTATGAATTATTATTATCAAATCCTATTGTATCAATAATAATAATAAATGTTGACCGAAACTGAATTTTTCGTGTGTATTGAAAGATATACGCCAAGCTGTCGTAATCATGTTTCATGCATAAAGCATCTACGATCAACAAAAATATTCCTAAGACGGGATAAAAAACATTTGGGTTTACATAAGTTTAAGTACTCATAGATAACGACAGAGGTACGATATCTTGTCTTTGTTTGATAACTGACGACTTTTTGTTAATGTTTACTGCGCGTGTACAACAACAGTGTGTACAAACATTGACACCTAACACTAACGTACGATACCCTGCATTTATGCCCAATAATTTGTCTGCTTTATTGTGCTGTCTATTAAAAAGGCTAGTCCTCGTTCTGAAATTGAGCAGTTCCTTTAAAATAGAAGCCAAATTCTAAAATGCTGAAACTCAAGTTTAGAAGTAGCGCATAAGATACACCACACGACCCTACTGAGAAAGACAAACACGTACTATTAATTATACATAATAAACTATTCGTCTCTAAAATTACTTATATTATACTTTAGTCATATCTACTAAGGGACAGTCGACAAACTAACATAATCACATAGAGTAACAGAAATTCCTGATAGCACTGACACCGATCTTGATGCATCCGTTTGGCGGGGACGAGCCTATTTTACAGAGAAAGGTCCCACTCAACATTTCTTGAATTTCATGCCTTTTTTAAAGCCTTCTCTTGAATTAACATTTGCATGATATACAAAATAAAACAAATGAACTACCTGTTTAGTCCAATGACAAAAGGCTTTCGCACGTACGCGTTTGAATTAATAACACTTGTAACTTGGACCCAGACTTTGTTTTCAATCGAGTTACAAAGATTCACTCCATCACCAGTAGATGTTCAACGAGCCGATTCAAGAAGAAACCTTATTTTGCCTCTAGTTAATGACACTACTTCAGACGTTATGGTGACCGTCAATAGACCTTTGCCGCATGAAATGCTCTAGTAGTTGAGTTCCGAAATACATTTGTTAACAACGGAAAGCAGGTTGGGATTCTCCAGGGCAGCGGCTACGCGCTCCTTATCCTGAAGCTGTTTATTAATGGCCTTCTCTTGGTCATGCTTGCCTGGGGTAATCGAAAGGTCAATCTTATATTCTCGAGGAAGTGTGCGCAATAGCTTCACCTGGAAGCATAAAAAATAGGTTATAACCAATGAACCTGGCATTAATGCTGTGTGCATAACAATACATGCTAAATAACCTAGGTGTTATATGTGTTTCACATCGAGTTAATTTATTAGCGTTGTTTAGAAAAGATAGACATGCTGGATGTGATCGCACCTTCCTGTTTTACTTCAATAAACATTTTATGCACTAAACAAGACTACTTTTATTGCATGCTAATCGACTGATATAGTTGTAAGAACTAGAATAGATAAAGTCATATCATGCAAAGGCATGCCGCTTACTTAAAAAATACTTATAAATTTTAACATCAGGCACCCTTATCTACCTGATAGAGCAAAACGGTTACGCTATTGTTGATCCTCATGTATATCGGTTTACTAAACACAAAAAAATTCCATCAGATAAGGATTTTCCAAATTTACCCGAATGCACAGCCCAATCAGCGTGGCCATTGAGCAGTGCGGTATAGTCGGCGTGAAGTTAACCTGCACGGTCTTGGTCTGTGAGCTGACCTTTATTAACTCCTCGGCCACGACCTTCAACTGTTCCAACGTCAGAGGGTGCTCAGGGTCATTGATGTCTCGGATCAGGTCGAACACCTCACTGAAAGGCAAAAGCATAACATTAATTTACAATATGTTAGAGAAGGTAGGTGTGCACAAGATATGTGAGACAATGTAATATTACTATACGATAATGCGCGAATTTCGTGCATAGTTTAGAACATAACATGCTAATTAAAATAACCAACACATTGAGACCCATAAAAATCATCTGTTTTTTACAATAATTTGAAACATACTAACTAACAAGAAATGTGCTAGAAAATCCTAACTAGGGTAAAGCATTTACATGTATCCCTATTTATCGTGTTGCCAATAGGTCAATAACTAAACAGTGTGCCGTGTACGGGTGCGAAATGTCCAAGTCGACGTTATGTGGAAATCTATTTTCAGGCTAATATCTATAATCAGAAACTTTACTCTCATTTACCACAATACATTCAGTTCTGTTTTTAAATATATTTTTAAACAAAAATCAATGTTCCCAATCCTCTAGAACTTGAACTTTCTCAACTTACCGGGCGTCGATGGGGTCTTCAACGTTATCGTCCAGCTCGGCAGCAGTAACGGGTCTTTCTTTAACAGTATCGAACACTTGCGGTGTGGCGTTCTCTAGCTGAGAATCTCCAAAAAAGCTAAAAACCATCTTACCTCACGGCAAATCTTTATGTTTTTGCCTGTTGTGTTTTGTCTGTATTCAGGAAGAGACTCAGTTAGTTAATCGAGATGCAAATACAAGTAGCAACAAATATCAGCTGTACAGCTCCACCACAGAACGAAAATGAAAGCAGACACAAGGCAATTCTACTAGCAGACGACACGAATTCAAAGAGGAAACAATTACGCATAGTCCTACGCATCCAAGCAAGCCAGTCTTAGGTGCTCTGTGGGTACGCCCGCAGGATTCAAAAATTTACATTCTAATTCCCTAGATTGGATTGTCTAGGTTAGAAATATTAATACCCTATATCAATGTAAAACGTTCGATCATGATGAAGAGCATGATCCAGTTTACCATTCTTGCTCAATAGAAAACGATAAATACCCTTTGCAAGCTTACAGTTTATTAGTTTTAATGACTACAATCTATTAAATTTTACTCTCACCCACATATTAACTTCTTTTATATCTGTTAGCAAACAAAGTTGTCACTTCGCATAAAATAGTAATTGAAGGAATTCCACTTATATTTTTCTTGTATTACAATTTTTAGAAGTCTATAAATAAACCATTTTTAGTAACATTTCTCGTAGACTTTCTATTTTTGAGTTGCATCTTCTAAAAAAGCACAGTGTTCATTGACAAATCACGGGTAAATATGACATTAACGTGGATGGCAATTATGGTGCAGTAGTATTCGGATGCAGAAATTTGACAAAACCCAAATCAAGGAACCTGGCAGCTCTTCATGAGTTTACTTCACATCACGATGACGATGATGATGATAACCAGATAGAATGAAATTTTCAAAATAGACGGCCAGGAAGAATATAAAGATCGAGAATTTTTATTTCCAATAGCACTCACCGTACAGTGGTTTGGGCTGGTTTTAAGTCTCATTTGCTAATTCACTAGCATTGAATAATAGTGTACTTGTGCAAAGATATTGGTCGAGACTCATACAACGCATTACGTCTTTGCCCCAAATAACGTATTGGACTAGTCGCATTCGCTAAAATTAAAAACGTTAATTACTATGTACATATTCCCCCTAATGCACGTATATGTCAATCGCTTTAAGCTTCGACGGACCTATTCGTCTCACACATAGCAGCATCGAAAGCACGCGACTAGTTTTACATTCGGAAAACTCCAAAACGGCTTTTATTTTGCACCAGCTCCATTTCTCGGACCCTCTCCTTGTTTAAAGCCGCATTTAGCGATAGGCCAAGTACCTGAAATAATTCAAAGAGAGACGTTTGTATTGCCTTTTGCTGGACAAGATTGAGACGGTTCTATATTTTGTTGAATCAATGCATATTGATTGAACCCGTGAACGGCTGATTAGCAAGTAAGTTGCTATGGTAGCAGTACTACAGTACCAATGTCAACGATTATATTTTATTTGCTCAGTCTGTCGCATACCTTTCGGGTATCGCACGGATCAATCACTCCATCATCCCACAGACGAGCGCTGAAACGAAGCTTCAATATTAGACAGTTTGCTTGCAGCTTCGATACGTCAAAGATACAAGAAATGGCTTGCAATGAATTCACTTATACACAAGGTAAGACAAGTAAGTTCGTACAAAAATAAATTTGGTGGACTGTACCTAATACAAGGAGAAACTTATTGGTTAAGCGAAGAACGGCTGTCATGTGATGTGTTTACGTCCGATGAATTTCAATTTCTACCGTGATTATAAACTTCCTTTTTTCCACAAATAGAGAGTTTAATTCATGGTTAGATTTTGTGATTTCTGAAAAATTCGGAAAGGATCTCCAGGAGGTAAATCCTTGATACATTTTAAATTAAGGACCTGAAAATTAATCGAAATGGCCCGAAAAATAAATGTGCCTGGATTTTTTTTATATAGAAATTAACGGCCGTTTCAAAGAGCGAAATATCAATTGATTATTGATTGGGTCGTCATGGAAAATTCCTTGCGTGTTTTTGTACGCTTTTTTCAGTTTGATTTTTTTGACTTCTTAGAGCCTTTGATCTGCTACGACCCAAAAATAAAGTCCAATGTTTTGTTTGTAGCGCATACGAACAACACTTCAACCAGTTTACATCTACCAATATCGCTCGACGCACGGTTCTTATTAAAAAGATACTTGCTGATTAAAGAAGGAATATTCTGAAAACGATTAATAAATGGTTTAAATCCTCAATCGATGTGGCGAATAAATGTTATATCGAATAAACGTGACCGTGACTTCTAACACGTAGAAGAAAAACTGTTAAGGTGCTTGCTTCGCTTAGAAACGATTCATAAGAAGGTGGCCGGATTTCGAGAGCGTTGAACCTAGTTAGAATAATTTACTGAAAGTGTGATTTACCTCGAGTAGTATGGGCTCCCTTCGAATTCGTATTTTTCAATTATAGGTTTCTTGATAGCGGCCTCCTCTTCGGCACTCATAGCGGGCTTGCCTTCCCGTAGACGGATATCTTTCTGAACTTGGGCCAATACGCCGGCAGCCTGCAATAGAGCGTGAACGAAGCTTAAGCCATTGTTTGTTCGATTATCCTCTGCGAGTAGTTTTTCATTTATTATACAACTGTATATTTAATAGTTACGGTGGTCCGATTTCTGTAGATATTATATTTTAGCATCAAAGGTTTTTTGCATTGACTTTGATTTACACTATGCACGCTTTACACTTAAATTATGACACATACATTTGTGTCCTTACCTGTTCCCCACCCATGACGGAGATACGTGCGTTTGGCCACATATAAAGGAAGCGAGGTTCGTAGGCGCGACCACACATCCCGTAGTTACCTGCGCCGTACGATCCTCCAATGAGGACCGTTAGCTGAAGCGAAGGCGTAATACAACAGACCCTTGTAAATTCTACATTTATACTATATTAAACGAAACGAAAAGAAAAGTGTATTCAAACAGTTTTATTTATTATAAACCAATCTAATTAGCAGACACAAAAAGATGATACATTGACGGTCATTAACTATTTTGACACGCTTCACATACCTAATAACGTAAATACTTATAATAGAGACTAATCAAAAGTGAATGTTTATGGCTTTCTTAAACTTTTTACCGGTGCTCAGTTGTTCGGTTCAACTCTTACTTAAGGTTACCTTGGGAACGCGTGCGCAGGACACAGCCGTTACGAGTTTGGCTCCATGCTTGGCAATTCCTCCCGCTTCAGCATCTCGTCCCACCATAAAACCTGTAGAGCGTCTCGCTAATCTAGTTTACTTTTACATAGTTTATTATAGTTATAATCAGCAGTGTCGGATTTAACAAGCGTCAATTTCAAAATATTTTTAGTGTTTAATTATCGAAATCACAAATAATGCAGTTTTCATAAAACACAAAAGGTGTGTCAATAGCGCGCCATAGCCGCTAACCCGTAACACTGTACGGCGCCACAGACAACCTCAGCGATTCAAGTAAACATTATTCTTTACCTGTAATATTCTGCAGAAAGATAAGAGGGATACTTCGTTGCGAGCACAATTCGATGAAATGAGCTCCCTTGACCGCGCTGTCTGGGAAAAGAACACCGTTGTTAGCCAATATCCCCACCTGAAAAACAAGCTTGTGATGAAATCTACTAGCCGCACTAGAACGTCGGAGAGAATAGTATGGGGTTCCATGACCTACCCGTCCCCCACATACACATCAAACACACCATTACAGAAAATGCTTGTCAACTATATATATTTTTTTTCTTACCGTTTGTCCGTAAAGTTTAGCAAATCCAGTAACAAGTGTCTCTCCATATAGTTGTTTAAATTCGTGAAACTCGGAACCATCAAAAACGCGCGAAATCACTTCTCGAACGTCATACGTTTTCATCAAATTTGATCCTGAAAATGAAACAAACACGTAAGAAAAACGTATTATTCGAAATGTTGTACTAAACACTACGGAAGCCATCGTCGCATTATCATATAGCAAAGATAATAGAGAAATAAACCATTGCGTAATATAAATCATGAGAAAGTGTTATTCTAAAAATATCCACAAACGTGTTATTTTATAAGATATTCGTATCGACACAGGCCTAACAGCTAATTATGTCTTGGCAATATGTGTATCGATAGTGAAATGAGACTGAATATTAAAAAAAGAAACGTCGTAAACGCATCGAAAGTGCCATTCGGATAAAACCGGCAGGTTCTACATCCTGCGTTTCTCACTATGTTGATCTTGTTGTGAAACTGACAGCTTCTTATTATTATTACTATTATTAATTATATACCATGCTATTTAAGCCTATTGCCATAGCTTTATTTAAGTTACAAAGCTTTGCTTTTAATTGGTGCTTTAGGAATGGGTGTTAGGCGGTAATTAACAACATTTTCAATGCTCATCAGCTTTCTGTTATTAAGGGCAGGACTTTATTGTAAGATAAGGATTCTATAGCTGAGAAATGTGGCCTGTAAAAGCCACATTTTCGATCTAAAGAATAACCTTGCCTTGATTTTCTGAACTCGACTAGCATTCAACTACCTTTGGAAGACGAAATGAGCTCATATCTCTTAATAATAAATATCCTCGGCTGAATCGTTGTTCTTTAACTCTTTAAAAATACGAAATAGGTTTTTTACCACTTGACATGTCTTTAAAACATGAAACAAACGCGAAATCTTGTGATCTAGATAAAAAAATCAGAACAAATCATTGTCCTTGTAATGCTGCCGTAGTTCACGTTCAAGTCCTAAACTTTGGGATATGTGAGGTAATGTAGTTTCGAAAGCGAGTTTTGACACACCTAGTTTTACATTAAGATTAGCCATTTTAAGCAACGCAAGACCGAACCTAGACGCTCAGAATAGTCATTCAGGCTTCTAACGATGTACGTCACTTGGCCATAAACAAATGGAAGCAATGAGCAAAAACTGCCATGATTTTCTAAAGAACACAATGTGAATACATCGCGTCAATGCGATTGACTAAAATGACAGACCCACAATTCCGAAGAGATCGTTCACGTCGAAGACAGGCTCAGCCGCACCTCCACTGAAGTCTAAAGACTCACTGGGAGTTTGTCCAAGATCAGCAACGAGTTGACGGGTTATATGCAAGGCGTGTGTATCGTCCAAAGCATAATGATCTGTCACGCCGCTCTGTCTAAAAGTAGAACACAAAAAACGTCCTAAATGTCCTATAAATCAGACGTTCCTCTTAGGCTAGTACCTGCTATGTGATTAATTCCGATCTTTCGCGATAAGGCATGCTTGCTTCAAAAATGTTTGTCGTTATTTAGTGCTGTTACCCCATTTTCCAATTATATCGAATTGGCAAAATGCTTTTTTTTTTTCGCACTGAGATACTTTGAAGTAGAAATGCGGTAGTGACCAACTATAGAAACAAACACGATAAAGTCATTTGTTCTGTCTGTGATTGCTAAACACCTGCAATGTAAATCGGCACCTCCAAGGTCTTCCGCAGAGATGTCCTCCCCAGTGGCAGCCTTTACCAGTGGTGGACCTCCTAGAAAAATGGTTCCTTGTCGCTTCACGATGACGGCTTCGTCGCTCATCGCAGGCACATATGCACCTCCGGCTGTACAGGAACCCAGGACAACGGCTATCTGCGCAACGCCGTCAGCTGACATTGTCGACTGAAATGGCACTTTCGATTAATACACATCAGCAAGCTGTTCAAGATCATCTAGTTGCAATGTTCTTAGACCACTCTTTACAACTGAACATTGTAATGTGGTAATGCTCTTGTTTTTAGACGATTAAGTCAATATACAGTTTTATTTATATTTGTAGTTATGGCAAACCTGGCTAAAACCATGGTGCCATAAGAGACTTGACCGAAAAGAAAACATAAAGGATTCAGCATTTAAGAAGCTGACAGTTAGAATTCTAGAATCTATTACATATCCGATCACTATGATTCTGACCTGGTTATAGAATATCCTTCCAAAGTGAGTAGCATCTGGAAATACTTCAGCTTGCTTAGGCAAAAAAGCTCCTCCCGAGTCCACGAGGTAAATGCAAGGAAGGCATGACTCTCGAGCGATTTGTTGTGCTCGTAAATGTTTTTTAACTCCTTCAGGATAATACGTCCCTCCTACGTTGTACAGAGAAGATAATATCTATTTGTTAGGTTAAATTGTGAACTGGATAAGTAAAAAGAAAAGTGTCCTTATTTCAATGCACTCCGAAGTAGAATATGTCTAATATTGATTTTGTGATATAGAAAAGCTTTAAAAGTTCTCTCTAATAAACATCTGGTAATGAAGAAAGTATAAAACAAAAATTGCACTCAGTAAATGAGTTGCTAAAAGCATTCAAATTACCCTCAAGCCCAACATGAAAAAATATGGCACTTCCATCTACTCAAAATATAAATAACGTTACCTCATATATGTTCCAAATAACCTTTGCACTTAAAACTGGTATGCAAGCAACTCCCTTGAGAGGTCCGCTAGTTTATTTTCATCATTATCAACAATTTGCTGTATTGGGCACCTTTTTTTTAATTTTCCAGCAGAGTTGACAGTATAACCCTGATGTGTTGCTAAAGGACTGACGTGTGAGAGTACAATGCTATTCTAAAATATTATTCGAATCGATATCATTCCATTTCCCGCCTTAGCAGAATAAACTCGGTGGGTCAAGCGCACATTAAATTAATTCTGAGCTAAGAGAATGAGTCTCTGTGGTATCGACCTGCATTTTTGAGCATGAAACCTACAACTAAAGACGTCAATGGGCTTACAGCAATGATAGGAACGGACAACAACGGATTCGAACCCTAGGCGAACCCCACTGCTGCGCAAGCGCATATCCATCTAGCAACGTGTCCCCAAGGCCGCACCTAAGACAGGCAGAGTGAAAGCGAAGCCAAGTTGATAAGAATTCAAAGGAACAGACATCTCCCCTTAAAACTAGAGGAAAACCTTAGGAGCTATCCTTTATTATAGAGTAAAAGCAGAGGCCATAGGCTATGCGAAGTAACGCTTCTGCTGTGAAGCAAGAGTCAGATTCCAAACACAAGAAACTTGATTCGAGTAGTGCATTGCGTCACTCCAATAGCCTCGGTGACCGATAGTGTAGCGGCTAACTTTGTAGCGACCCCTCTAAGTAGTGGATATAAGAGGCGCCAAAGTAACACTGGCAAAGACTATCGGAGAGCTACGTAGAAAGGGTACTGCTGGGATAACTTTTGCAGGCCACGTGCTTTCGTGAAATGCTAAGCTTGGGGAAAACCGAAGAAGACAATGAAGTTTGACCAAAGCAAACGTACAAAAAAACAAAAACCAACCAAAAACAATACGATACGGGCCACATTTGTCACGTCGCTATCGCCTAGCATAGTAAATACCGACACGCTCTGTTGAAGCCATTGTTGTGTGACCGAGAATTACCCAAAGCCCTTTTTTACAAAATGTTGCCAGATCAGAACGAACTACTTGCGAAATAAGGTATTGCGTACAGCTACGAGCAAACGCCTTCATGATTGCAAGACGACCTGTGAAAAGGCAACTGTATCTAGTCAGCCAAGCAAGTTGTTTCATAATGCCGGTCGGCAAATAATGTCCATCAAAGTTCGCGGTTGCCCTAGCGAACGTGATGCTCTCAGACATGCTAAGACTTTATTACTTCATTAAACATGCCTGCTAAACTGATGAATAAAAGTACGCAGTTTAGAATGGGGACGTCCCCAACGCTGCAACTAGTATTATCGTAAATGATAATAATAATAACAACAGTACAAAAATAAGCACAAAAAAATTAGCGTTCAGTCTTATTCTGGTTTTACACCTTTAACGGTAGCGTCGTTAGCGACAATCATCACCTGCCTTCCCGACACTCGTCCGATTCCAGTAACGAGGCCGCCGCCCGTAATTCTGTCTTCGCCGTACATGTCCCATGCTGCAAACTGGGACAATTCGAGGAAAAATGAGCCTAAAAATGAGGACGAAATGAGAAGCCTGTGACTCATTTTTCTGAATATAGGAACCGCTCCTTTGGTTATTAATAACTTGATTTCCGTGGAAATACAAGACTGAATGAAATGTATGACATTCAAGAGTGAAATCATTTTAAGCTCCTCTTTCCTGCTTTTTCATTTTTTAAATTTGCATTGTATTTATTACAATACTGGCGTTACAAGTTCAATCAATGTCGTCTAAACCACCATCCGATCTAGCAAAGCAACATTCTAAGTCGTGTATTTCAACATGATTATTGGTACTGACCCGGATCGAGGAGCGTGTTTATCCTCTGTCTGACAAGAAGTTTTCCTTTAGACTCGTGTCTTGCACGGGCTTTAATGCCCCCGCCCTCACAGATAATGCGAACGTTATTGCGCAGCTCTGATACCAGTTTGCGCATGGCATTCTGCAATTAAAGTGAGCAACGGGACTTACTGTACCTTTCGTATTATTTTCACTTTAATATATTTGTCATTGAACTACGGAGTCTCTAAACATAGGAGATATAAGTCTGGACGCTAGGTAAGTCAGCATATTACTTGTTGATTGATATACGAATCTTCAAAAAATGAAGTGTCTTCGTGCTTTAATATAGATAGATTTGAAAACATCTTTGGATATATCAAATTTGAGCTACAAAGAGAACGATCTCAGAAACGGTGAAAACGATCCAAGAGGTCTAACGATCAGTTTGAAATAGATCTATGTCCTGAGTAGCATGGGGCCCATATGAACAGTAAAAGCAGTTTCTTTACATACTGGCTTATTTATTCCTTACATATGTACAGGCCCATTTAAAGCTACAAACGTCTCAAAAGCAGTAAGTTCCAAGAATCTTTTTTTTTTTTTTTATAACTAGAAATGCCCTTCTATTTAATGAAAACGCTTATTTGAAGCTTTTTTTTTTCAACATTTTTAATGTCTCAACTGAAATCGAGTTAGTTGAACGGTCGGTTGCTAAAGTTATAATAGCACAAGTATATCGTTGCTTGACAAATGTCAGTTTCAGTAATGTATATATATATATATATATATAAATTAATGGAGATTTCGCTTAAATATAGCGTCATTGACATGTTTAATAATATATTTCTGCGCACATTAAATGTCCTTTGAACCATATGCTCTTTGATCGCGCTCACCTGATTCTCCTCGAACTCGGCGCTGGCGCGGTTCGGATTCGAACCCACAACCTTCCACTCACTTGAAAATCCTGTAAGAGCTCGTGTCATCAGACGAGTTCGAAATATAACCTCACGAAGCGCTATCATTTTACAGTATAGCATTGTATGGTTCTCCCTTGAACCAATCAGATTATATCTCTTTGATCTAATGCAACCTGTGTCTTCTATTAACAGAGATAAATACAGCTGGATAGACACACAGACGAAACGGCGACAGAAATTGTACGGCGCCTGCGCAATGTCCAAAAGGTCCAGTGTAATCACAAGCGACATCAACAATCCGTACATAAATGTCCTGGCATTTAGATATATATCAAAAAAATATAAACATAATGTTGACAACAGAGATAACAAAATTAACAAAGTTTCCTATAAGCACATGTGCAATCAAAACCCAGTTTTATTTTTTCTCGGTGTTCAAATTTGGTGAGCTGGGTGAGTACACAACCAGCTCGGCAGACGATACCATAGGGCGATTCCCTGACAGATATGCCCAGCGCCCAGCGTAGCCAGCAAGATCATTTGTCCATTCAGCGGTACGAGGAAAGATCACGTGTTCGACACTTCACAAGAATTATTCGGTTAAAGCTGCGCTGGAAGCAACAAGAAAGCCGGGGGAGTACTTCGAGAATAAAGTAAAACTGCTAAGAACAGGCAGGCGTTTACAGTGAGAAAATGTGGCAAGATTCTCTTGTGATAGTTCTAATATCTTTGTTCACAGCATTTGTTGGAGAAGGTTCGTTTCGAGTCTAAGAAGTTCTTCATGCCAATCGGAAGGCCCTTTTTATCTTTGTCCTTCTGACTTAGTCGTTATAATTCGACACAACATAGTTTGCTAAGTTTCGAATAGTGCAGTTGAACCTCTACTTGATAGTAGATAGTGAAAGTACAGTAATTTCTATTAACAGCAATTTCTACTTCCGTACATTATGGGAGCATTATTTTAAAGGCTGAACGTACAGGCCCTTTCTACTAAAAAAATTTAGGAAAATGATACATACAAACAGTAACGTATTTCCATTAGAATAAACACAATGCACCGTTTCAACAACGTTTTAGTTACTTCTGTAGATATATTTCATGTGTGCGCAGGTGGGCGCTCATTTAGTATCTGCCTAATAACCACTTAAGCGAGAATTGCGACTAACGAGCAATTGGTACATCCTTATTATCTTCATTCGGTAACATTTAATCATAAAACCCATTATTTTGGTTCGGTAACTGAGCAATCTCTGGGTAAAGCATTTACAAGCATATCTGTGTAATGAATTGATTCAAAGGTCTGTGTTATTCATTGAAATATTTCGTTTATTTATTGTGTCATCTCACTTCGCTGTTATATTTCCTTGCTGTTTCAGGCTTAACATGGCTCATGGTTTACCGGACAGAAAAATACCAACGTCTGAAGGCCGAGGTAGAAAAACAAAGCAAAAAAAGTAAGATGTGGATATGATTTTTCTTAGTTCTAAATGTGCTTCGTCGGAACATTCTTTCGCTGATGTCGTTTTTAATACAAAGGCAAAAGTGTTTTATTGAAAGCTGTTCGTAAGTGTGATTCTGTTGTATTTTATCTCTTTGTGACGAGCTTAGAGATACAGATAGATATTGTGCGTTCTATCTGTATTCATGACATGCTGAGAGCTGTGTATATTTGCATACTCGTTTAAGCAAATTGTTCGGAAAAAAAAACTGTTTTTCGTTTAGTTGAGAAGAAAAAAGAAATCGGTGCCGGAGTGTCTGACGTAGACAAGGCCCAGAAGAAGCGTCTCGAGCGAGAGGAAGAACGTCTTCGTGTCAACAACCGTGATCTCAGCCTAGTAAAGATGAAGTCGATGTTTGCAATTGGGATTGCTTTCACCGCTCTTTTGTCATGTTTCAACTCAATGTAAGTTGGTTCAATATAAGTATAGCCTATAAATAGCAATATCAATTTTTTTTTACAGCTCTTTCTAATACTATGACGCTTGTTGGGTCTGCTCTTCTACGTAGTAAGCAATATTTCTTTTAATTACAGCGAACTTTACGATTCTTAACTCTTAATGTAAAGCAGGGTGTACAGCGAAGTTATGTTCGCGCATAGATTACGATCCCCCATTAGAAGTGGCTCATGACGTTTCAGTACCTATGAGATAGGGATGGCGTTTTATACTATCATCTGACCAGTGTCTAACGGTGTTTTTCATTGCCATTTGCTAAAGTTTCGACGGTCGGGTTGTGGCGAAACTTCCGTTTGTACCGCTCTCTTGGTTCCAGGGTTTGAGTCATCGAAATTTGGCAGGTGACGATTTCACTGACTGTTCCTTCATCTTCCTTTACATCCTTTGTACAATGTCAATTCGACAGGTAAGTCGAATTTCCTTCCTAGGCCGTATAATTTGCGGGCAGAATCTGAGTTACAAAATAATAGTTCAAGTATTACAAATTTTCTAAAAAAAAATTAAGATGCATCAAGAGCCTTTTTTCAACTATCATGCCTGATTATCTTCGACTTTTCTATAGAAATTTATCCCTGATTAGTGGTAGAATTTATCTGATCTAACATTTTGGTAGAACTACGCTTATTTTGTTTATCTTTGCGTCTCAAATCTAACAACGAAGCCAATCCGTGATTGTCGCATTGTTCAAACATTTGATTTTTCAGAACGTTCAGAAAGTCCTTGGTTTTACACCATCACGCGCGGTGTCCAAGCAAAGCGGTACAATGTTTGCGCCACCTCCTCATATGCGATAATCAATCTGATCAATTCAGTTAGAAAACCAAACAATCTGCCTTTACAAAACATCCCTTCGACCCACGAACGATCGCACTTGCTTTATCGCAGCAAAGAGAGCATTGGCCACGGAAGGTATATAGAGCGCCCGGTATATTCAAGCAGAGTGCTTACGTAGATGTAACGCGTGTCAAAGGTTCGTATCCTTGGAGTTGTTACTACAGATGTTAACAGCTCAGTATTTATTGTTACTCTGTTGAGCTAGTCTCATAGATGAAAGAAGCAAGTCATTATCACTCCCTTCTTCTTTCCCTCCTTTAGGCTACTCTATAAATGCAACGAAGGAGAGGTCTGTACAAACGATGACACGATCAATAAATGGACAATTAAAAAAAATCGATGTCGCTGTCACAGCAATATCTAAGAATCCTCTTGCAGTGTATGGAATATTACGATAGTCTGTTGTCCATCATTACGTTGATCATCGCATCCACCAACATCCAGTGAGGTGGGCGGGTGAAAGGCCTTAATCATTTGTAGAAAATGCCGGTATAAGCCAGGTACTCATCTAATATTCTTTATTAGAATTTCTGTTCTCACCCTCTGTATATCCTTAAGCTAATCATACGTTAACAGAACAAGAAGACTCTATATTTAAGCCTGCCTTTTTTTTATTCTAAATTCATAAGGAATTTAGGATATGGCTGGATTTTCTATATTACTAATGTCTTTCTTAGTGAGCGTTATGAGAAAATAGCTTTTAGTGTAAGATGCCGTTACCTTCAACGTTGAGCGGAGCTTGGTCTGCGGCAGCAACAAATTGTAAACCGCCCAATAACACGCGCACCTAAAGCGGCGATAATATTTAAGTATCTTAGATACCAATGCTAAATGCCAAGATGCGTTGGATAACAAAAAGTAAATAAAAATATATCTAAACAAACTCGACTTAAAAGTTGTGTGTTCCCTAATTTATTGATACTGCAACCTTGGTAATGTTGAATGTGTAAGATCTAGGAGTTATTTAGCACATGAGCGATTCAGAAGGGTGACATTTCAAAAACACGTAAGTGAGGATATTGTCTCGCCGATGAAGTCGCGCCGAAATATTGTTTGATGGTCTAATTCCTATTTATTACTAAAGAACAAAAGTCAAAAGTCGTACGCATGTCCAAAATATTCAGCATAATGCCTTTAACAACCTTAAAAACCTGCCGGGTCATTAGTCCGACTTAGTTTGTTACAGGGAAAATAATTCCCATAAGATGGTTATAATTTGAATATCCATCGATACATATTATATAGCTTTGATACCCTGTCAAAATTCAGCTTTAAATGCCGCTGTACGCTTATCCATGAACCTTTTGGATTCCAGGAAAACAGATAGAATAATGAACTTCGCATCACTGTAACGGATGACCAAGTTTTTTTAATTGTTTTAAATAATACTTTGTAATAATAAATGTCAGAAGTGAGTGACAAGTAATGGTGCGATGTCTTACATGCATTTAGGTTATTTTCGTAGGACACAAGTCGATCCAAATCCTTCACTGTTATGTGTTTTTTGTTCTCATTCGTTTTTGGTTCCTCGATGGCCACATTCTAGAGTGAATTAAGCTTTAAATGCACTTGTATTTATCAATCTGCCATTAAACTCGTCAAATCCACGTTGAATAAATGTCTAAGGATTATAGTATTTGAAATAAGTCCTATTTTTTATCATCTAAAAATTGAGCGATCAGTTAGAATATACTTAATTCCCGACAATGGGTCCCTATTAGAGCCCTGAAAAAAGCTGGACTGAAATCGTTAATGTCTATTGGCTACGACAAAATAGTGCTATGACAGTTACCGGAAGAGTTCCTGGGAAACCAAATCACACTTTTATTTTACAAAACGCATATATATTTAGTAAAACGTTCACAATTAAGTTTGATTGCACCTTGTAGGAATAATTATTTGACCTGAATAAGTTTCTTTATTTTTATGATCAAGCAAAAAGCATTATTTAGAGTTAACAAATCGGCACTGCTTTATACTCTGAATTATTATTTCTTTTGTCTCCCTTACGGATAGCAAAGAATGACAATGAAAGTTGTATTTAATGTACCTTTACACATAATTAAAGTTAGTTGGTATTCGCGTGTGTTATTTATGCCCGTGTGTAAAAAAGTGAGTTGCTCATTCTATTATTAAATATATGAAAACACAACGGCTTGGTTATGTATTCGGTTGGATCACACCAGTGAAGAAATCCAATGCGAAACATGTTCAAGCGTTGCACACAAGACTTCGCAACTTTGAACATAAACTACGAACGACGTAATGGTCTCTTTCCTCCAGATGAAGGTTCCCTTCGCTAGGTTAATCGCTATTCAGCAGATTTAAGAAAATAACGCGCACATAAAGTACTAGTAAACTATAAAAATAGTGTATTCCCCAACACGTGGTCCCCAGGCCATCGATCATCATGATAATAAACAATAGAGATTGTATGGTTTAGACGGTATTCTTAAAACACAGTGCGATTGTTAAAACACAGCGTAAAAGTGCACGTGCGACTAAAAAAAATAACATACGAACAATTCAAGTCTCACTAAGGTATCTTGCAAACCAATAAATGTTATTCTTTTCAATGGAACCAGACACAAGAAATGACCGAATGGAAGTTAGTAAGATTATGGAATATATACGTATACGCATGGGACTTTCGCTGTTCTAGATAGCATTCGCTAAAGAGCTTGTGTGTGAATTCAACGAGTTTCTTCCGAAATGTCCGGTTTCACAACGTGCCCTTCGTAGAATCCGTCCAACCGTAAAAGTTGTTTCTTTGTGTATTCAGCTGATGGTTTAGTCCGCGTTTCATGTCTTCATTGGTAAGCGGAGCCCGCACTGCAGCGTTCCAAAACTCACCCCAACTCCTCCTCATAGTTGGAACCCTTTTGCCTTGTGCTCTTCTTCTAGCGGCCAGACGCCCGCTAATGATGCGCTTGGACAAAAACATTCATTCACTCATTCAGAAAGCGCCGGCAGAAAGAGGGAATTAAGTAGAAGTTGTGAACTTGGACCAAATTTTGTGCGATTTTACCCGCCCTTGTGAGGCATTAAGAATCTTTAAGGGAACTTTGATAACAAGGTAGGTTACCTCTAGTGCCCGCAGAGCAGATATATCATAGGCAAAAGCTCTCCAATGAGCAGCCTTTTGAACGGCGGGAACCATAGCCCTGTTTAGTTTCAACCTATTGTGTATCTCAACGACAATAGATGCACATTTCCTATGTCAACCTTTATTTTTTGTTCATAATAACTTGAAATAAATGCGTTTGATTTAAAGCTCTCTGATTTAATTTAGTGAAACTCAACGATAGAAAAGCAGCGACGACAGCCATTAGAGATGCAGTGCTCAAATTTATTGTCTCAAAACGTACTGGATCTTGTTGTCTAAATATAAGCATAGGTATGTAATGATCGCGCATATATACCGCTGAGCTTTAAAAAATTAACGTTATTATAAGGTATAAAGTCAGAAAGGAATTTATCATTTGTCTACATTCTAAGTGATTTTGTAGCTCTTTAAGTAGATGAAGCATAGGTGTCGCTCATGCCTAATGGGAAACCATTGGCGACCAAACAACATAGAGCACACACCCGGGGAGTTGTTATATCACCCAATTGTAATTCAATAAAATGTCAGAACAGACATTGGCCATGCTTAGATTTTGCTTTTATAAAAACAGAACATGAGTAGCATGAAGCAAATATTGGGGGGTTGGGTGTAACGTCCGACACAATAACGAAAAACGGTCGTTGAATTTTAATTAAAATATTAAACTCACAAGGCGAATGCACAGTGCCAGCTTAAGGTCAATTAGACATTCGATGCCCGTATTGTCTGTTTAGCAAGAGGAAACTTGTGCTATATAGAAAATTTGCTTTTAGTTTTTAAGCCAGGTGTCTCCAGGTAGCAAGCAAGTACTCGATAAGGGCTATTTTACATTAAAAAATTACCGCAAAGCCTTTTGTTTTTGCCAATATTCATACAATACAATTTGTTCCTAGATAAACGCAATAACACCTCAAAAAGTAAAATGTCGGCCTATTTATAGAGCGTTTGGCCAAATATGTAAGTTTTATTTTTTTGGATTGGATAAATATTATTCTGACATCAGTTACAGTTGCTTAGGCAGGGAAAGCTGCACCGTTCATAGATAACAATAGGTTACTACCTTATCTTTTTAAGATTATGGGGAATATACAAGGTGACGATTTAAGTTTCTTATTTTGTTGTCTTGTACTGAGCTTTAGTTTCCATCCGAGGGCCACCCTGGGTCAATTTTATAACTTACCCTTTCTCAAATCACAACAAATGGGGACACCGAATGGCTGATTTTACATCAAAAATTTACTCGGCCACGTTGATTACAAAGGAGTTTGTTATCACTATAAATGAAATATACAAGTAATATGCTTGTCTGATCCATTTAACTATGAACAACAAAGGTGCCAAATTTTTAATACATGACCGAATTTGTTAATAACGGTTTAAGCCGCTATAAGAATTCCGTCATTTTTCTCAGTAGTTTTAGCTTGTAAGAGCCTATTATAAAGGTTACAAAGCTACGGGAGAGATGTGTAACTGTCGTAAATAAGTGGAAAAAATATCACACTGGATTAATTCAGAAATAATTCTGTAACTAATTCTTAAATCGTAGTAAGTAATTCTTAAATCTGCAACGAGATATCCTGCAGTCCGTACCCACCTTCTCTCACACATTTGTAGATACAAACATAAAAGCGTCGCACCAATCGAAGTAACATTTTCCGTTTGAAACGTTTCATGCCTGATTTTTTGACAATAGATGGCTGAAACGCCACCTGAGCAGTTGCCACCGCTACAATATGCGGCTTTGCAATCCCGACTGCCGTTCGAGTCTCTTACCGATCAGGAGAGTGCACTTTTTACAGATGCCCTTAGGCCATCTGCCAATACGGCGCAAGTGACGAAGCTACTCCTATACGTACGAAATCGCATACTGCAGTTATGGTTGGAAAATCCAAAGCATCAACTGTTGCTAGACAATGCGATCAAACAACTGGAAGCGCCCTATTCACAGCAAATGGATCGCCCGATAGCTCAGAAGATGTTTGCTTATTTACAAAGACAAGGCTATATTAATTTCGGCGTGTTTGAGCGGATAAAGGTATGGTCTTTCACAAAGGGGTGCTCCCGTTCCTGCACCCGTCTAGTATAAACAATGCCATTCGAATTATGTTACTCACCTTTGTTCTATGACAGCATATCAGCTTCATATAAACTAACCATTTGTAATATTTGTTTAATAATGTTGTAGATTCGACACAATGTTAATGTCATTACACACGGTAGTTTTTTCATGCTTTTGTTGGCATGGAAAAGTTCAGTAACTTGGTACGAAAGTTCCTTGAAAGTTTTTTTATTTAGTGCACTTTGCGACATGGCTAATATATATGTAATACTGATGTTAGTGTTCACAATGATATATTTATAGGCAGTGTAGTTCTTATAGCATTATTCAGGTGCCATTGAAGTTTGCATAGAATAACGGTTAATTAGAATCTATTCGTTTTGCTATAGGTGCTTGCGCCGCCTACGAAGAAGAAGATTCTAGTTATCGGGGCTGGAATCTCAGGGATAACGGCAGCACAGCAACTGAGCTACTTTGGCTTCGAGGTGACCGTTCTCGAGGCTAGAGATCGAGTCAGTAGCAAACAATTATTTCGCAATATTCTTTAAACCTAATATATTTTGTCAATTTTTTTATTAAACGGCCAAGACTGAACTCAAAGTTTTCTCAACTTAGTGATGTAAGGTATGTGTCGCTTACTTGTTAAAAGAATGATGTAGTGAACTTAATAAGAAACTGCTTATTCATACAAACATATTCCGATGTTTATATTAATTTCTCTTAGGAGGATCCCTGTAGGTGTCTTGCATTTGGTTATAGCCTAATGGAGTGATGGCAACAGAGCTACACCAGGTTAGAATATTCACTAATTCTGAGAAATACGTTGCTTATATTTATAGGTGGGAGGCCGCATTGCCACCTATAAACGGAACAACTACATTGGAGAGCTGGGAGCTATGGTAGTCACTGGTTTATTAGGCAACCCGATCGCAGTGTTGGCAAAACAAATTCCCAATATGGATTTGCAAGACATGAAAGCCCTTTGCCAACTATTTGACCCTACCGGTAACAAGCTATCACCTGAAAAAGACATTAGGGTACGTGTAAACTTGCCAATAATAGTCGCCGAAATTTAACATTGTAGCTTTGCAACGATGTTCTTTCAAGATATAGAATCTTTAAAAAGCTGAGTGACTTACGCGTCGTGTTTTTCTATGTTCTGTGCGCTCGGCATTTGTTTGCCTTTTTTATTAGTTTGCTAGATCGTGTTGGCCTTTACCCATCATTACAATTAGTGGGGGCCGCATTCTGTTCATCCCATATTTTGTTTCATGCAGGTGTACCAGGAATTTCAACGTCTACTGGAAGCCTCGAGCTATCTGTCAAAGGAACTCGACTTTAATTACGTAAATAATCAACCGGTCGCTCTGGGACAGGCACTAGAGTGGCTAATTAAGCTTCAGGAGAAACGGGTCAAAGAGAAACAGGTAGATTACGCATAGGACGTTTGTCTATAGCAGGTGAATGATTCGGCCTCTCTTAAAATAAAATTTTTCGAATGGTTAACGTCTTTGAGTTTATTTATTCAACGCATAACGGCATCGGTATGAATCTTGCGAATCATCTTAGAAAAAAAGGAGAGAGGGAGCAATCTTGCATCAATTTATTAGATATCGTATACATATATATATATAACGCGGAAGTTGATCGTTTGTAGGTCGAACATTGGAAAAGCATGATTGAGCTTCAAGAACGAATGAAGGCCAATCAAAAGGCGATGCGCAATTTGAAAGAACATATGGCGCGTATGTTTGCAGCCCAGAAGGATCTTGGGGAAGCCAAAAGCCAAAGGACTATTAATGAGGAATTTATATTTAGGTACGTATTTAGGTAACGTGTAGCGGGCAAGCATAAAACTAAGAAATGGTTAGTGAAGCTTCTAGACGACATTCATCGCGTAGATACATCATGTAATAAATATTTATGAATACTTTAAACGTTTATAAAATTAAAAAAAATATAGGAAATGGGTTGATCCCACTCGGAACATATATCACTAAGTTTTGTTCTGTAAGAATATTATTTGAACGTGGAATATAGTAACTAGTGGCTAATAGTTAAAATCGTCCGAAAATTATAATTTAATACATAACAGTCAGCACGCATATTTCTGACTTTATTTTATTCGTCCAACTTTGCCATCGTTTGAAATATTCATGCATATATACATACATATATGTAGACCAATTGCCGAAAGACAATGATTCATAATAGTGATGCTTTTTAGGAGTAAGATTTATGATTTGAAGCAATGTGTCAAAGAATGGGAGAACCTAAATGAGCAGCGCGTTCAAATGGAGTGCAAACTCGAGGAACTTGAAAAGAAACCTCCGAGTGACGTTTATCTCAGCCCTCAAGACAGACAGGTAATGCACACGTCGACGCGGATCGTGTGTAGTAATTATGTTTCACTTGTACTTTTTGTATACTATGGAAACACTTGATTACTATTATATATTTATCATTTAAACATATAATAGCATTTAAAATAGACAAAACTCATCGGCTGTGGCACAACTCTTTACCTTTTTCTAGGTGTTGGACTGGCACTTTGCGAATTTAGAGAGCGCCAATTCGGCCACACTCGATGACCTTTCGCTCCGCAATTGGGATCAAGACGAAGAATTTAAAGGAGATCATAAAATTATTCGGTAGATTGGTGGCATGGCCTAGACATATATTTTACATCATCTCTATTTTAACATCAACTAACAACAAATAAGCTCAAAAGTATTTTTTTTGTTTATTGTTGGCACATTCACTCAGTCTTCACTAAGGCTGAATTAATGTTAAGAATAGAGTAATAAGGCGTAAAATTAACATTGGAAGGTTTCAAGGTCCGTGATAATAGCTTTTTTGCCTTTCGTCGTAGAAATGGATATACAGTCATTCCTATATCAATGGCCCGAGGATTGGATATCCGTTTAAGCACAGCGGTCAAGCATGTCCGTTACGATAAAGATGGAGTTGAGGTACGTATCCCTAACTAGTATAACGATAATAGAACTGAGTATCGGGATATCGCTGCGCCGAAAGTACGATGCAAATTTCAATTGGTTGCTATTTCACTAGAAGTAATATATTTTTAATGGAGGGGAAAGAGAACTCCATGTAGCAGACATTAGGCCCAGTATAGAAAGGCCTGAAGAGTCTTGATGTGTTCGTACTGCTCTACCGCTATTTTACTTTATATAGTAGGTGAAATAGCCATCGTTGATCTTCTGCTCATTGCACGCAACTTCTTCATTTTAATTTGACCAACCTATTTGTCTTTGTAGATTTTGGCTCAGTCGACAAAAACAACAGGAAACGGTACGTCGGCCCCTCTCGAAACCTTTAGAGGGGACGCGGTGCTGTGCACCCTTCCCCTGGGGGTTCTTAAACAAGCGGATCCATCTCAGGGCAATATTGTACATTTCGTCCCGCAGCTGCCTGAATGGAAGACAGCCGCTATCGCTAAGATGGGTTACGGTAATTTAAATAAAGTATTATTGGCCTTTGACAAGATTTTCTGGGAACCGAATCTCCCAGTTTTTGGTCATATTGGCTCAACGACTGCATCACGTGGCGAACTATTTACGTTCTTCACTATTTCACCCAAAGTTCCTGTTCTGCTTGCCATCGTGTCTGGAGAGGCTGCGAACGTTATGGAAGAGGTAGGGTTGAGCTTTTGATCTGTCCAGCATTGTATTACTCTACTGCTAAATTTCCTTGCGCTTTTGTATGTATAACAAAGAATGTTTTTTAGGAGTACCATTAGTTAGTTACGAATTGTGAATTACTCGATTCTTGAATGGATATCTTCAGATACTTCCAAAACACTCAGTCTTAATGGAATAAGAATGGAATTAATGCGAATGACAATGTTAAGTCGCGCGACGCTTCTTAAAGTACCAATAAGTGTTGGTTGTATGTTTCTTTATAGGTGAACGATGATGTAATTGTAGGTCGATGTGTAGCAGTCCTTAAGGGAATGTACGGCTTGGGAAATGTACCACAACCAAAGGACAGTGTCGTCACTCGGTCAGTTCGTTACCACGAATTTATTATTATTTAGATCTGTATAGCTTTATGGAACTCAGATCCAGCAATGTTTTCCTTGTTGACATCATTGTATATAACGATGTATGTAACAAACTACACTTTTGGTACAACAAATAGATAAATCATACAAGCCTTAAATATGCGAATTAACGATAGTTTCATGTGTAGAACTGATTTATTTTTGCGCTTTGAATGTTTAACAGATGGCGTAAGGACCCGTATGCTCGTGGCTCGTTTTCTTACGTAGCAAAAGGTGCTTGCGGACAAGATTTCGATCAGTTAGCTGAGCCAGTTTGCGCACTTCTTGCTGATTCGAAGGAATCGTCTGCCTCATCATCCGTTGATGGTAAACTTCATTGAATCTGGGTGATGCATGAGTCTAATGGAATGCCTAACGGCAATAGCAGACGTGCAACCCGAAACATAGAAGATTATGCAAGAGTACTTGTTAGAGCTGAAAGACTCAAAGCAGGTGTTGACATAATTAATGCCAGAAGTTACTGATCTGTAAGCACTGAGTATTTTCAGTAAAAAAAAAACGTTTTCTGTGTCTATTTCTCGTAGCTTTGTAACTATAAATATACTAATAACACACAGTTCTTCTGCTTGACAACGTCTAGAACTCTAGACTATCTCTCAGCCAGAAGCAGTACCAAAAACTGTTGAATGCATAATATTTTTCTTGTGCCTACAGGCGGTGCCTCGTCATCCCAGCTCGCCCGCGTGTATTTTGCTGGCGAGCATACGTCGCGTAAATATTTCAGCACCGTGCACGGAGCATTGCTCAGTGGGCTTCGGGAGGCTGCAAGGATCTGCGATGACTTCCACGGTCCCATCGTTTAGAAAATGCCCAACAAAATTGAGCTAATTCCGTTAGTATATTACGAGCAGAAGCACAAACACTTGTAACAGTATATAGCGTCGCCAAGGGCGCCTTCAAGCCTAAACGATTCAGTTCGGATCTAGAAACGTCAATTAACATTTTTTGGAAGTAAGCGTTTCGTATGTGTAGGTAATAAAAAGGTCGATTACTTTTGTGTAGAGATGGCACATACCTTTGCCACTTGGTTACACATAAGAATTCCTACGCTGAATTGACGACATGCGTTTCTTTCATGAAGGATTTGCAATCTAGAGAGTAAGTGCTCAGCAGCGGGAGTCAACGCATATTTGTGTGAGAAGTCCAATGGTTCAATAACGTTGTTGAGTGTAGTGCGACATCGGATTTTTAATTATTAGGTGTCTCAATCTTTTTTTTTAATAATATTTTTCCGTTCTACGCATATACAAACGAATTAAACAACCGTGTTGATCTTATAAGGATCGCCGGTGATTAATTAGATCATTTTAAAGTTCGTCAATCGATCTTCGAAATAGATTAGTCTAAAATAGAGAAACAGCATTATGAACAAATTTAGCATGCCTAAAATGCCTGCTTTAGTAGACTATAGTACCCTGTTATACCCTGTTTCTAGACAATATAAGATCGCGTTTATAAAAAGCATAGGTGCTGTTACAAAGCCTTCGTTATCGAAGCGAGAAGGTTTAACAAATTCGGGCGAAGGCCTAACGAAGGAGTACTCTAATTTCAAGCTTCAAGGAAATTGAACGCAAAATTATACGTCTATAACCAATGCGAACATTTTTTTAAGTCAGACTGTGCAATCCTTGACATCGTATGCACCACTAGAAAAATCGTATTATTTGATAGGGTTCAAATATCGTAAGTGGGTTGTAAATGTGTCGTTTTTTTTTCTTTTACCGATTATTTTTGTCGAATTACAAAATAGATTCTTAGAGACATGGGTAACAAATGCAACACGAGGAGCTTCTTGAATAGGTGAAACATGCGGCGTCGGTATATTTAACCCTACATAAGGGCTCGTGTAACGTTATTGTATGTAAATTGTAAATCATCTTAGTCGATATGACCCCATCCAGTCTGTGTGACAACCACTATAAAAGTACCATTGATAATAAATACCTTTCAGTGGAACATCATGTGAATACATTATCATTTAATGCGTATTTTCGGTTAGAGAGCAGGTGATTACTAGTTCGGCAAATCTAAATATCAGAGTGAGTAAATATCCCTAAAATACGACTTGTTATTCTATAATAATATTAGAAGCAGATCCAAGCCTTCGCTTTATTTCCTGAGTTACTGAGAAGGACAATTTGGACGAAATCGAAATTAAAGCGTTTCTATTAAACTTTATGAAATTATGTAATGAATGTTAGCGTACCGCAACTCATTTATATGCTAAGATTTTCAGTTACCAAGCATTGGCCTGAATACGGGGTGTCCTTTTAATCGTGATTCCTTTAATTTGTAGTATTTTCTATATGCTAATTTTCTGTAGTTTGTAGTAGCATCCTTTTTACTGACTTGGCTGCTTGCAAGTCCGTCTTAAGTTTCGTAAATCGATTGGACTGACAAGGGAGAGCGTCGTTCTGCGGTGCGAACTTTTGTTTTGAGACAACGCACTCGCTCCGTTTTATCTGTCGAGTGACGCAGACTCTTTCAGCCCTATCTGCAACGATTCGGGTTTATAGCATCTCGCGATTTACGATGGTCGGTTCGCGATTCTCAGGCGCCGATTATTCAGCTTCTTCTATTTTCCAGTTGGACTGTGATCAGGAGGAAGAGCTAATTTAGGTTAGTCAGTCTGAGGAATGCGTAAGGAACCTCAGAAGCGCGTGAAGACAGCCACACCATTTTTTTTTGCTCACTGCAGATAGCAACCCAGACAACCCGATATGTATCGCTTAGACGAGTTCCAACAGCATATAGTTTGCAATACGCGAATCAGAAGCTTCAGCTATGAGTAGTCTTAGCTGCACGTCAGTTTTGCCCCGTTTGCAATCGAGGACAACTAAATGACACTGGTGAATTGTTCGCTGTGGTGTAAAATGTAGATTGAGTACCTTATCTTCCTTGATCAAATATTTCCCTCTTAAATAAGTCTTAATAGGCCTGTAGCGTAAAATCTAGGCCTTTCATGGACTTGAGGTAAAAGGTGATCGGACTGATACGGCGCTGCGGAGTAGCCATCAAGTTAGGGGGATGTTTAGCAGAAACGGCTCATCCGCAGAGTGCCGAAATCGGACCTTCTTAATGCCACATACATATGCATGTATATGGTACTAAGATATATGGAATCGTTAGTATAAAAAATACCACTCTTACGAGAAATTATCGAAACCAATGATAAAAAGCCACCTACCTGCCAGTTTTCAAAGTGCAGTTCAATGAAACCCTTTTTCAGATCAGACTCAGAATTATAGTCAAATGCGATTCTAGGAGAGGCACAACAAACTATATAAACGAGATACTCTGTGCGGCATTATCAAAGATATTGGGTTCTTTAGATAGTTTCGTTTTAGGGTTACTTAATTTTTGGTAGATTATATTGCTCAAACTTGAGATCTGGGGCTGGTTCACCTAGTTAAAAATATTTGCTTATTTATCCAAACGAATATCATGGCATGCTGTAACTGTTAGCACCATAATTGTAAAAGCTAGATTATACTGCTAGTGCAGCTTTCACGTATAAGTTTCGCTTCCACCAGGTCTTAAGAGGTTAACTGTCATGAGTCACTACTTCAATTGTGAAATTTGACTATCTAGATAGAATCCAAATCACCATTTTCCGTATAGCTATTAAGACGGTTAGAACGGCACCGAGTCTATAATGCTTCGCCGGTTTCTTTTTCAGTTAAGACGGCGCGCGTTATATAATCCTCCATAACAGAGCTCTATTTATTTTGTTGGTCAATAACTTGAGATTTACATATAGAGAAAAGGAGCTTTTCTTCATTCATTTCTTCAGGAGAGATTCATTAAGTGAAATTAGTTTTGGGCTTCAGAATCTAAATGAGCTGCAGAAAAAAAAGAATATGTTTTGTTTTTGTACAAGACATTTAGATTAGAATGTAGACGTCTACCTTGGTGCAAGAGTTTGTCGATGCACGGCGTATTCATTTTACCTGCCAGTGTTTATACTATCAGAAAATCTGCCGAAACAGCCTTGCAACTGGTCTTCAAATAAAGCAAGAATCCAATTCAGCGTCATTTGAAGTGTTGATAGCAGTAATATAGTCCAACAAAGCAACACATGAAATACTTTAGACAGGCTTGGTAAGAAAACGATGTCTTTTATAGTCCATACACGCATGAAACGTTGGTTGACGTCAGAAGATGATATGGCTTGTTCTGCCACAAGACCACGGATCGTTAGTCACAGCATGCGCATACCAATCATAGGATATTTTTTCGGCAGTTAAAATAAAATCGTTGAAAATCACCTGGCTTGAGCCGAACACATAGACAGAATTCGGAAGTCTCCACATTTACGGCTACGATCATCTTCGTTTGCCTAGGGTTATTTAAGAATGCCTATTTATGTTATTTATTCAAAGTAGTGTTCAGCTATGTACAATATTATGAAACAGTCTACGTTTACATTTAACAAGGCCAATTGTTAACTCACAGCTGTAGCCGGGGCTATGGTCGAGTCTAATTTTTTAATAAATAAGTGTTAACTAACTAGGGGTTTTTGCGCAAAAAGGCTAATTCAATAACAGACAAGGCCAGACGAAACGATACGAAATGCTGCGGCGCGTTTCCGCCCAATCGAAATTTAACAATCTGATTGACACAACAGGCAACCTTCGAAACATCAGTTATGTGTCAACAACCAATCAAGGGGCTTTATGGGGCATATATTTTAAAATGAAAGGCAAGCTATTGCGCAGTTGTATTTCTTTCTAGCAACTCTTGAACGCAGATATGGATTAATGCATTATAACATAATGTCAAATGTTTATATAAAAATGATGCATTTAATGTCGAAAAAAATACTAAAGGCATATGATCTGTGTGTTGGTGGATTCACACTCTTAGCATTTCTAAAATCTTAGCGCTGATTTTTTGATTCGCGAAGAAACGGACTTTCAAATCAAGGTATGGATCTGCTAGTTTGAGACCATACGATGTTATTATACTTCTGACTTTTCTTCTTCTTCTCTTTTTGCTTTGCGAATAGCTGCTTATTTAAGATGAACTAAAACACTGTCAAGGGTTTATTTTGTAAGGTCGACGAGTTTATATTTACAAAGCTTTTAGATGTACATACAGCATATATAAAAAATGCAAGTAGTGCAAATTTAAAAGCGGTCGTTTCCTTACATTTGTTGCCCTTCAATGCGCTATTATATTGAAGCAAATGTGGAGCTTCTGGCATATTTTTAAAGAGACCCAATTGATGCTTTTAAAATAAACGCCACTCGACAAAAAGCAGGAAGCTGTGCGTCTACCGGAAAAATGTTCCCAATATCGGTGAGCGCTATTTGAGAAAATTGTTATTTTGTAAAGCCTTATAAAGTCATGGAGTCAACTGACTCAAACGAAATTATCGAATACTCAAGTGTCGCGACTAGCAGTAAATATTTAATCCGGACTTATCTATTTTTCGTGTAAAACGCAACCCACGCTGTTCAACCAAGCTCGAACAACTTTCTATCTGTACAGGTAGCAATTTTCAGCCTATACTGAGGTGTCTCCAGTAAGGGCTCCGAATGTTGCGACACATATCAGAAACCACGATCAGCAACAGCAGGAATCGAAAGCAAAAATAATACATATTTACATTCGCTTTGCTACCAATAATGGACGGGTCGTCCCTGATTACAATCGTGTAAAATTGTTGGCCTTGTGCTTGTGGTAAATGAACTAGCCGCCACCTTTAATATGGACAGCGACGTACGTAAATGCTCCCGCCCTGTTGTTTAGGTTCCTATTGGTAACTAATGCTATGTGTTCTCGAAATCAGATTATTTCCCCTGTGTAGTTCTTTTTTACGTACGTTGTACGCAAGTTTAACTCTTCTAGGAGAAGCTCTACTAGTATACGGAATAATGTCCGTCTGCAAAAAACTATACTATCCTGCCACATCAGTGTACTGCAACAATAAACAATTCTAGCGTAACTCGATTAGGGTACATTCGCCCGTCTCGTATTTGTAGCTGAGTTGACAAAAATACGGTACATACCATCGGCGGAACGGGCATATCTGCAAATTAACCGTACAAATTGTCCCTCTTGTTGTGCGCTCGTTGTGGCGATTTAACCGAAATAAAAGAAAAGATTTGAACATCATAAACACGGACGTATATCTGATCGAAACAAAGACTTTCGTATATGTAATTCCATTCCCTTTTTGTCCTCTTTGCTTACGAGATTTCGGCCTTGACAGTAGCTCACTGCCAGCACCGTCGTCTCTATCCCATCCGTCATTGATGCTGTGGCAAAAAAGGACACTAACAACAACGATAGGATCAATTACAACTTTGTCGCCGTTGCCCGTCACGAAAAATGATGGCGGCCCAGAGTTTATTCAACAAGAATTCCCATAAATAAATAAATAGCCTCTTTTTATTAATCCTAATAACAAGAAGTTATTAGGATTTTACATACTGTTACACGCTACTACACGTTACTGGTAACGCTTTGATCAGCGCACTGCGGCTCCGTGCTGCTTGTGTCGTTTCATACTGGCGTCAATCGATCTTAAGGTGGCGTTCGACAGCGAAGTAGGATCGGAGCGCTTCCCCCTCGCCACACTGGGTAAGGGCGCAACTTGACTGGAAGACTTGGATAGCAGTTGCTGTAGGTATGACTACGATGGTGCCGGGAACTGACCCAGCGACAAGGCGCCAGTCGACAGCAAACAGTAACCAGACCGTTGCTCAGGGAAAGCAAAATGAGCTAGAAACGATTGAGTGCGCTATTTAAAGGAGGAGGCGCCGCCGCCGCCGCCGCCGCCGCTGCTGCTTCAAAGCGGATAGTAGTGTGACCGGCCATCCATTTTGCTATCGTTGTGCCGAAGTTGCTGTTCTAACGAGTGTGACATCAACGCCGGCCGATATCCTGATAAACAAACATAGGCGCGTTTGTTTCTTCTCTGCATATCATTGGTAACAACGGAAGTACTAGTGTAGAGTAAGGTGTGTTCTGTACAGTTTGCGAGGATGAGTCCTGGCGTTAAGAAGCCGCAGAAGTGTTTTTTCCAATAGGGACACTTTTGCTAACAGCTGAGCCGGGTTGGACCGCGTGTGCCTTATCATGCACTTTGTAAATATTTGCTGACCTTTTTTCCTGCCTGATATGCGTATGAAACGTCGACGCGACAAGTTGAATGAAATCGACGGTCTAAAAGGGATAATGACTTACTGAATTATACCTATTTGCTCTTCTAGTAGCGACATCAGCCTGGTACGTCGAGGACGCACAGACGGAGCTGGAGTTCACGAAATGCAAGACTGCGCCAAAATTCCCGCCAGCGTTTACTTTGTGGTAGTCTATATGGGTGCTTTTATGTGTCGAAAATATTCTTCTTGCAGAGATCACACTGATGTGGACGGAATCTGTCTATTCCATACTCGGAAGTGTCTCTTGTACGTAGACTTTATCAACTAAGAAAGCAATATGATGGTCTTCGGAGAGGCTCGGCGACAACGTCTTAAGGTAATTGGCCTTACGTAAATACTTCTTATACGAGTGTCTGTATAACGTCTTTGCAGCTTTACTCATTTACCGTGCTTGATTTCTTTGTTCCATTTTGATGGTAAGAACTGAAGTGAAATCATTCATTAACCGGCAACCAAAGAACCTGTCTGGAAGGTTCCACAGTAAATTTTACTGTAGGGAACAGAGGTATACCAGAACGCCAACATAAGAAGTATTTTACTACATAATGTCCACGAAATACGGTCAGAGTTTTCCAAACTTCTACAGATAATTTAGGGAATGAAAAGAGCCGGCAATTATATATATATATATATATATATATGTCGGAGACTGCTGCTAACATTAGAGCCACATTATGTCACTAGCAAAGCGGACAGCTCCCATGTGACTTTTAGAAGCACGACAACGCAACGAGTAACACGCATAAATCGGTACTGTTTATTATCAATACACAGTGTTTCTTGATGAAACTCTTTTGTTCAGACCATTATTGTGCGTCTAGCAGATAAGCCGTGAAAGTTATTTACGTTAGGTCAGCTCTGAAAGCCGCGCTGGTATATTTGGTAAACCTCGACCGCACTTTTTTTTTCTAATTTTATAAATAATTCACGCATGCACGACTATTTTATCGTTGGTGTCGTTACATCTTTTTGTGGGTCTTAGTGTATAGGAAATGGTTCGTTCGAGTCAGAACTGTGTCTCTTATGCCTGTCAAACTTGTGCCCAATCAGTGATTCGTTTCACTTTCAAATAAAAAGAGTCAAGAAAATTCGAACGGCTGAGTCCGTATCTATGTTCTGTGTGAAACTTTAGCATGGCGGATGCGGGTTGGATATGTTATGCGATAGTCATGGGGGCCGATTCGGCTACTATTCATCGTCTATCGCCGGTAACTGCTAACTGAATGAATTCAACCTTCGGTTGGCTGTCTTTAAAACAACTATCTCTTTTCACGTGAGTTTTCTTTTAATTGTTATACACGGCAAGAACATGTAACTTCCTGTGCTTTTTCAAATGCATTTTGTATTTCTTGCAGTCGCACAACAGCTAACCGTGAAGTCCATGTCGCTGGTACCCTTGAAACACTTCACTGACACCAATATTTTTGTGCGTTACGTGCACAACAGTTTCATCCATGAACAATTGTTTACGGTGTGCAAAGCTGTGCTCAACAACGCCGCCATTTCGCTTACACTGTCAAATCGAAATACCTGCGAGAGGGAATATGTTTGTATAAAAATATTTAGTCAATCGATGCGGACGATTTGCTCCTTTGCCTGGCGTTACCCGCCATGGCAGCCGTTCCTATCTGCAGGAAATCTACGTCGCACAATATCCTTCCCATTGTCAGAATCGTTCCACACCGCGCGTACGCTTCGATGGTTCACTTTAAGTCTATCGGCTTTCTAAACTGCCTACCCGAAACGTTTCGATTTGTTTAATTCATGTGGCTGATATAGGCCTTTCAAGTGTTTGATCGTTTCGAAAATGTCCCACGAAACGACTGTGAATAGGATGCGTTGATATCGCCTACTCAAGATATTGCAAATCAAATGTGTATACAATCGGCTTTCGCTTATACGTCACTTTGTTTCATTCCTACATGCGTGTAGCATTTTCTGTGGGGGTCGAATTTTATAGAACGAACTCGACTACAATGGGTTTATTATTCATTTTCATGCGGCCTAACGCTGTATATAGAAACGCCTCGATCGACGTAGCTGGCAAACCTGCGAACGAGATTAATTTTCACTAGCCTAGCGACCATGGTGAAAACATGGATAGTAACCTATCGTCTCTAATCAGCCAGGGATTTTAGGACTTGCATTATTGAATAGTTATGGCGGTATGGTAAGTTACCTTTTACTGAGAAGTGAAACACTGTCGAGTAGAGTAGTGCCTATAAGGTCAATCAACGTGACAAGCGTTGATATCGCATATAAAGATGACGCTATTTTGTACCGGTGACACATTTGGTTTTGTGATGATATCTCAGATCGTTCATTTGAATATGGCCGGCCATGGGAATTGAACTGATTTATGAATACGAGCTGCATCTTGAAACTACAACGGTCCTTACCATATATCTGGCAAAGGTTCTCCTACAAAGAAAACATCGTCAGTGGTTGGCTCAAAAAACTTGCGAAAGAAAATGGAATAACAAAAAGTTGACCCATATAAAAGTGTGGGAGTGTTGACACCCAGGTTTACTATAAGGTAAAAATACGCACTTTTTTCACCTTGATCAAAGTAATACGATTGCCACGCGATTCGAGAAGGAACACAGACGTAGAGACGCTATAGTAGTGATTCTTGTAGCGATTTGCGACCTGTGATGATCCTTTTCTTCTTTTTGCAGGACAGAGCCTGACCTCACATTGTAGTGGCAAAAATGCAGGAGTTAAATTTTGTTCAAAATTTCGTAATAAGAAAATAATCTAAATCTCAATATAATGTCTAAATTGCGTTTTGGGATTTCATCTCTCATATCTCTGACTTCTACAGAGTATGATACCGGTAAAATGGCAGAAGGTTGTAGCTAATTGGGGTGCATACTTCTTCTGTGGAGAATAAAATAATCTTTTTTGTAGAGGGTATGTCTGTCGTCTGCGATCCGTCGAAGTTCAGTAAGATCTCTACGGAAAAGGTAAGAGAAATCGCAGTGAGGCGTACCTGATTTTTCGCCGTCTTGGCAGCGATACGCCGTAGCAAGACATACTCATAATATGCTATCTTGTTCAAGTGCCCGATAGAATGTCTGGGCTAACTGCCTATCCAGTTGCGTTTGTGCCATTTTGACAAAGCAAAGTTTCAATTCAAATCGGTAGTCATTATGAACTTACTTATCAAGTACAGTCCGTTACCTATTGAGTCGATGCGTTTGTGTAGCGAAGCGCCGTATAGACCGAAGCTGGTATGTTATTGAACGGAGCGTACTGAATCACGAGTGACAAACTAACAGGGGCAGCATGAGGTAGCCATTATTTTTTTACCTCTAGATGTTTTTCGGGTTTTTTCGATTTAGCTGGCAATGGCGCTGTTGTATATATCCATTGTTCTCGTACGGAAAGCGCGATCCGATGATCTATCGACTCGAACTTTCAGTCCGCTTTCATATCCGTATCTGGAACTATTCGACAGAATGGACATGAAGGCAATTTACCTGTAGCTAGATAGTGAATTGATATTGAAACGGCGGTCAGTTTCCGTATCCATGAAGTCAAACTGCCCCCTGTTTCGCGCGTGACTGGGCTGAGACGTTAGATTTTCTAGGTGTTACTGAACTAACATACAGTCCTATTGATACGGTGTTGATTTTACGTTAACTGTTATTGTGTGTAAAGCTTTTAGGGTAAAACAGACCGCACTATCTTTAACGAAATGATCTACAATACACACGAAAACAACACAAGACAACATTGCTTTATATAGCAGTTCTCGTTACAATGGAAACCAACGAAAGTATATAAAATGCCGATTTTCATGCCGTCGACAATATCGGTACTTCTCGACAAACAGCCGGCCAGTTTTGTTGTTGTTGTTGAACGAAATTGTTCTTCAGATCGTACTATGTTCCACTCCTGAGTTCCATGTTAGAAAGTGTCCTTGTGGTGGCTAGTGAAGATGTTGATCAGACAAAGCGTTCGAAACTGTTCACGGTATTCCGTCGTGTCGTTAGGTTTAATAGGCAAACATATATATATGAGGACGCCGTCAATAGGGCCAATTAAATAGGCGACTAATGTAGTACAGCGTCTCAAATTGGCAAAACACCACCTGTTTGTTTAAGTTGATCCCCTTGAAGTAAGGCCAATCGGCTGAACTAACTGGGACCGATCCTGATTGGATCACACTACGTCGTAAACATCAATTCGGTTTTGTTAAACGCTAGTACCCGTAGCAGCTCTATCGCGTAGATATAGATCGCGTCTTTTAAAGTCTCGGAAAGAACTTCAAAATATGCTGTGCTCAGATTGAGGACTCGTAATACAGCCAAAATTCAGACCCCAAAACGAAATGCTATTATTTATCTAATCTACGTCGACTTGTTATCGGTTCCTGTCACTAGGTTTGTTCGTCAGTACCTTAACAAAGATGTGGTACAATTTTACGTTATTAGATGCTGTTATTTTTTAACACGATAGAAAATCCGGCGGAATAGTTGGCCGTTTTCACCGCAGGAACTATCGCCGCCAATCCGACATCCCTATCCCGTCATTCTCAGAGGTCGGCACATCATTACTAGCTTTCTCTGTTCACATAAATAACGTAATGTTTGTGCTATTGCAGTACACATTGGATACATATCAATAATTCTGTTATGAAAGCTGTACGAAATGACGCCATATTCCATTCAAAAGTAATCCGTACGCAAAACGCGCTGCTTCGTCTGGTGCGCGTTCTATTGGCGCGAACGTCAGCACCAGGCGAAGCAGTAAAATGTTAATGACGTGGGCATCAATAAGGGCAACGATCGGTTTTTGTCTGTGCCTCTGCTAACAGAGAATTGAGGACGCCCGGAATAATGCTGATGCGCCTCAGTAGTGCGTTTTCGGTAACGAAACAACTTCATTCTCACGACCGTCATTGGGTAGTCGAAGTAATTCTGATGCCAAATATAGAACGTTAATGTCAACTAAAAACGAGAAAACATAGCAAGTCAGACTTCTCTATACAAACACTGTATAGGAGGTAAACTATACTGAAAGGAGAAGAGTGTGTTACATTTTTAAAAAAATATTAAATCTTCTTCATTAAAAATGAGTTCGCAGAGACATCACATTTCTTAATCTAACCAACCCGGGAGTTTCAGTTGACCAAACCACCTTTTTTGTTGGAGCAATCATTCTGTCCGTGATAATGTTATTATCGATATGGTTTTTTTTTTTTCGAAGTTCAAGTGTGACAGTAAATTGAACTAAACTTAGTAGTTATCGTAGGTCTGCGTATCCTTCGCAGGCCTCTCATCAAGCGGATAAGGGAAAGGCAATAACGTTCAAACTCTTCCGTCAGGTAGTCACCGTCTTGCAACCTTATCAGTCCGTAATTAGACAACTTCGAGTCAGAGTTTTCGGGAGAAAGGTCCCCATAACATTGGCGATGGTGGCAGAATAACTCCTTACATTACGTAAATATTACAGGAGCCTTTATTGTCTCTTAATGATACCCTAATCAACAATATACAGTTCAACATTAAGCGAAATAAAAGAAAATAATTTAACCTGAGCAAACGACAGTCCGACTGGATCGTCGTATTTTAACAACGAAGTGACGGGTTTCGATGTTCGGAAGAATCATTATCTTCGTTGTCTCACCTTTCAACCGTTTGGTTATATAATATTTTTCATTCACTGTTTGTCAGAAGACGCTTAATGTCGTTATTTAATATCAATATTATTTTTTTTGTTAATATTTGGCGTTTTTCAGTTTCAATACCTGTAATCATTACATGACTTTTATAAAACGTAGCATTCTGCCATTGACCATTTTAGGCAAGACATCCAATAAGGAAGCTTCTCTTACGATTTTGTAAGTACGTATGGAAGGGTTCAATGGTTTTCCGAAGTGTGGATAGACCAAAGTATTACGTAACGCCTCTCGGCAGATTTTGAATGCTCAGACACTGCGGCGACATGGAAGTTGCTGGCAATAATAGTGCTTCAAAGAAGAGGAAGAATTATGTTAAATTTGCTTTCGCGGCCGGTGCTCGATAGCCAATGTCCCATTGCATTTATCGTTATTGTGAATGAATCATTTTCTATTTGACGTTGTATCAGTACGGAACAGAATACGGTACTTGACGTCGCTGAGAAGTTTTTCTGTGACTCGAAGTAAATACTATATTTGCGTTAATACGTACTTGCCTATTAATCCCGGGTACACGTTGCGGCCTAGGTTCGCACCCAAGCATAGATACACTTGTTCGTTCCGGGCCAACCTTCTGATGGAACTATGCCTAACGGCGACACCGGACGTAAAACCGGAAACATGGAAAAGTTAATACGATGTGCTCAGAGCTCGATGTCACGTTGTTGTATAGCGGAATTTGTCCACTATATAGCGATGTACAATCAAAATTAAAGGTGGCAACAGGAGCGGTTTAACGATACATCTATGCGGTATATCATGTCATACATATGTTGGAGACGTTGTTAAATAAGATAGCACGTTCAGGGCGGATGTAGTATCTGCCTACCATGAACAGATGCTGTTTTGTCTACCGGAACGATATTTATGTAATGACATCTACCTCAGGTGGTAATGTCCGATTAGGAGTTTTCTGTATGAAAGGCTTAATCACTGTGATACTCTTGCTTTGTTATATGTCCATCGATCTTATTGCTAGTCACTTGGGAACCTTCTGTTTATCCTATTGCCTTGCATATTCTTAAGTTGCGCCGGCATTCAGCTTCTAGCAATTTGTATTGATCGAAGGCTAAACACAACGTTGAAAGGCGACTAAATTATGGCTTCCGATGCACAAAATCTTCATTCTTAACCGATACCTTCAACTATGGCTTTTGTACTGCCTTTCCAGAAGCGGGGCACTTTCGTTAGATTAACTAATTGTTAACCTTGGCTAACCACTGGGCCGTTTTTCGTAAGCAGAATTCGTCCTACGGCCTTAGGATTTAAACACACTATAGAGAATTAAAAAAACACATCCTAAATCAAAAAGTGATCCACTGCTTCAATACACGGCTATCTCGCTGCATCGTATATTAATGTTAAATGTCCATGCTGATACTATCCGCTAATCGGCCGAGGGATTTTCCAAGGGGCCATTTATATAGACATGGAAAACAAATGTGATTCAGCAACATCACGGCCCAACAGCTCAGAGCAAAAAAAGCTATACAAGTTATTAAGACATCTCCTAAATATGCTTACCGGAAACCGGAAGAATCATACTACTATACTGACAACCATCTGGCAACCTTTGTCATAGTTTACGGAAGATGCGATTCTTTTTATCGGATTCTTCTATTCCTTCGAGCTATATGTTTATATGCCAAATGGTGTACGTCATGCCAAAAGAAAATTCATTTCCTGTACAAGATGCTACCGAGTCAAAACGCCACTGGAAATCAGTGGACAATCGCCACTGTAGGAAAGTTTCAGCGGGTACATTCACAATTATCCATTGGTTTAGCCATGAGCGCATACTGCAAACCTATTGCAAACGTAATTTCCACTAAAAGGGGTCATCACACCCGATATATACTAAGCTCACGTTCGGGATGAGTCCTAGCCTGTATATGCGGCTCATGAGTTAATTGAAGCTAGACAAACTGACACGCAGTTGTGTTGTCCTATTTTTTGCTGCTAGTATGTAGATAAAAGCATTTATTTTGCTAAAGTTAAACTATCTATGTATTTAGTCGGTGCTAACTTAAGATGGCATGGATGGGCAGGCCGTTGGCGAAACGTCAAGGCAATAGCTCTCTTTTCGTTCTATTCACGTCGTCATGGGGGGAAAACTTGACTGGCTATTGTTGTGCCACAGATCCGAAGTTAAAGAGTCAACTTGAATGGAACTCTCCGACAACAATAACCTATCGGTAGGCTGTAAGCGAAAAGATTTTTCATATGTCGCATATCGGAGATAACTAGGGTCTTTCCGTTGTCTCGCCAAACAGGGTCGTCCATTGCGCACGCTATCCAGTATAGCGCTCTGTTCTAATTACCCCGCTAAGCCAAATAACAGCTGAAAATGTGGTGATTTGAAGTAGGAAATAAAAGATCGCTAACCGATTTCTGAAAGGGACTGGAAAAAAAATAGTTCGGTGAAAAATACTCTGCAGAACGACTGCTTTCGCTGGTGTCGAAAAAAATAGAAAGAGATTTTAAACTGTAGACAGTAAATATTTTTATATGCTAGAAATAAATATACACTTATTGTTTATCATCGTATCGTTCGGAAGTTTCCCTGAACACACGGAACTGATCGCAACTATCGGACGGTTTATGAACCAATTTTTTTTTTCTTTCCAAATTGTCGGCGGAGATGGCACGTTAGGTCGGCAGATAATTGTCATTCACCGCAAACCTAAAAAAATGATGGGATTTTAACCCTTTAACGACAAGTTTAAATATCGATAACATGCTTTTTTTACTAATTAATTTTTGTACGTTTTCTTTTCATAAGGTTATCAGTGTGCTTACTGAAATGGACATTTTCTTCCAAATAGGAAAAAAATTCGCTTGATGTCAAGCTGTTTGAACGATAAATACGTGTAACAGATAATTTTATCTATCTATAGATGGCATAATAAAATTAATCGTCGCTATTTAACTAATGTATTCTATCCTGACTGTACAACTCGATTTACTTTGTGCCACAGAAATACTTTTAGCAAACTATCGACCGCCTGAATACCGGTTCACCTTGGGCTCTTAAAGCAAACGAGGATTTCTACTCGTATGAACTGCGCTCACGCGCAACACTGTCAAAATCTGCCTAATAGGTCGAAGGCGCCTCCATCTTTCGAGATCGCGGTATAGCTTTGCTAAACGTCATGGATATAAACGCGTTACTACGGGGTTTCGGACTGGCATTTGGTATTTTCTGCGCAGGAAAGATCATTCTATATATATATATATATATGTTAACGAATGATTTTTTAGCTGTCACCAATGGCGGTGCGAGCCAATGCCCAAAACGCCTACGGCCAACTTGCATCTCGAACTGTTGCTGATTTTCATTAATATGTTTTTTTCAACGGCCCATTTAGCTTGATTGGTTCATCACGGAGCAGCAGCAAGCGGTCTAGAGTAATCTACAATTCAAGTAGCAAAAATGATTAAATGAACTTAACTACTAACAAACCTATAAACAGTGTAATAACCGAAAGAACTGATCGTCTGCGTAATGGCTAAACGAATAAAGAAAATCTAGTAAACAGTAGATAAAAAACAAAAGATTATAAGGGACTGCGCTTTGTGACTGTGTTACATTTAAATAAAGGGCGGAGGCTGTTCGTAGAGAACGAAAATTCAAGTATTGTCGTATATTTATTGTAAATACATTTAGTATTATGAGAATTTTTACCTAAAAATACACTTCTTGTGCTTTACAGATGTCGTATACCAATCGTTCTTGCTTTAAAGCCGTACTTGTCCTGACTTTGATTTCGGCTTATGTCATCTTGGCATTAGTCAGTAACCTCGGCATGCTACCCATCCAGGCAAATCTGGGAAGCATCAAGGAATTGCAAGAGTCAGAATTGAACAAACGGAACTATACGTAAGACAAATTCGTTTGTGTCTAGCTGAACCAGGGCGAGATAAAAAAAAAAAAGATTTGAATATAAGCCCAACGAAAATAGGTTTTACATTTATTGTTCATTAAACAGTTTATTCTTTAAAATGACCGAAGTCGGTGTGGTTAAATTAAGCGATGCCTGTCGATGATGCATCCTAAGGCATGTTTCATCTGTCTTTTGGTACAAAACCCAAACCACTCTCTTGACCGACCACGTCACTTCTGCTCGCATGACTGTGGGGGGTGTGAAGTCCTGGCGGGGGCTTGGATGTTTCGCTCCGTAATTAATTTTTGCATTCTGCATGATTCTTCATTTTCACGTAACAACCAAATTTCTTCTGACTTAATTAAGTATACGTCGATTGGGATTTTACTGGCTACCCGTTCGGGCTTTTAGAGTAACTGCATTTGTTATTATTATTATTATTATGGTGATGGCAGGATCTCAATATGGAAAGTGGGAGCTCGCATGCAGAGGCGCTTCCTTCGATCATTCGGATCCATTGAGAGAGATCCGTTCGCACAGTGTTCAGTCAGAAATTGCCGCCTGGAAGTAAATGATTCGCTGGTGAGATTCAGCGACGCAGTCATGTTTCATTTGCATCTTTTGAGAAGTAAGTAATTGTCTTGCCCCATAAATGCCACTTTCAGCGGATTCTCTATCTAGAGGCCGTTGTTCCCATCTATCGATGTCTTTTAGCAAAATCAAGCAATAACTATTTTTTAACATCCTCGCTGCAGATATCAAAACAGCCCTACCTAAAACGCGGCCGATTAATCAACAGTGGATATTCTTCACGGATGAGTCACCTTACCATACCTTTATGGCTGACCCCAAGCTAACGATGAAGGATCTCAACGGCCTGTTCAACTTAAGCATGACCTATCGTTCAGACTCGGACATTCCCATTCCTTACGGTAAGGACAAGGCAGTTTGATAGGCGTTGCTTTGTTACGAGGCAGACACGTTGAAGTATGTGGGCATCAATATCATGTTTTCAATTTTGCCAAGTTCGAAAGCTATCAGTCTGATTCAAAAGTACATACACTAGACGGTTCGAATAGTATTCTGAGCGAACGAGGACGCGGCATAGCTTTAAATCCCGTTATAAAATATGGCTGTGACAAGTGTAACACTAATCAACAATACGTTCCCAATTGGCCACTCAAAGTAGGCTAAATACTTTAGGCAAGCGTATTGGCCTTATTGATCATTGCAGTGCCGGACGAGGCTCGTTGGAAAAGTTGATATATGCCGGTAGTACATACGCAGAAATGTCCGTTCACCGCAACAGGCACAATGATCCGAATGAAACTCGAAAGGTGGACAAGTTGGCTGATTGTCAGTATCAACAGTTAGTTTGTCATTTGCAAAAATGATGTTTTCTATTAGGAATTGTCTAGGGCAGCGAAGGCCCGCTGCGTTAACGGCGAGAAATGGCAGCGATGGCCGTTACCTTTTGTCTGTCCACGATTTTCAAAATTATCAAGGCCGCTACCCAAAAGAGAATCTTCAACAATGTCATACACATAACAATAACGATTCTAGTTATTTTTCGAAGGGAAACAAATTTACCTTTGCTATTGTGACTATTGTAAGTGTTGTGAGCGTTGACCCTATAAAATACACAAGTTAATTTGTTGTTACTTCTTGTATATCTTATACGGTATATAACATGTATTTGCAGAGCGGCAAATTTAGACTACGGCACGGTTACTGACCGTACGAACCTCCGAAGTCGGTCAAATATAGGTATGTCTATATGTAATAAATACTTAATAGAAGAACGGTTGCGACTACGAAGTCGCTCCACCTGATGGATATATACTGGAGGAAACAGAGCGCTTATTCGCAAAAGGAAGTGAAAGAAAAGCTCAGATGGTGACAGAGTCATCGTAAGAAAGAAGGCTTCGATCAGACAACGTCGGTTTAACCAATAAACATCACGGAGGACGACAAAACGGCGAATAGTCATGGTTCTAAATTGCACAAATATACATGCACGCATGCTGAATATAAACTCGTGGTAGATCATTACGCTGCTCGTTATCTAGAGGCTAACGGCTCGCGAAAAGCATTTACCGAAGAAATGGCACTATATCCGCTGTTCCGTTGCTCTATAGTTACTTGTTTTGTACGGTGATTCAGGCTATTTTTGGCTGTGATTGATCGTACGAAGCTTCACTAGATTCCCAGTTCTAGCATTCCTTCAGGCCAACACACACAAAATGGACGTTCACTGAACAACAAAAAGGACATTATTTGTAATAACTAGGAGACCTAGCAGCGTCTGCTAATGCTGTCACATTGGGTTACAGAGCAAATTGATAAATCGATAGAAAAAACACGTTGCGTGCCATGTACGTAACGCGTCTAATACCTGAATCATCGTGACACGATTCTAATGCGACGCCAACGAAAGGTTAGATTGACTGTTGTCTCTATAATTGTTATTTTATAATACCCTATATCGTACACAACAAATATCCAAAACTATTCCTCATACATAGAAATACTTTGAAAATCTCCTAGGCAACCACAATGAGACAAGTCGGCTCCTACTTAGCCTGCAATTGTAGCAGCAGTCCTAATGTTGTCTCTCTGCAAAGCGATCCGTTCGTATCGTCTGGTAAAACAGTAGAATTCTAATCAGCCACATTATATATACGTTAACATTTTTCCATCGATAGTTACATTGTAAGTTTAAGTTATAATTGCTCGAGCCGCATGGCTTATAAGTTGCGGCGTCAATAGCTATCAATTTAACTTTCTCAAAAATGTATTACTATACATATCTGATAGCTATGATATCTACTTCACTTAACTGGCGTAGCTCTAATTTACTCCGACATCACTTCCCATCAAAGGATCACACAGACCAATAGTGCGTAAATTAACGCTTTAATTTTTTTTTTGTTTCTTTGTTCAAATGAAGCAGAGAAAATTTATAGAAGACGTTCCGGCAATAGAAAGATTCGGAGCGATTATATCTTTCTAGTTACTCAGTCAGGATAGTAGCACACATATGGGTTTATGAAATGAGAACGATGTTGACACTCCCATGGTTATTTTTTTTTTCTTCGATTAGCCGAGGTGGCTGCGCCGGTTTGTTGTAGCCCAGTGGGCTTAGCAAGTACTTTCTTGTCAGACAAAGACGAGCATAAAAACAATGCCAGGGTTAAGAGACAATTACTAATAACGATGATACAGCACGAAAAAAGCAATTTGAATCATGATATAAAAAAAAAGTATATAAAAATAATAACTTATTATTTTTATTGCTATAATCTAGCTGACGTAGATAGAAGGTTATAACATAGATAAGATTATTTTTATTATTTATACTATGATCATGATCCTGTAAGGTACTATTCGACAAACGTTTCGGCTTTGCTACGATGTCTCAAGGAATCAGTGGTCCCCCCCTCGATGATTGCAGTGTAGGTGTTTGCCTGTGGTACGGATAATGGTCTAGGTTCGAAAAGGCACTTTGTTTGTTTAGGCATAGGCATACTTTGTCTAATACTGAAAACCAGACTTTTGAAATAGTGAACTACCGGATGTTATCTAGCGGAAGTTATTTACATTTTCAACAAGCAACTGTTATGCTCGTTGGGTCCTTACATTAAGAGTGGCCTTTTTCAGCACAACCTATGGTCCTTGACTGAATAAAGAGAAATGTGAACGTTTTTCTAAAAATTATTTTATAATACATTCATTATATTACTAGTTCTTCTGATATTTTATCGTACTGTTTAAATTAAATAAAAAAAAAAATATTAAATAACGATCATTTAGTTACGAATGTGACTAGTAGCTCTACTTCGGCATTTAATGCCAAATCGTTATCAAATGGTTCTACTCTACTTCGTGCGTTTGTCCAAGGTACTTCTTCTGCTTGGTTTTTTTAACAGTGAACGTTTCCTATCATTCAGGTATGTTGCCAGCCGTCTGCTATTACTGTCACTATTACTATTCTTATTTAAAGAAGCTGAGTAACAAGCGCGAAATGGTTTTCCTGGCGCCCCCTAAATGAGGATAAGTTCAGCTTAACATTATCACGGGCGTTTTACCACAGACCCGAAACGATCACATATAGTATTATAATAAAGAAAGCCAGTAACTTGAACGTAACGGTGCAGTGAAGTTAAATAACAGCGGCGTTATACCTCAATGCGTCATCTATATTTATGGTCTCGCCGTGACAGGATGCTGTCGGTCGCTGATGCCAGCAATGCCACGGGCAGTAAACGCTTCGTAGTGAACTGTTCAGGACCATAATGTTTTTTTGTGTCAGACAATGCTAAGCAGCGACTGGAAAGAACAATCACTTAAACAATAAAAGACTGTATTTAATTTGGCAATGGAAAGATTTTGTGTGGTAAGCTCAACCAGACAGCAAGATATTGTTGGAGAGCTTTCGCATATTCCCTGAGACGCCCGCCTTCTTTCTATATATATATGTATACTGGACCCACTTCCAGTAGTCTACATCTTGAGGCGAAACTGGCTGAAATGTAGTTCTTCGTTCGCCTTCAAATGAGGTAGGCTTTTGTTATTTATTTATAAGGGAATCCGAAGTTCCAGTTTTTCCTAAATTTCTATCATCAACTTCGACTGGACGAGAAAGTTAAACTAAGAAAAGGCCGATTTGAATTTTTCAACTTTTTGGCGCCAGTCGCGTTAGTCTTAAAAAAAAAAAGGGCTTCTGCATTGAGCTTTTTTCCACATATGTAAAAACGATTGTCGAGTCGTTAGACGTTGACGCTAAAAAGACGTAATAATACAACTGTAGGGGCTTGCTGCTGAGAAACTACGACAAAGAGAAATACGGAGCCGTTATTCTGTAAATAAAGGGCCTAACCATGTCCTGCAAAATAATGAAGCGTTTAAAAACTAAAGGCAATCAAGGATAGGCAATAGACGAGTAGGTAAATAAAAAGATAGGTATTACGGAGAGATACTTTCCCTCGATAGAGCATTTGAATTCTATTATTACATTACATGTCTACTTGAATTCAGATAAGCGGTGCATCCAGCTCGTCTAATTTTACAACCACAGCACATAAGTAAAAACCTATGAACTAGCTCAAGTCGCTAATAATATATTTGTGTTCTTCAAAAGAGCATATGAAATATTTTCTATCAAATCTTTTTTTGGTATAGGTCGTACGGAAAAACTGCCGTCCCCCAACCTCGAAGATTTAACGTCCATGTTAAAGAGCAAGACAAAAGGTGTTACCATCCTCGGCTCAAACTGCGATGGAAAAAACGGTCGGTGGGATTACGTGCACGAGCTGGCGAAATATATCCAGGTATAGATGATCTCTAAAAGCATTTTTAACATTTTCTAGAATTTTCTATGTATTTGACATCACCTTCTGTGCCATCGTTTTTGGTGTCGATCTTATTGGATTAATAAGAATACTAAGATCAGCCGTCAACGCTGTACCTCAGGCAGTTCCTATTAAACAAATGCAAAGGTAATCAATCGATCTCTACCGAGTGAGACCTTGCGGTTGAGATATACATGTATATGTAGTGAACAAAACGATGAATTTCAGGTGGATATTTTCGGTCGATGCGGAAAGCAAGCATGTCCAGAGCATTTTTCTAAAGATTGCGATGCGATTAAAGGTACCAAAGAAATCGGTTTTGGTCGTTTATTTATGTAGGCGATCTTGTCTTATATTTCCAATATCACCATTAATCATTAAATAAAGGCATTATTTTTTGCTAGCTATTTTGTACATAGGTCGATTTTTATTTGTATACTTCCATAGCTGTGATTATGTTGTATCCGTGTGTTTTTGTTGAAAATATATTCATTAAGTTACTTAATAAAAGCAAATACATAACGGAAATCGTTGAAATGGCATATTCGTGTACAGAAACGTGATTGAATCCGTCACGTATGTATTGGTACGGACAACGGGCTTTGTAACGTCGTATTGGTGTCAACTACTGATCTTTCACAGACTACCAGTTCTACCTTTCCTTCGAGAATTCGAATTGTGCTGAGTATCTAACGGAAAAGTTGTGGTACAACGCCTACCATAAAAAGGCAATTCCGATTGTGATGGGGGCTCCGAAAGACGACTATGACCGACTGTGCCCTCCGCATAGCTTCATTCACATTGACGACTTTGCCTCACCTAAGGAGCTCGCTGAGTATATCATGTGTGTACGATCAATATATTATATACAGCGTATAGACGCGCGAAGTCAATGCTTTACCACTGGATAGAACATTATGCACATATATTCATTCTACTGCTCGTTGCTTGCCAGAGGGGTTCTCTAGGAGGCATTAAAACCAATCGTAGAGGCAAGTTCGAAGTCAGCTACGGTTTCTGGCTTCGACTCTTTTTCGCCAAGCAGGTCCACTGCCATATCACCTCTGAACAATTTCCATCATTTGCTAATCTTAACTTATGCGTGCCTACAATATAATAATAGGTCTGACGAAACTCGAGGAGATTAAGGCAGTGAGTAAAGAGCTATTCAGCTTGCTAATACGCGAATTGTACAGATGAGTTTCTGAGCCCTGGCAGCTGTATGAACATTGCACCGGATTTATCGGCACATAGTTGCAATGACTGTAGGTTTTTTGTTCTATTTGGACCTGAAGGGTTTACTTCTTTAGCGTAGTGATATATTTCCTAATACTGAAACGTCTTTTTATCTGTATGACATACAGCAAGCACAAAACAAACGACAAAGTTGGTCACGTTTTGCATTTTAGAAGACTACGAAAAAACCCTGAAGATCTCGTGGCGTATCATACGTGGCGTCGCAGCTATCGGGTGGTCAACGAACACGGTTACTTCGGTACGCCTTCACTACATCTATGCCGTATGTGCGAAATGCTCAACAAACCAATTAAAAGGCAAACGTTGGACCACCTCGAGTCATGGTGGAGTGTACGGAGAGACTGCAGAAATACACGATACAAAGCGTCTACTGCGTAGTATAAAGTTCTATTTTAAAATAAATTCAGCTAACGGACATGGTCACTAGCGTGTATGTTACTCACAATTCAATTTTCTCTTATAATGCCTCATTCAATTTATTACGAAAGTGATCGTGGTGCAAAGATGATACTTGAATCATTTAGGCATGATTTTTTCCGCAGAAGATGAAAAATAGATAGAACAACAAAAGCTGTGTACATATCCTGGTGTTTTGTAATTGTTCCCTATTCGAACGGATGCTCTGGTGGGTGAGCAACTAAACAGCTCAGAAAATTCTGTGCGCTTGAAAAGTTATCGATCAGATATCTTCAAGGAGACAGATTTCTTGAACGAAATCGTAAGGACCACCGCAGGCTTTGTCGTGCGCAATAAACAGTTACCAACGAAGACGCTGTTTGATGCTATAAATGCCATTGTACAATGAATTGATATTTCTCTAGCTCGTAAGTGAGAATCTTCTCGTACGATCTAGTATTGCATGTACATAGCAAATCGAATGTTTTATTATTATTATATATTATAATTTTCATTATTTTATTTTTCCACTCCACTCCTAGCGACGTCATTGATTTCGTCAGCGTTACCATTCTATACTGCCGAAAAGTCTCGGTTTAAACTATTAAGTAGTTTCTACACAACCGTAAAGGTACACAAGTTGTACTTTCTATATGCCTTTTCAACGAGTGTTGTTAACATATTTTTAAAAGGAAACTTACATGAATATAAGCTTGCCGATAGCACGAAATCGTCGTGAGGCGTTCCTGCCCTTGTGTTTTTTTAGCCACACACGCGCACACGCATATATATATATATATATACACTCGCGGACCAACAGCAATTTAATAAATACCCAATAAAATACTAATACTTGTACAGTTTGTTTGTACGCAAGTGAGCTACCTGAGCAAGGGTTTTTCGCCTGTTGCGTCTGAAGCTATATTAGCGTAAACTGAAAGAAACTCGTAATCAATAAGACTTTTTAAGAAGCAAAAGATTTACCTCACAACCGTTTTGAACAAGCCGTAAAGTAAACGGCTGTCCTTCCACAAAGCACGTTCTTAACTCTATCTACATATAAACAAATTTGTAAATACGTTTTTAGGGAATCGTTTCGGTTGGACCGCGTGTTCGCTAGAGATATTTCCATGGTGAAAATCACATACGATACTCACCAAAATCCCTCAAAACTCACTCAAATCACCCAAATTCCTATTGTTCTGCTATATTTGTATATAGCTACAATGTGAAACGTAAGAATAAATAAAGGCTAGGGAAAAATGCAATACGTAGTCCGTCATTGTCGGCCTGATGTTTGCCACTTAGAAGTATCGTTACAGATAACTGCAGTTATAATAAAAAGAAAAAAAAAACGTGTGAAAATTCGCAGTCTTCTGCGCTACCACTTAAAACATAATATATTATTCTGCCTTTTTTGATTACAGCAACATAATTCTAATGAAAAATCATTTTAATTACATAGTCGGTTTAGACTTATTCACACTATTATATCGGCTAAAAAAATAAACACTTTGCTACTGTTAGGCCGGTAGATTGAATTTACATTGAATGAAAATCGTCGGCGCCCGGACCACGTATCGCTCGCGGGTAATCCTGCTGCTGTTAATAGGTACGACTTCTTCCCCCTCAGTTAACAGGGATGCTTCATAAATCCGTAAAGACATCTTAGAGGTACTTTTGAAGTGAATTGAGTTTGAAAATTGAATACTCTCGAAGTTTCTAGTAGTGACTCGTCAATACACCTGTAAGAATAGAGCTTGAGATTATGTGTAAAAATAGGTTAATACTTGCTCTTTTATCGGCAGATGTTCACTAGCCTCGTCGTTCAAAAGCAAACTTAATTGATTTCACAGCTTGAGCTGTAAGTTTAAATAATGCACTCCCTTCATCTAATATATAATACTAAGGATTGGCCTCGCCGCGCTACAGGTATTATAGCCCTAGTTTTGGCCTATTTGATGTGTTTTGATTTCAGCTGTTTCTTTTTCTTTTTAACCGAAAGAAAGCGTTTATTAGGCCCAGAAATTTAGCATTGGCTGTATAAAACAACAACGCAACACAGAAAACAACGTACTAAGCACTGTATTGGCATCTCATTTCCGCCTTTCCCTAAAATACGGACGTCGCCTTAAAAGGCTTGCAAGTCAGATTCCCGGAAATTCGACAATTTTTGATATTGCGCTCACAATGAAATATACACCATCCATCCCTGAAGAACAACGACCTTGGGTTAAAAGCCTACAGTTAGCTAAGCAAATACTACCTGAGACCTAACCCGATGAAGTCAAAGAGGGATAGGTCACTTAGGGATAGTAAACCTTCATCTCTAAACCGAAAAATCCCGAACGAGAAATCGAGCTTCCGGGGCTCAGGACGGAAATCTCGGAAGCGGCGTCTGCGACCGGGACTCAGTAGCACAAAGCCCCGAGACCGGGATCCTGCATCTCAAGCTAAAAGTACAAAACCAAATCCTGAATCGCAGACTCAATCTACAAAACGCATTTCTGGATCTTGGCCTTCAAGCAGAGAAACACAAAAGCCAATTCTAGAAGATCAAAAACCGAATCTGAAAGCCTCTGTACTTACTGTGGAATCTGATGATCAGTGTCCGAAACCTTTAGGAAAGGACGGGAAAACTGCACAAACGCCTCCCTATGCGCCGAACACAAAAACGACCTTTACCAGCCTCACGCCGCAACCTTGGGATGTGCCTTTCAAACCCACCAATGCTATTCGGAAGCCCACAAACGCTAATCTAAAACCTTCTGCTAAGGTGGATAAACCTATAGCTCCAGCCGCTAAACCCTCACGTATAGATTCTAAAGTAACACATACATCGGCAAAGCCCTGGGGTGCGAAATCGTCACGGAATAGTCGAAAACCAAAGGCCAAAAACTTGAAGCCACCGCTCATAAGTAAACTCATACGCAAATGTCGAAAGCAACCTGGGGTGAGTGCAAAAATTCTCGCCAGTCGAACCGCCCAGTCGCCACGAATTCGACGGTACTTCAAGCAACCGGTAGAGACGATTTCTGAGGGCACTGAGAAGATTGATCTGAAGAGGAATGAAAATAGGCCAAAGGACAAACATCTACCAACAAAAAATGATTTTACGGACAGCGCGAACCCAAAGATAAAAAATACTAAGAGTAAATATGCGGAATTCTTTCTTTGGCAGCTACTAAGGGGAGGAGATGCCGATGAACCGCACCGAAAAATGTGAGTAAACAATGTTCTTCATTGTTATCATATGATAGTTAGTCTGACATAACAAGCCAAGTGAATGAATTATTAGAGTGTGATCAACATGCTATTTAAGAATGGACATAAACTTAAAGCGTTCAAAGAAGTGTTTCAAAAGAAACCCACCCTATACGGGGTCGAATAGTAAAGTGTGTGTGTGTGTGTGTGTATAAAAATATATACACTTTACTATTATGATATATATATATATATGAAACATAAAACATCACCCGACTTGTATATTCTAGCATGCCCGTTAGGCATTTCCTATTGGGCCACTAGTATTTGCTAACGATGTCTTTACTATTATCTTTGTCTGGCTTGTAAATCCACACGCTCTTTTTATGGAGTGCTCTGCGTTTGTTACACCATTTCGGCTGAATTCATTAGTAGCTTTCCTTTATATGAATGGTGTTAGAAAGTCATGGACAACACACCGAAGGCTGACAGAAAAAGGGACCGATCTCAGGCCGACCTATGATATATACATACAGGGTGGAGCGAAATTCCTTGGAATTTCCATTTTTCTCCTCCTTCTTCACCATATTCTATCGCCTAAAATGGAGTTTTAAACTGTCATTAGACATTTTGTTATACCCCTGGTTGTGTGTGCGGTACGCAGGCCAGACGTCTTCACAACAAAACATCTTTCTGGCTCTCGTGCGGTTTAGAGCGAGTTCTCGCAATAAGAGAGATACCAGATTCAATCTAATGTTTTCGATTATTTTATTGAGTAAATTGAGTTCGACTGCAGAACATGCAACATGATAAATGCTTCCCGTCTTGTAAATATCTCGATTTATATTTAGACCATTGCACACTTAGTCTTATTTTTTTTCTGACAATCTGCGACAGGTATGAGTCATATTGCTTGGGCTATGGAAATTAGAACATGTTAATCGAGTAAACAGAAAAAAAATTTCTTCGAAAGATGTTTTTAATTAAATTAACGTTGACACCTATTACATCCCGGAACAGGTGCGTCTCTTTTTTGTTACACGCATGTGTAGCCGACTACCCCCAAATGATTCGCTTGTCATACACGCATGAAAAATTTCAAATTAATACTAGTGATAAGGCAATGTAGCAAGCACACGTAGCCGTCGAGTCCGTTAGTTCGTATTGAGTGCTACCCGTCGCTGTGCAGGTGGCCTCGGCTCCTCATCGTCGCATTTTGTTCTCTTGGTGTCGTCGCTTTGATCGTGAGCATTATATTGGCAGTGCAGAACCGAAAAACGGTAGGCGCGGTCCGCAAGACAGACGAGCTTGCCGACTGGGGAGACCTTCAGAATTCACTTGGGAATTGGTGTCCGGAATACGAAACACGCGATGCGGGTTTCGCAACGAAGCTCGTGAGCCAGGACTTCAGCATGCTTCAAAACTATCTAAACACTCGAGTTCTCAGCATTCACAGTATAGTACGCAATCCATTGTTTACTTTTTTACCCTGTACTTTCACCACTTGAGTTAACATTTAAGCAGCTTTTACAGATGTTCAAGGTAGCAGTAATGTGCTATGCCTGTATTTTAGTAGGACTAGGCCACTTTGTACCGATGTAATTCGTTGCGATTCGTTGTAGCGTCACAGTATGTTTTACTCTGTGTAGGCTTGTGATTCCTGGATACGTCTAGTTTCCTTGAAAGTAACTTATTGTGCTTAGGCCAGAGAGGGGGTAATTTCCTCAATGCTGATGTGAAAGTAACTTATTGTGCTTAGGCCAGAGAGGGGGTAATTTCCTCAATGCTGATGCGCCAGCGGATTCACTTGTGATTTTTTTCACAGCTCAATGACTTATGGCCAGAAAGATCTTATCATAGCACTCATAGGTTCATTCTTATGTTTAGGCCAGCCCGTTATACAGCATCATATTGAGTGAGGTGTAAGCATAAAACGATATATCCTTCGAAGCAAATCTTGTTTAGTCTGTGCTCGATTCTCCCGAAGGTGTTTCAGGGATTACAATCTTTTATTTGGTCATTTCAGGCACATTTTGAACTAAATGTGAGTGAAGTCCAAAGTATATCGCGTGGGGTGCCATTTTTAGCCTTCATTATTCCAGTAAAAAAGGCAGTGATGGCTTTTGTCTTGGATTTTAGTAGCCGGACGGTCAAACGATTGGCATTATCCCCGAATTCAATGTAAGCTGTGCAATACTTCAGTTGGCCTACTTTAGTTAGGATGATGCATTAACTAGATTAACCTATAGTGGAAGTGCTATTCAATATTGAGCGGACTACAGGCTGAGCATGATCGCATAGGAGTACGTTTCATTGAAAGTGATTCAAATACACTTCAAATATTTGATTTCTCCTCCAGTTCGGCTTGATTTCACACTAACTCTAAACAGTACCGAGCCTAAAGATTATTGATTGTTAATAAGTAAAATTTCATTTTTCTCTGTTTACAATTTACTAGACATTTTAGTGATGAGTTAAGTTACAGCTTTCCAACTAAACCCTGGACCCTTCGAAGACTTGGGCTTTGGTTCGGGATATAGTTTAATATTACTTCGAAATCCTAGCTTGCAGGAACGGGCGTTGAGCTACTATCCCATTTGTCACGTTCCGGTCTATCCGCCGGTCTAGCTCCCCTCCTCTCCAGATAAGCTAGTTCCTGGGCTGGGTCTTGTGCCCTGCTCTCCCATAAAAAGCGGCTATAGGATATCGGATTTTTGCTCATCTCGAGCTTCCGTTATTCTCTTGCAGCGCATCCTTTCGAGCTGTTTTTTTTTTCATAATGTCGTCATAAAATACCGTAAACTTCTTCCAGTTTCCCCTGTTCTTCGTCATCATTTCCACTGTTTCCTTTACTCTATCCTTCATTAATACCTCTCTGTGTGCCTACTTATCTCTGACCCCATTTAGTGCGGTGTGTTTTACTGTCTTTCATGCCCGACGAGCAGAGTACGCAGGTGTCCGCTTGCACTTTGCCGCTCTTTGCCATGTAAGTCTGAAACTGTCCGTGGCACGACAGGACCTGGCAGGAATGATACGTAAGCTCTCCTGTCTTCGTAGCTCTTTCCCCAGAAGAGAGTGGGGGGCTTTGACGTTTTCCTACTCTTTTCTGTGTATCTCGGGCTCGATCCACTAATGTCCTATATTTGGGGCATTACATTGATATGTCTCTGTGGCCATCAATCTCGCATGCGTAGCAGTAAGGGGTCAGCCTGTCACAAATATTGCCTGGATGCCCTGTGTTACCGCAGTGGAAGCATCGTATTCCGTCTGCTTTCTTTTCTTGCACCCGTAGGCTTGTTGTAACCTACTTTCTGGCATCGGAAACAGTTCGGTGTGAGGACCTAGTCCTGCATTTGTAGGGTCCCATTTGCACGATCCTGTTGTCATTGGCTATTCTGCTTTCCGTAGCCAGAGGATCCACATCCCGTATGGCCATAGTACGCAGATTTCCTAGTCTTCCTAGCCTTTGAGAGCGCTGGCGATTTTCTGGGCTTCTTCTGTTTTAGATCCCTGTACCCTTAGCACTACATCTCCCCCTGCGCCTTGTGGGATCCCGATTTTCCCGTCGATTTTCGTAGGCCTCAGCCTCGAATTTAATCCCGCCAGCACCTCTTTGTAGAATCTATTGTCCCTCACTTTTACCCTTATTGTTGAGGTCCCCTCGTATTGTTTTCCTTGTTCTCTCGGGTTTCCGGGTCTTTTCGCGCTTTGAGATTGTTTATTTTCCGTGTTTTTCTGCAGAGTTCTATTTCATACTCAAAATGTCTGCCGTACACTTCGAGCAGTTTCCTAGTGGCCTCATTCTCGGCTTGATCGATCACTTGGATTGCAGATGTTTCTTGTGTTCTTTCTCCCCTTATGGCTTTGACGACATTTTTGATCATTTTTGTCAAACCCTCTTCTGTCTCTTTCGTTAATCATACCTACTATAATTTTTCTGGCCGCGGCATGTGATGTCTCATCCCCATCCGCTTCCCCTGTGATACGGCAGGAGGCACTCTTACTAGGTGAGTACTGCAACACTACCAGCTGTCAATTTTGCTGCCTTTGTTGCTCCGTGGAATTGAGCGTTTTTGTGGTGATTTGTACCTTCGCACAGCCTTTTGTTCGCCTTCGCACGATTGTTCTGAGAACGCTTTGTTTTTAGTTGATTCCAAAAACACTGTACAATTGCAGCTCATTTAAATGTATGGATTTTGAGAGTATTGCCTTGCTTTTTACATGGAACGTAAGTAGTGGAAAACGCTCCGTGTCACTGTCAATCATTCTTTGTTAGAGATAAACCCCAACGTTGCAATGTTCACAGAGCACTCTTATATTATAAGAGTGGTGAGTTATATAACCCTATCAGGCTCCGTTGCCATTCTTTTTGAAAAGGCACAGTCTACAGTAATTGTGAGCTTACTAGGCTTGACTGAGGTGCGTTTTAAGGTTGCCGCGGTAAAGCTTTCAAGGATTTGCAGGCCATCTGTGAATCAATGTCGGACCTTAGTTTTTCTACGAGATGAGGGGACCTATATCTGCCGTAGGTATAATGGTTAGCGTCACAGCGAAGCGCACATACCTAATTGCTATACTCATGAATGAACGAACTTGAAATTAAATTGATTAGACTTAAGTAGTTCAAGTTAAGAACAAAAACAGGAAGAAACTAATATAGAGATACTAAGGGAACGTTCGTTCACTGACGAGTCATTATCGAATGTATCTAGTTTGCTCGAGCCCCTTAGACATCAGGTATACTAACTTATATGTTTATATATAAAATAATACATGTTATGTGTATATATTTAACGCTTTAAACATGAATTACTGGCATTACTATAGCGATTATAGATTGATCTGTATCCTTGATCTGTATCCTGGAAACAAGTGTGAATTTTTATACACCGGTTAACAATATAGTGATTGTTTGCTACAGGAACTTTGTACATAAAATCGTCAGACGATTACCTCATCAGTCATATGGCAAACTGTTTATGGATTCCGAAGAAAAACATTCGATCGGCGTTCGTTTTGATTTAAGCTACGCAGAAGATAGGCTTCAATTTTGGTTGTGTCACATTATCGTTGAAAGAAGTACGCGCTACGACTGCGTTATTAAAGAGGACTTTCAGGTTGATATATATACTCAGATACGCGATAGGACAAATATTATGATATATTCATTTATTTTAAACGTTCGTATTTAAAATCACTGTTCTACACTGAAATCTCCCCCCAATGACGTTCAAAAAAGGTTAAAATTATAGAAACAATTATAATAAATATTCGTTAGGACATGTCTAAGCTACAGCGCTTAATAAAAATAGAAGTGGTATTTGCCGACGCTCTACGAAGATAATTATTAAAGCCGGAAACAAAGACAAAACTAATTGACATGAATTTTTATCTCGTAGAACAGATTGATAAAAAAATCTTGCTGGTTCTATTTATTTAGCAAACTTGTTTAACTAGCAGTTAAAAAAAAAGAACTATACATTGTGCGGATGTCCGGTGTTCTTACTCTCTAAACTAGTTTCCTTGATATTCAAAACCGCTTTCGCAGGTTCCGCTAAGGCCGATCAGGACAGTGATGCATCCGATTGTCTATATCAGCAGCGCCATGGTGACGTACGACTCTAGTAGGCATGCGCCGAGCATTAGCCTTGACGTGAATATTCCCCGAAACGTGTCCTACATTTGTGAGCTCCGGGAACAACAACTTAATGGTTTACCAGTCCAAAAGTGTCGTCGATCCGATGGTGAAATGTACTCGTGCCGCGACGGAGAAATGCGCCAGAAAGCATGACGAACTCACACTGATCTGCAGATCACTTGGGGTTCTGTTGTGTTTATAAAAAAAAACAAAAACTATGTTACTCGACCGTCAGTGACAAATCTATTTGTTATAGCAAAACAAAGGTGGTGTGCATGTCATTGTTAATTGCACACGGAACGTTAATTAACGAAAATAAAGCCGAAACCAATTTTGATCAATCTGTCAAACGGGATCGAGGTGGAGTGGTTCTCATTCAGAACGTTAGAACCAGTAGTCTCGTTCGTATCGTTGATTGCAAGCGAATTGCTTCCGCTGTCTACGTCCTTGGATATTAGTTTTCCATTAACACACACTTCATTTTAAGAGGTGGACTATTGCATGCTCTTGTAGGAACTACTTCGTTCTTGTTAGGCCCTCAAGGTACACAATTGTAATTTGCGAGGTCGTACCGATAACAAATTAAGCATTATTATTTTATTTTTTAAACAACGACGAACTCTTCTTCTGACAAACGTATTATGTAAGACGTACTGTTTAGCACGCATTGGTCGCTGGGGCCTGCTCTATCGCCATTCTCGGTTTACTACAGCGTATACTTCGCCGGGATTGGTGGGCAACGTACTCCGCATTCAGGGCATGGAAGAGCGGCACGGTTATGGCGTGCTTCTTTGCTACCCTCAACACCAGACCGTAGGTACGAAGCGTGCAGCGTGAAAGCACTTTCGTTTTATATCGCTGGGCATTGTTCGCAATTAAAAGTGGCTGCATCGGACATTACGACGCTTTCGTCAAAGTCGACGATTCGTTAGCGTTTAACTCGTTGCCAACGATTTATTTATTGGTTCTGTGCCTCTTAGTCAATAACGGTTCTATCTCAAGCGCGTCTCTGAATGCAGCATGGTAACGTAATTTTTATGCCGATGGTGCGTAGGTAGATTAATTTGCTGGGATTTCCATATTCTATTTTGTTGTTCAATAGAAAATTGTCTTTTTGCTTCTTGACAACCTTGCGATGGTCTACTTGAATTTCTCTCGTATATATCGGGCAGCGGAACTGTAAATGTGTAGGTCTTGAGAAGTGTACAGGTTTTAAATTCTTTCTAAACGTGTTTTGGAGGTGTAATTTTATGGGCTACCACTACACGGTTATTTATGTAGGTATTTTCATTGTCTACTCGTAGGTTTTTTGCCAAGGTGTCTATCGGTAGCATTAGGAAATAATTTCCTCCAGCAGTATACTCGTAGGGTGAAAAAGTGAGAGTGGTTGTAATGTGTGTGGCTCGTTGGCCTGGGGGGTATGATTCTCGCTTTGGGTGCGAGAGGTCCGGGGTCTAAATCGCGGACGAGCCCAGACGTTTGTTATGTTCCATCAGTTTGTTAAATGTAAATGCTGCGAGGATTATGTCCGGGCCTTTCAGGCACCGTTCTACATTATGACCAGTGCATATTACAGTGATATTAGTTACAATTACGGTGACTAATATCACCGTAATTGTAACTAATATCACTGTAGTCGTTATTATTCTAGACAAACATAATTGCAGAAAGCTGCAGTTGTTTGTTGTTGCAATTCTAAATAATATTCTAAACATTTTTTAGCACTTCAGCCAAACGTACAGCCCTCGGCAACTTCACATGCCTTGCGATTCAGTAGGCCAACCGCTGGGCTGGGCTTAATATTATACAAATTTCCAGCAGCTATATAGTAATGAACAAACTATTTCTATTAGCCTTCCAGGAATCGGAAGGGGAAAAGGAAAAGCATAAATTGAGAATTAAACGTTACATTGAAACTACATCAATATAGTTATGGTTCCTTTAAGGTTAAGTTACTTTGCAATTATATGGCTGGGACAAAACTTACTTTCGGTTATTTAGGCAATTCATAGCACATCTATTCCACTTACAGGTTATGTCGATAGCACTGATAGTGGCTCGCACAGCAATTACCGATATCTGTTCAGATATGTAGGGGCGTGACTCTGCGACATCTTAGCAGCGTATTGATGCGTGATAAGATGCGGCCTGCGACTGACCAAACAACCGTTTCACCGATAGCGTGTTCACTCCAGCAGTAGAAAATACGCTTTGGCTGTACACGTCAGCTGTGCCTTAATACGAGAGCTGATCGAAAACCGTAGAAGCGCGAGCATCGTGGCGCGATATAAATCGAACGGTCGGATTGAAGAAAAAGGGCGAGCGTAGGGAACTGCTAGTCTATAGCAAGCAACATAATAACGCTAGACGATTATCGTGACAGCATAATTCAGAATGCCCTTACGACCAAAGCAGCATAAACCTCCGTGTACAAAATATGCTGACGAACATGCCAATACTGTTTATTAAAAACCTTCAACCTGATTTATTGCAAATGTGTTTTTACAGCATCATATAAGTTACGTTATATAAATGTTGTGCAATTACCAAAGAAGACTGTAGACTAATTCTGCACACTTGTATATACATATTGAATGGGGACGAGGGTAAATGTTTTAATAAAGGGAAACAGTGCATACTCATTCGCTAACTGTATACGCTACAAGAAATGATAATATTATGCAGTTTATTGTAGACAAATCCATTGATTTAGCTTTATAAAGTGTACAAATCGTAGCGTATTTATTGCGCCATCAACAATCGAACCTTTAGGCAGCGGCCGTTCTCGTTACCATTTCGACTAGCACATAGTCAGTCGTTGTTATTGTTCGATCTCGAGATCTTTGAAACAAGTTGACTCGCGACCAAGACCGCAAAAGACGACGGAAAACTATGAATGAGAGTACCTACAAGCGTTACAAATAGAAGATAACCGTCCTGTTAGTTTAGCTCGGTGATACCGTGAACAAGATCAACTGATCTTGTTCACGGTATCACTACACTTGAACCGGATAGTGCGTGCTTCTTCCTTTTGTAGCTAACTTCCATGCCAGGGTAGACAGCACAGTCCAAAAAACAAAAAAAAAAAACTAAACGATTAAGGAAACTTAAAGCGGTTAGGATCTGTCGCACTTTTGCTTCTTCGTTGCGGGGCGCTCGTATCGAGTATCAGTTTCGACTCACTTTACCACCATGAGGATTTGGAAAAGAAAAAGAAAAGTCCGTTCGAGCAAAAAAGGTAGACTGCAGGCTCGTACAGATATCGGAGAGTTTCAATGAACAGAATCCATGCAAGACAAACCCATTTTTACAACGTGGATTTCATTGACAAATTCCTTTTTACTGCATAGTTTAGATTAACCTTACACGTAGCGGGCTTTGTTTTTAAGTTTTGATTTGCGTAAATGATGACGTATTTGGACTTCACGGACTTTAAGCACGAAATAAAAGTAAAATATTATAGATTATAGTGTGATACTTTAAAAGCAATAACGCCCTTTCATTTACGTTTGAGCAGGTTTACTGATCTTCATCCTGCAATTTTTGCGCGTCACTGCAAATTAGATTACGAAGCTATGCCGGCTGCTTAGGTCAAACGGGCGTGCTAACAGACCTCTTCCATTACGCTAACTCACTGAAGTATAGCAGAACTTCATCTTAACTTCGTATTGAACATGACAGAAATTTATATTTTTGCCTTAGTTTTGAACAAAAGTAGTACTAGAGTTATTCAGACGTAAGGGCGGTATCGATATTGTTCTGAACAAAATATTGCTTACAACTATTAATCACGAATGAAAGTTAACCTATAGTTCACTTACTGTGACTATCGTGCATATATGTAAACATACATAATAATCTCAACATCTTCTACATAATACGCTTGTATATCGCTATAGCCAGCCAATCCATATGAAGTCAGGACACTTGGGCAAACGAAGACGTTTAAGGTTGTAAAGTTAAAGGATGCTGACGACGTACAGCATTTACGATCCCGATTTACGATTTACATGCAGTACGTCTCCAAGCACAATAGCTTTGCATGAAAAGCAATAAAGTTTCCTAGAAAACGGCTTTCTTTCATACATACTATTCCTAGTTTTTTTTTCCATAGAGAAAAAAAATGGGGCGTATGTATATATGTACTCTAAAGCACCCGAACCAAAAACTATATTCAGATTCAGTGGCTTCATCTCGTACAATCGGTGTTAGGAACTAAACTAGTATTAACTGTGCACTTTGAACAGGCAATTTGGATATGTTGAACTTTGTCCTAATAGTTTTTCTACAGACTTTTAGATGTAATGCTAAGTTAGATCTTGAACTCTCGAAATTTGCGTATTTATAACATGAAGTTCTACAAAGTCTCATGGTAAAACTTTTTTCTTCTTCTCATTCGTACGTGTAAAATGGAATTGTTGCTTCCTACTTCTGTCGTTTTACCAAAATTGAGTTTTCACTTAAACAGGTAGGCTATGCCAGGCCGTGTAAATCCATTGGCCGTGCCAATGAACGCATTCTACTTTGATTACCTACTTAGTTCTAGTATGAGGGAAGTGCCGATTTTTATCCGTCTTCGACAGAAGTACCTTGATGTAGAGAAGTTAGTCATATCTAAACGGGCTGAAAGTTCTCTACATATACATATCTTGTCCAATTCAATTCAATCCAAAACATGCTGGCCGATGCTGATGGATGAGTTACTGCATCCATAAATAACCATGGTGTCGCTGGCGCTAGCTAGCTAGCTATATATGTAAGGACTATAAAAAGTAGGACCATGAAATAGCTGGTTAATAAGGGGACACCACTAACATATAACATGTTATACATATATATATATATAACAATTGACGTATCGTACTTTATGGATTATGCTATATCTTCTAGCTAAAGGGGATATAATGTCAACGCGAAAAAAATATTCTGTACATGGCTACTGTTTGGCACAGTACCAATCCTACCTGGAGATTATATTTCCATAATTTTGGCGAAATATAATTATTCAATTTGTCCGTCGATAAGCTAGAAGATAAATCTTAGTGGCGTAAATGTTATACCATTCATGATGTCACGTTTGGACGTTTTCTCAAGACGGAAGCTTGTATCAAAGCTGCCAGCTATTCGCGTCTTACAAAGCACTGCATATCCCACCACCGAATAAAACAAATAATGTGACTAGTAACAGATACATATGTGGATTGACTAGTGCTGATCGTGGGGGTCTACTTTGTTGTGCTCTTCGCTTTATCTATTGTGATTTTTTTTTTCGCGAACAGAAAACACGATCCGAAAATGAAGGCCTGTTTTCTCTAGAATGTCCGTCAAGTGCCGAATTCGATGATCTGTGCAAAAGCACTGGCTGAAACAAGTTACTACAAAAGTATCGATTATATAAACTTGACGAAATCAAATCATTACCAAAATTTCCTTTCCACTCAACTTTTTAGCTAGCTTATTTAATACCGTAGGGTGCACCTGTACATTTAAACGATGACGATAATAGATCTTGCACTTTCTCGCCTACGTTCTGGTGAAAGTGGACGGGCATGATGGCAAAAAAACGTCAAGAGACCAAAAAAATAAACTTGTCAACAAGTAATGACGACTTCCGCCTGTTGAAAAAATGCAAGATTTGATTGTGATAAAAGGACGTCGTATGTATTCGCCACCCTTAGGCCTTTCTTGTTTCGCAACAAAATTACTAGGTCTTATCAAAAGCCTTTAGATCGAGTGTTAAGACAGGTGTCCAACCTTTTTTTGCGGGGCTCTTAACTGTCGGAAAAGATGCTAATTTGTGGGTTACAAGGTGTGAAGAATGCGGTGGGCGCAAACGAGCCCCTATACAAGTCGTTGCAAAAAAAGGGGTTTGTATCTGGCATTGTCGTAGAGATAAATGATCTACTCTGCTGGGTAGCCTTTCTAACACGATAGATATTACCCTATTTATGCAGTACGTATGTAACGTGTTATAATAGTATATATTAAAAGAAACGTTTTTCTTTATTCACAAATAAATGTGTATAAACGAACTTTATATTAACGGTATCGATATATATTTCAGTTAGCTTTGTTTGTTGTTAAAGAGGCGTTTTGTCGACTGAGCGAACAAATCCTTAAATATGGTCATGCTTTAGCGGGGTTAAAGTGATTAGGTTCGATGTTTTTTTTTTGTTACTATGCAGACAACGAGTGTACATATGTACAGATCGTTGCGGGCCTGGATTAATATTTTCGCCGTCAAATCCAGACACTATGAGGTGGTTTGTCTATCTCTTAATGAAATACTAATGCTCAGGCTGAAAACGTCAGCATGTATTATCGTAGATAAATTCTTTTTCATATTCTTTTTATGTTCACTTGTGACATAGTTCAGATAAGATGAGACGTATTGCTCTAAGAGAGGGATTTTTTTTTGACAAAGATCCCCTTTCGGGGTGGGTCAATCGATTTTTATGTAAGTTGAATGAAACAATCTACACCAACCGCATTCAAACAACCGATTGACTTGTGTGATAGGCTATAGCAATTTTTTTTTTTAAGAATCTATAAATCAGAAAAATTAGCAACTGCAATTCGTATTTTATAAAAAAAAAAATAGAAATTTCTTCGATGGCGATGCGCCCATAGTTGCAGGCACCCTTTGATTTTCAGTCACCTCAAATATCGAGCGTCTTAAGCAAGAACATCTAAAAAAAAATAGTACGAAATAATTAGTCAATACATCCATAATTGCGATACTGGTGCAGTGATGAGTGTTACATTATAGGTAGCTATAATTAATGTATTATCTTTATAGCAATTTGTGTGACGCCCTAATCGGCCAGCGCCATTTGGCATTATCAGTTGTTCATTTGTACTTGCTTGCATTATGAGCAGTAACATAATTATAGAACGTGAGTCTGTTTTTCTTTTTTTAAATAGTGACTGCTCCGGTTGTACGAAATGGCAAATAGAGTTTTGGGAAAAAAAAAAACAACGAAAGAGGAAGACTTTCTCATTGGTTCGGTATGGTAATGTCAAATTTTCGTCTACTAAGTTCAGCTAACCGTGTCTAATCTACAAGTAAGTTAAACTAAAAATTATTACTAAACGAAAATAGAATTTCGCAGCTGTTCACACCTAAAGATTACATCGTCATAATGCCGTACACGAATCGACGATTTGAACCTTACAATGTTTATTTTCATTCTGCAGGAACCATTTCTGTATAGAAACTGATTTTTACTATAGTAATATCTAATTAATAACAATATAGTAATTCGTTTGACAGGTATGAAAAAAATGATCCGTCTCTTTTTTACTTGCCGATATAGAAATTCCTGTGTACAAGCTGAACTGGTCGGAAGTTAAATATAAACTCTGTTAATTAGCGCTTTTTTTTCTTACTTCAGATCCGTATAAATTATCTAAATGAGCGTGCTGGCCAATAAAGTTCAGATAAATACTAAATGTATAGTGCCGACGCACTGTGGAAGTAGACACCATCGTGCCATGTCCTACTCTACTAAATTACAGTGAACAATTAACAGCATTGTCAGATTATAATTAACTAGCTTAGGTAAGTAAGTAAGCATTTGTCTAATGCCATAATTTACTCACTATCTTCAGGATTGCTGGGACTTTTTTTATGGCTGTAGCTGCATCTGGTTGTTCCGACGCTCACAGATTTACGCAACTAGAAGATCGCCTACCACTCGCCAATCTGGTTTATGCCCTTACACTTAAAGAACTGCATCGACCTCTGCTCACTCCCAACACAAACAGAACCGTGTCCTTGTTACTTAGCGAGCAATCGAGTCGGAAAACGACTTCAAACCTATCAATGGTACGCGGAGTTCGCTTGGATCTTAACCGGTACCTTCGCTCTAATAATCCCTAACTTAGAAAAGGTACCAAAATGCTTCTTGTTAGTGCTAGGGCAATCTGGTTCCGGTTTCAAAGAGAACGTGTATTTGACCTGTGGTAGCTATTCTGAAATGCATAATGTCTTTTTTGTTCGTACACTTTATAAAACAAACTTTATTAAAAGCTCAACCACAGTGAGTTCCGCTTCCTGATCTAGATGCAACAAGTTGTCCTATTAATGCATTGGGCACCCCTCACGATGCCCCTACACATAACTGAAGCCTTAGTGAGTTCTGAGCAGAACATTAACTGGGTGCTTAATCAGAGAGCTTCAGAGCGTGAAAAGATGTTCTCCATCGCACCGGTTGATAAGCATCTCGCCGAAACATTGGACAGCGAGGGTGAGATGATGCCACGACTATTGCGTATTGTGCACACACCAAGTCAAAAATGGCTGATTTCCAATTGGTAGAAGTTTCTTTGCAATCAGTCACAGATTGGGAATAATTTTAAAAATCTCTTAGAGCACTGTTTTAATGAACCGCTTCCTTATATCAATATAAATTCATTAAACATGGCGAAACAAAGTGAGCTGGTATTGTACATCGAAAGTAACTTCAGCAATCTTTAAAAGCTATAACAAGGATCTTTAATTATATTATCTTATCCTCATAACCAGACGCAGCAAATGCAGGAGATAACTACGAGTACCAGACATCGCAGGTATTGCTAAACGCCACACAATCATATAATAGCAAACATTTTGGGAATGGACATCTACTTCGGTGACAGCTGCGAGACGAGCTGTTTATTTTCTCGCTAAAAATGTGCCCCCACGATAGCAAGCGAAGCGCGACAATCGCCTTTCGTTGAACAACGAAGTTTTTAATAACAGAAGTTTCATGAGCAATCGGCGAAAATCCCAGAGCCCTTCATCCTTAAAAGAGGCCGACCGCAAACGTCAAAGTAGGAATGATCATAAAGACACTGCAAAAGACGACAATTCGAAATTTTCCCACAATTTGGGATCATGTGAACAGCCTTCGGTGGGCCATAACCAGGGGAAGTACAAATTATCATCTGTAAACCACGTCGAAAAACACAGGCCCAATGCAATGGCTCGCTCTAGCATCGATAACGAACGTAAGTTGTCGGCCACGCCAGCTACCGTTAACTCAGTAAACAGCTATCTGTCCTCCGCTATGGATGTCAGTACCACAACCGGTGTTACTGTACTTAGAAACAACGAACGGGAATCGCCACCTGCAACGACTCGTCAGGGTGGTGCCCGCGGCTATAGGGGTCGTTCATCCGCTAAAATGACGCTGGACGACTTCGTGCCAAATCACCATGTGGTCAGACTAAAGAAGACGAACAGGCCTAGAAAACGAGACAAGCAGCTGGATTCGAATCAAATTGGTAAACAGAACGATGAGAGTGACGAAATCGCTAAAGAGAAATCGAAGTATGACGAAGTGGTAAGAGAGGCCGAGGATATCTTCCGCGGCCTAGCCCGAGCAAATGTCATGTTCGAACGGCCACTGAAATGCGCTCTCGGTCTTGTGAACTCTAGGCTAAAAGCGACTTGCAACGTCTCTGAGGAGATAACACCGTTTCAGTATTTCTGTCGTGAACAAGTGATTCTGTGGTTGCAGACAATAAGAGATATGTTGGAGCGACGAGCTCTAATCTATTTAGACCTTGAGGAAATGTTTATTTCGCTTTATGAACTTTATCTCATTGCGGAAAGAAAGTACCCGATGGAGGCGCACTATATCGCGATGCATGTGCGAAATATCGGCATCGATATCAGTTACGCGGCAGCCTTAATGGCGCGTTTGGCTAACGTTGAGACGTTTGATTTTATGAGGCTAGCTGAAAGTATAAATGCGGCACCCCGGGATGGCACCCCATACTCATATTTAATTCCCCGTATGCAGGACTTCAAGCTGCACCATCTAATCGCCCTTGGCAGGTGCTCTCGGGTATATAAAGTCACTCATCGGAGCTCACTTACTGTGTGCGCCATGGACATATCAACGGTGATGACAGAGCGAGAGCTAATAGTCGCCGGAGGTGTTCTTAGCCTAATTCATCACTGCTGTGTAGCTACTCCTTTTGCGCGATTTCAAGCTGGTGGCCAAATGGTCAGTTTGTTCGAATATTGTTGGGGCTTGACGCTAGAGAATGTCGTAGCCGAGTCCTCGTATTTTTCCGTGGACACATTTCGTGCTATAGCTGCACAGTTAATTTCGGCCGTAAAACATATTCACGGCTGTGGGGTGATGCATCGTGCCCTAACAACCGACAATGTCATCATGGAACGTTCGGGGCGCGTCAAACTCGTCGGCTTCCACAACGCCTGCATATGCCTTGCCCATATCCCGAAAAGGTCGCAATTGGTATTTCAGGAACGCCGCATAGGTGAGTTCTCATATGATGTGGATTTCAATATTCCCACCCAGTACATGCCGCCAGAGATGGTGCTCAAGAGATCCTATGGTCGGTCGTCTGACTGGTGGACTCTAGGGGTCACGTTATATCGAACATTTACCAAGATATTTCCTTTTGATGGGGCAGACGATGCCCAGATACGAAGGGCAATTTATCGAAACCCGCTGGTGTTTCCGGATCGAGATGGGGTGCCTGTGTCGGGAGGAGCCAAAGAATTTCTCCAGTGCCTATTAACCAAAAAACCCCGAGGGCGTTGTATGTACGGTGATCGTGTCGACCTTTACAAGCACCCGTTCATCGTTGGTGTTGACTGGAAAAAGCTGAGTACAACGGATAAATTATTCCCTCAACCAGACGGCTACTGCAAACTACTCCAGCGAACTGTGCCGCCACGTTTTCGTCGGACAGATCTTACCGAGTCGGAACAGGCAGCTCTCTCGCCGAAAGCGGTTTTCGATGACATCCGACCTCACAAATTGGGTAACCCCACAAAGCTGGAGGATGTCCCGTACCCACAGGTATCGACGTTTATTTCACCTGTATTTCGAAAAGCTTTGGAGGTTTTTAGGTTTCCAAAAAAATTAGGCAGAGGCCCGCTGCTTAAAGTTATGGGCTATAATGCAAGCTCCCCTGCTCTCAGCATACCCGACACGTTTGATTTGGACCGATATAACGCCGAACGCCTAGTTATTACCATTCCGAAGCGAAACATTTTCGAATTGGGCATTCATATAGAGAGCGCGATCGGTGAGGATAACTGCAAGTATTTTTACGTCACAAGGTTCTCTGATAGTTTTTATTATGACTCGTTACCGTTAATCGAAGGTGACTTTCTGCTAGCGATGAACAATACGTCCTTAATCAATGAGGTGATGGCTACCGTAAAGGCGAAGCTAGCATTCCATCAGCACGACGTCACCACATTTATCGTACAGTCCTCTTCGCCGTTTCGGCTGGCGGCTATGTACCCGGATTTCGGCTGTCTGTTAAAATCGCTCCCCCGAATTTCGGTTGGGGTGAATCCAGCCCAATTCCTAGAGTTTCGCTGTTTAGTTCGAACCCAAATCGTAGGATACACGGATGGCTGGGTGGTGAATGCAGCCCACTTCGTATGGAAGACATCGGGGAAACAAAGATTGTTCGTTGGAGACGTTATCCAGACAGTCGATGGAATTGAAGCAATCACACTTTCAACTGAAGAGCTTGACGCGTACGTATGTCACTCGTTTGATCACTTATCGGTGCAGCAAGGTAGCGACAGTTACGTTTGATGATTCTATGCTATGGAGGCTGCACTATGCAATGGCGTATATGTATACCAGGATATGTGTATACCAAGCCCAATATTAGAAAAGAATTCATTAGCCCCCCCTAAACACAAATGACTTTAACGAAATAGAACGTTTTTCACTGCTAAGGCACCAAATAACTGTAAGGTACCGCCGGCCGCCGAACACACAATAAGCGTAGACATTATAGTTGTTCGGAATAGGCGGAGCTCGTTAACGGGAACTAATACCAAAGCGTGCTTTAGGACACAGTTGCCCTCTTCTTTCTGCACAATACGGACGTACGTGTTCAAATAATCCATTACAGGCGCTTGCAAAGAGGTGCTCGCCAGGTTGAGGTGATTCCCGTGTCGTCCTTACGTTTGAGGCGTTTGACGGTGGATCGAATCTTCAAGGCATACGGTGGCTCACAGGACGTTCTAGAGAAGATGGCTTGGGTCAAGGTTCAGAAACAGCGGGCTCACCTCACTTCAAAGGAGACTGCTGGCCTTGGGCCCGTACAGCTACGTTATATTTTTCGACGAATGGAACTGGCAAACCGAGAAACGGAACCGGTTGAAATGTACCGCGATCCTCACCGGTCATTTGACTAACAGAGTCTTGAAGGTTTATTGAAACGTTGCCATATAAAAAAATCTTGTAGCCACTTCGTCCAGCAAAATAACGCAGATCTAAATACCTATTGCGCCAGCTATAATAGACCCATAATAGTGGTCTTGTCGTCAGTACTTGTCTCTTGCCCATACAAGTATGATATCTGATATCACCCCCATATTGATTACTGTGATTTTGTGAAATGCTGGTGGTCGTCTGCTGTGAATTTCCGACATTTTTTAGTGTTACAAATCGCTGTACTGGCTCCTGTAGATCTTCAAAACAAAGCCACACCAAACAATTCAAGCAGTTCAATTGTGGTTTTTGGTACGTGTTTATTATACGTATGAACGAATTGAACATTAAGCGACCTCTAGAGGAAGCTAACAGCTAGAAAATTGTTCGGATCATTCATAAGTCGCGTTAGTGTCGTCAGCTAGGTTAAGTTTGAAAGGCTTCTTGACTTTTCCTTTGACCTTCCTTTGACCGTACGACTGTTGCCGAAAACCTGTGGGCTTCATTCGCAGCAGAGACTCAGAACGTCGGAGTATAAATGCACGATTCATCCTCGGCTCCGAATAATTAACAGCTACTTGCTGTCGCCTGCTATTTTCCCGTGTTCCGGACTGAAAATTGATTGTCAATTATGATTTTTTTTTTTTTTTTTATTATTATATAATTTGTTCGCTCAGTCGGCATCTTTTAGGTATAGTGAAAACTGTTACGATGCTACTTCACGAACTTTACTTCGAAATACGTTAACAGCTAACATTGCACTCGAGAAGAGTATACCTAATAGGTAGCCGTAAGATTCTTGTGAAGATGATAAAATTTGAGACGAGTTCACAAGAGCCTGAGTGTGCATAAGCGATGCGCGTCTAGCCTTCGAAATTAATTTATAGTTAGTCATATAAATCAGATGCGATATCTTTGACTAACCCAGTACCCCGATTGGTCCTGGAACCCAGTCTGAAATACACCAACGTTCAACGGCTTCGATTCAAACTAGTTCTGTAATCAATTGTTAATTATAATCTATTAGTCATAATACAAAAGCTATACAATGCAAACTTAACGGCAATTATAGGCGGCAATGAGCCTATCAATAGGTCTCATTATATTTGAATAAGATTTGCTATAACATTTATGGCTATTCGATACTGGGTAATGGGTAACAACTGTTTTCGGTTAGCAGGACCGTATTTGGCGGCTTTTTGTTTATTTAATAAGATATTGTAACGTACACAACTATATCTTTTGTATTACCTGCGTTTTTGAACATTGGGATCCAATTTTACTTACGTATAAGGTGTTCCGTTCGGGCACTGTAGGCGAGCTTAGATACATGTGCGGAACGAGAATTCGTGCTTTATTTTCCGTAGGTGAATACGGCCGGCACGACAAGTCCACTGGATCTATCGCTGGATACACACTTCGTTGGGCAGACAAATTCATCTATATTGAATACGGCTACTCAAGCATACCAGTACAAAATGGGGCTAAGCTGCGTATGACACCTCGCGAAATGAAGCCATTACTATAACAGTAGTCAAAAAATGAAGAATTCGAAGCATACCATACCTCCAATTTGGTGGGCTCCATTTTCTGCGGCACCGTCGTGGCCTAGGCTCAGCTATAGGTAATTGTACATAGATGTTGTTCATCGGAGCTAATCATAAGAGTAGGTCGATTTATTATAGCCTCAGCTGCGAATAGAAGGCTGTAATGGACATGAACTAAATATTCAGTGGTACCATAGAGTTTGTAAGTAAAGCTATATAGGAACAAACAGCAGAAGCAAGCCTGCCAAGGAAAACAAAGCGAAAACAGCATCTTAGTTGTAATTTAAGTGCACGTAATATTGAATCAGTGGGAAAAAACATTGAAGGAGAGGGTCGCAAGAACGGAACATCATCAGAGCCCTAGTCGCAGGAAAGTTGCTCCTACTTGTAGCCGGTACATCCGCTGTTTGGTATCGCCTGCAAGTATTGACTTGACGCGTACCCACATGCTAAACATCAAGGCTAAAATCTGTAAAAAAAAAAATCTAAAAAAAACACGCACACTTCTCTCGGTTTAGGTTATTGACTCTACTAGAAAAAAAGGCATGTGCGAGCCAAGTTTCACGATACACCTATTGTTGGATGTTTGACTACTCGTTACGTGCACAGCCTACGTAGCTTACGTTTACGTCGAAGAAACGTTTCGAACAGCCAGAATCAACCTTTCCGTGTTCACCTTTGACTCTTTTGCTTCTCGCATCAGTAGCATTTAAAGCCTTACGTAAGTGCGTGTTTCACCACGTAGTTTCCATCAGGACTTTGCGCTCTTGTAACTTACGATCGTTATCGTTGTCTCGTTATATAGCATCCAGTTAAATGCAGAGTGAGCTTCGTAGCTGAAACGTTGTGCTGCCCCCACAGTTACCAGCTTCTCGAAGTAAAAGAAAGCAAATTGTAAGACAGCCTATGATTAGTTGTGCCACTTTACAGATTGCCTAGATATAACTGAATACAAGAGGATACTTCTCGTTGTTGGCGTGAAAAACGTGCATTTACTGGTATAAGTTAATGACACGATCCCCTGTCAACGTTCTCTACAGGGATTGTCATTGCCATGGTAAACAAGTTAAATCACTCTTAAAATTTCCTTGATTATTAGGTATAGGTGTTACATGCACGCTTTTCGTGTTGTTTGTTACGTTGCTATGGATTTGCGTGTCAGATAACGTTGTGCTTTTCAAGCACATTTGAAATGTTTATATTGTGTTCACACAAAACCGGTAATTAAATCATCTGTTCGCTATGCAATCGAAAAATATTTTCAGTCATATTATGCCACTTAATGAAGCGCCGAGTTCAAAGCGCTTTCAGTCTCTGGACAAAAATTTGTTCGCATACGATAAGTAACACTCTAACCGCCAGATCCGATTTATACTGTCAATATACGGTGAGGCTTCCAGTTCGAAGGGATCAGCGGGTAACAGCTTTGGGTCCTGCCAACAACGGTACAACTGGCACACGGCTTATGTAAAATGGGTAGGTTACATTGCATACAAAGTGTGACGTGTGTGTTGCATCGGCATTCGGTATACACCGCTGCACTCGTGACGCAAGACTGCCCTGATGACTACTGATATAGTTCTTCTTTGCCGTCGTAGCTATCATAGTTACTGCGGGCGGTTTCCTATTCTTCTTGAAACGGCAAATTGTCGGCATTGATACAAACATTTCGGCTACCACCGGTTCGATAAAAACAATAGTGATCGAATCAATATTCTCGTACCATTATTGTTACTGTTATTAGTACTGCTTATCGCGGACTAGAGGCAATTATAGAACGAAAACTAAACTCTATAGGACTATCATGTAAATATGAGCCGGCGTTTAGAATCGTGTACAATAAGAACCGTTCTGACTGTGAATTTCGGCCTGTGTAAGTCCGGCTATGTAGCGTCGGGCCAGAGATACTTGGGTCTTTCTTCAGCACTGCCATTCCGTCAAATACTGCATTGTTATAGATGTAACGAGGTCCAACGAGACCTCGAAGCAATAATTACTATACATGCAGTAAATACATTGTTTGTTTGGCGTACCAGCGCATTAAGAGCCCCAGTTACAGTAAAAAGCTGGATAGAAGAAAATCTGTCAGAGAAGGGCCCACACAAAATTATCGCCTACGACCAGTATGATATATATATATATATATATTAGTTTGAATAGATATGCAACAAGCGAGAAGACTTCTGGGAAGAAGAATTTTCGCGATGAAGGCACAGTTTGATGAAATTGCATCTATCAGCTCTTGGACGTACGCTGTTGTATGTACTTATGTGCGGACTCCTATGGCTTCAGCAATTTTATTTCGAAGTTATATTATTGCTACGTAACCGGCGAAGTGATACCCTGCACAGGGCGAATACGTTTTCACAAACTTGGTTTTGAGATTCGTAATTTTACTATCGAGGCTACCACAATTGTAGCCTTGGAAAGAAGTCATTGCGTATCAGGCAATACCCATATGCATTTATCACAGCGATCCCTTGTGTCCAAATGGGTGACCCATCCATAAATGTCTAAATAATCTGTGCTTATTTAGATATTTATGGATATATTTACACCATATTTTCAGCTGAAGAAAGGAAAGCACGTTACGACCTCTACCAGAAAGCATGGTACTGCAAAGCGCAATTAATTAAAATGTGATGTCCAAAATAGTATTTTTTATTTCTAGGCCTGGAACCTCTTAAGGTCAATACCCCTTCAATGGGCAATAATGCATGCGGCACGCAGACTGTATAAAACTGAATAGTCATTATTTAATGTTCAAAAAACCTCTACAGAGACGAAAACCACCTTAATTTAAAACCACAGTTTCATATGAGTGAAAGCCTCGGCATACACTCTGTTGAATTTCAGGTTTTTCTGTCGCCGACATGTGACTAATGTGAGTTGTAGGACTCCTATAGTTTAACCTACCATTAGATATTTCTTTGAAGTACCTGCTTATTGACCAAGCTGTGTTAACAAACTCGCGAATTTTTGACCACCTTCTATTCTCGTCAGAATGTGTAGGAATCAGAGCATTAGGCATTTAGGATAGGCAGCCGATAAGTTCTATAGGTCCCTACCTCATGAATGTTAAAACCGAATAATGCGTAAATGTTCCTAAATAACATTACTTCGGCTAAAAAAAAGCCAAAATAATTGAGTAAGCCTTTCGTTTTTGCCGCCATCCCGTAGGACAAAGTAATGAGTGCACCACTAGGCGATGAATCCGAGGGGAATAAGAGAAGCGAGTGTTATTTTTTCGTTCCACGGGAATCCATCGTCTTACGATTCCATTCAAGGTCTGAATCTAAAAATAGAGCTATTCTATAATACGAAATGGCTGTGTGGAATCTTATACGTATGCTATAAATCCGTGTGTACCTGCCATTATATTTCTGATGTATTATGAAACTGCTACAATTATCCCTGCACCTTTCGTTTACCTTGACGTGCTGAACCGGCCTGAGGTGAAGTAAGCAAAATAAGGACCCGAAAAAATAGCTATTGTAGTTTATTTATAAGTAAAAAAATGTCTACTTTGAAGCGTGTAAAAATAAGTATCTTTTTGATTAAGTACTAGTACTTGCTGGGAAGCTTCAGCTTTTGTAGATGAAGAAATGACATAACGTTGCGGATTTTATCGTTGAAGATTTGAATGAATACGCACCAATGCAGTGAACCCGTTGTATAGGTCGTATAAACAATGTACCACCACAACAAATATTATATTTAAGAATATGGAATTATTTTCAAAATTTCTTTCAATTGCCGATAGTTGCTTTCGGTTTAGGCAGATGAAGCTATAGCATATGTGTGTTATACTCGTATTGCCTTATAATTTTTCATCAATAGTAGAAGATATCTATCGTCTCGGCGAACAGTATATGACGACAGTGTATTATTGGTCTTCTAGTAGCAATAGTAACAATGATAGTATAAAATGTTTTTTTAAAATTAGTCATGTACTTCAATAAATGCAAAAACAGTTCATACACACATTTACATATGAAATCTATTTTAACAGTCATCACTCAGCGTGTCTATATCCGCATCGCCATTCGGGACACAATGGAATCGATCGATATTTTTATAGGGGTACAGACATTAGAACGATTACTGAAGTTTTCCAGAAACTGCCGGCGTTCATTGACAACGTTATTTCCTGCGACAAAACTTCACGCCTTATATGTATCCGACACTATTTATTTTGTTTAGACATTGTTAAGACCCTGAGGGGATTATGCAAGCCAAAGTTATCATCTAAACGTACCGGGCTCGTTGCGATAAGGGGCGATTCCCTTGTCCCGCACCCCACCGGCCTAATTAATTTTAAAGCAGAGCACAGACAACTGTTCGCGTTAGTAGTAAAAAACGTGAGATGTTGTCGTTTGTTATGGCCAACAACTACAACATCAGCAACAAGAGAGAAGCGTTTCGACAGTTTTTTTCATTTTAACAGAAACTTTGCATTCGATGGCCGCCAAAAAAGCTTTATCCGTAATAACTCCCGATCAAGTGGCCGGCCTGCCAATCAGGCCCAAATGTATTGTCGCCTTGATGCTTGCCAATGATGCTAAAAGACTTTCTATTTTAGTTGAAAAAGTATCCCTTCTACTGTAGCCGGTGTCTATTGGGCAACTGCTGCAGCGTCTGCTGTGACCAAAGATCAATTCACCACTTGTTCGAAGCTCGTGCAAAGGTCTCGCATAACGGTCGTCGTGTTACAGACCGCGATAAAGTCCTATATAAGGTCATTGACTACGCTTTCTGTTCGATGGTAACCTAATAATTGGCGTATTTTTGGATGTGTGTGTGTCCGAAAGCACGGATGTAATTAAGCAGTGAAGAAGTTGACCTTATGCAGCGATATCATCTCAATGACGTAAGGTGATGGTGATCATTTTAGTCAATTATTAAAAGCTATTAAAATTAAGGCAGAAATTAAGGCGACTTCATAGGGCTGTTCCAAATTCGGGACTTTTCTAAAATCTTCCGGTTAAACGGATAAAACCGTAAAAACGGTTATTCCGGTGAAACGGATTGTTAAAACGACAAGATAACCGCACATCAGTAAAAACACGTATGTACATCTGAAGGGAGTTTGTGATTCTTTCATTGATAACATGTTCTCTATAAGTGGCCGAATGACTATAGGGAACACGATGTTTATAGATAGCCCGAGTCGACGTCTCCTGAGACCTGAATCAGCCGACTGTTTATTTCACTTTCATTCGTTTTCGATTAGCTCTTCTAACTTAGCGTTGTACATGTACCAGCTGTAGGCAGAATAGGCAACGATTGGTTCGAAAACACAATTTTAGTGAGACTTTTAAGGAATACTTCAATGGACATGACATTGATGAAGGATAGTGGACAGGTATACTCACCATAACGAAACTACCCTTACCGTTATATTCGAAATTTAAATCTGTAGTAATCCTCTTACTAATAATAGATAATAGGTTGTTTCGGCACATAAATCAACTAGAAGCGCACGAACAAGGGATATAACCGTAAATCGGATGATACGAAACTCAGAAGAATGCCGTTATTTATCAACATATATAATTGTGTATGGCTGTTTCTTTTTGAAGCTGGTAAGCCTCCTGTGTG